CAATCCCTTCGTTACTCAGAAAAACCTTGTAAACATTACTTGACTGGTTTGACTACCATTTTATATATATATATATATATATATATATACGGAATATATATATACAGAATATATATATGCATATTTTTTTATGATTTAATTAATTGACCGTTACATTTTTTTTTTTTTTTTTGCGGTCTCTTGTAAGTATAACCCCAATAACGATAGCAAATAAAATTGTAATAGTAAAATAAAGCCAAAAATAGAATAACAAAGCAATTAATTTATTCATGTCGCAATGCACTCTGGGAGTGCACTTCTTCAGATCACAGACAGAATTAAGTTGACAAAACTTAAATGGATTAAGTAAGAATAACTTGATGCAATTAAGTCATGTTTCCTTAATGAAATTAAGGCTACGAGTTTGCATAATAAAATTAAGTAAACTGAACTAGTTGGTTTTTAAGCCTGTCTTTAAAGGTGTATGAGCTATCATTAAAAATCAATTTCCCTATGTTGATCATTCAATTAGTCTTGGCTGTCAACTTTTCTTGATTCACTGGGTTAAAAGTTCAAACCTTCTGTTTTATTAAGCAGCGTGCATTTGTGTTTCAGCGAAGAAAGCCTTGAATTACAATAGTTAAACAATAAAAGACAGGCACTGCATGAGGAAAATGCAGATTTGGGATCAAAACTACTTAATCTTGCTGCCTTGAATCAGAGGTTACAAATACATAACACTGTGTGTAAGATACTCTCCATCCAATCAAATCTCTGTGTTCTTGTGCAGAATAACACTGGACCTAATCCTCTGAAGGATTGGAGTGATTTTTGAAGTCCAGCTATGAAATGAACAAGGACACTTTTTCATTACTGATGCTTCAATTTAATAGGACAAAAACACATAATGGTTTAAAGGCTTTTGTTGATCAAATCAGAGACAACCCAACCATGTGGTCAAACACATTTTGGTGGTTATAATCAATGACACTGACGGGACGCTGCTCTTCTTTTAATCAACCGAGTCACTCTTGTCATCTAATATGGTTTTTACATTATTTTTTTAACCATTTCAGTCTTGAAACACTGCGACTGATGTGTCTCTTTTGTTTGGTGTGGACATTGGTAATAAAAAGGGAAAGAAAAGCTTTGATGAAAACATAATCACTCATCTTTCTGCTTGTCACTCCAAATCCACCAATGCAAACGGGATTTCTCCATAATGTTTTTGACCAGGTACAATCCCAGAGAGAAGTCACCTGATTCAACTCGTCTTTGATCCAATCGCCAGTTTCACTGAAGAAACAATGTCAAAGTGAGATGCACAACACAGATAAAAAAACATCTTAAATAATACATAAATAGGTGTTTGTTTTACATGCAAATATGACAAAGATTTGAACATAAATGAGGGCCATGAAAAATGGGGTTCTGAGGTACTTGCCATATTATTTTTCCAAGCATTTCCATTTGTCTAATTCTGAGGTCCATTATCCTGTACATTGGAGCATAAAGCATGAACTACACATGACACCAGGATCAATTTATTCACAATAATTAGGCCAATCTGTAACTTCAGACACTTCACATCAGCAAATCTAGAGTGTAAAAAAATAGTGAGAATTAAATATTTACAAAGGTAATTCAACATTAATGTAAGACTTGGCATTAAAGAGTGCAAACCGAGAGGAACATTTTTCTGTTTGCTGGGTGAGCCATAAGGATTGTGCTAAATCTTACAACAGCTGTTTTTATGGCCACATGGTTGATTGAACACTCACTTTCTGCAATTTTTTAATCCATCAAACATTAAAGGGATACTTCAGGATTTAGCAATGAGCTTTGTATTAGTAGAAAACCTGTAGTATTTTCGAATTACCATGCTTCCCACCCTCATATCCCCCTGAGATGAGAGATTTATGTGTTTTTTGTCTGGAAAAATCCTCCGATGACGCAAAAGTCGTCATTTTGCGTCATCAGAGGATTTTTTGTCCAGAGGCTAAAGACTTCAGTCAGTAGTCGGGTCTGTCCCGCGACACATTCTCGGGTAGACTCATCACTAGTAGCCTAGACTTGTTGTTTAACTACTGCGCTCTGTTACCGGTAGGCGTGGCCTCCTAGGGCAGCGAAGCAAGTGCATTCTGGGAGTTGTTGTCTTTCCTCCACATAAGCACAAAAATACATTTTCTGGCTTTTCTCAGTCTAGAAAGCTCCAAATTCAAAAATAATTTCACATTTCTTCTACATAAATGACCCATTTTAAATACACATTCATCTTTCCAGAGGTGAAGTATCCCTTTAAGTTTGTTTAATAAAAATTATTATTAAAGCAAGAATCCATTAGTTGCTAAGGGGGAGACCTGTGCCACAATATGAAAGGCTTTTTAGGGAAACTGATGAAACGCAGCTGAAGGTTTTGAAGTGTGTGGTGATCTCAAGTTAGTTATTCTTACAAATGATCTCACCCGCTAATTAAAACATCATTTTTAGTGAGCTGAAATTTTGTTGGTTTTTATCGCAGCATTTGTTTGAAACGGCACCAAGCTGTGGTTTGAGGTCTAAACTCAAACTTGAAGGAATAGTTCACCCACAAATAAAACTTCTGTCATTATTTACTCACCAACATGTATGGGCGAATCATTCCGGTTGACATTTTACAACATTGGACGTTTTCAAAACATTTCCCCCACGTGCACCGACGACGAGTACGTTGAAACTCATTATAATATGCAAAACTGTTATCCACTCACAGCAGTGGGCGATTACTTCCAAGTCTTCAGTGCGAGACGCCTTTAAAAACTGAGCTAGGCTCAAAGCTAGGGTACAAAATAGCCTATTGTTTATTCATTTTGATGTTTTTGAATGCAAAAACCAAGCGAACGTCATAAATTGACCTCAGACAACAATATAATAAAATGTAAAAAGCCAGTTCATGAGATCCACACTCAACTGTCTTTAAGTGCACAAAAGTCAACAATCCAGCCTCCAGTGACCTATAGTTCTGCCTTAACCTCAAGCACACCTGAAGTCTTTGTGACTCACCAGTGACAGACATTAATTCCAAAACTGTATGAATGATGCGGTGACATGATTGTTGTGTTTATATTCTATTGATTTAATTAGAGGGTGTTACAGTAGCGTGTCTGAGCTCATTGGCACCTTTACACACACCAATCCCTCCACACCTCGATGCTTTGCCGTGTGCTGTTAAAATAAACTGTGTGTGAAGTCGCTGAACGGATCAAACATATTCCCTTTAACACCTCTTAATTATTTTGTTTAATTTTTTCTGGATCTTTTTTTCCCCATTCAGACGATCCTGTCGTTTTTACACAGAAAACATTAACAACCTCCCTTTACTGCAAACATAACAGGGCAAATTAAAAATGAATTGTGGCCTGGTTTACTTCCATGCGGTGTTGTTTAAGAACCTGACTAGTTTCATTGGCTGAGGCCGAACCAAGAGGCCTGACAGACATGTAAAGCAACCTATCGAAGCGTCATATTTAGGGGGCATCAGTTATTCATTCAAGAATACTTGCAATTTTACAGCAACAATGGTGCTGTGAACTTCACATGCTTTTAGTTGATCCTGGTAAGCACTCAGTGTCGCAGTTGTAAACACGACGGCTGAGGGGGTTTGGCTTCACGACGGCTTTGTTTCCAAGCGGACCGTTTAAGAACGTGAAACCTAGAAATCGTAGAGGATTCAACCAGTGTTGTAGTACTCGAGACTCGGACTCGTCTCGGACTCGGTCTTGAGACCATATTTTAATGGTCTTGGTCTTGTCATGGACTCGGAATTGACTCGTACTCGAACATTTTTTTTTTTAGGACTCGGAATTATTCCCGAGTCCACTCGAGTTCAATTCAAAATATTTTTCATGATTATTAATGTAATAAAATATTTCTTTAAATTGATTGACACGCCCAGTGATAGGTGATTTTCTAGTGCGCAACTGCGCATGACAAATTGTAATAAAATTACTTTTAACACCACCTACTATGTGGCCTTTTTACCCTAAACTGATCATATTTTTTAAACTCTAAGTAAATTCAGTAAAAAAAAAAAAAAAAAAGGATTTCTCTAGGTCCTCGGTGTCGACTCGGACTCGAGTGAGGTGGTCTCGACTACAACACTGGATTCAACCAATTAGATGACGACTTCAAAACTCCCAAAGTGTTTCCCAATTGTGTGCCTTATGCATCAGACGTTTAGTCTGAGACTTAAACTGGAGGTGCGTTCATGCCTGAACTGTAAAAAGCCTTCTCGCACTTGTAAAATTTGTAATTACAACCAGGGCTTGACATTAACATCTGTCAAGTGGATTTCAGCACTCATTTCATTCGCTCCAGATGAATATTATTGGTGTTAGGACTAGCATGGAATTGCGCGTTGCGCTTAATTTTACATATTCATGCAGATTTTGTGCTCAGACCCAAAGTGCAGCACATAAAGCTGTCTCGGAGTTCTTTATCGCTGCTTATTGCACTTAAACAGTCAAATACACACAAAATAATGTCGAAATGCCGGTCTTGGCGAGTATTCGCGCTAACGTAGTCAGTTGTTTTAAGCGAACGTAAACAGTTGAGAAAGAAAACGCATAATATTAAAATTATATATGGCAGTTTTTCCCATCGATGTGAAAATGCTGAGTGGCAAGTAACTTTGGAAAACCACTAGCCACAGTGGCTAGTGAGCAAAAAAGGTAATGTCATTGTCAAGCCCTGATTACAACGTGTTAGTTACGTCTTGTACCATGTGGCCGCTCTACCTGACCACTGCAAATTTAGGGTGTGTTTGACTTAAAGCTGCGCTGTGCAGACCGATCGGTGTATGACAACAAAGTACGGTACTTACGACATATGCAAGGAAGTATGCAAATGAAGTAGTCGCAAAAGAAAAAATCGTTGGTCGGAGTTCTAGGATTTAGAGGATGCAACACACTACCGCGATCTAGCGACTTTACTGAGGCTGTACAGCAAGCAAGGAAAAAAAAACACTGCAAGGTCTTGAAGCACATTTTTTAAAAGTTTTATTTTAACTTGAGCGTTGAGTTTTTAGAACGGCATGTCAAAAGACGCAAGTGCAATGGTCAAACATGTCCGTCTAGCGCATATTTACATTGATAAACAATGGAAAAGTAGCGCAGTGGAATGGAAAAACACATAGGCAGCATCCATAAATCGCATAATAATAGTAATACTTCACTACTGCTAAAAAAGTATGTTCTATATATTATGAATGTAATCCGGACATAATACATTCGGCATGTTGTCATTATCATGTGACTTTACCAGCGTCAGTCATTCAAGAATCCTCCCCATCATACGCACACTTCAGAATATCCCCGGAAGTAGTAGGTCATGATACGAGTACTCTTTTATGAGTACCGTGAATTTGGACATACTTATGTTGTACTGTTTTTCGCCGACTATGGGATTTCGGATGCAGCCGTACTGTGTGAACGGCCCCTCACTCAACCATTGCAATGGTGCAGAAAGTACGGAGCATGTTGGGAAACATGGCCATTATAATGTTCTTCTTATTCTCATTTGATCATCATATGATGAATAACTGGAAACAAATGGAAATCATTTTAAATCAAGTTTTGTTTTTCATGGCGATAAATAGCACAGGCTAACAAGCATTGATATTTAGCATGAACAAGTCTAATTTACATGTGTATTTGCTTGAAAACAATGATTTTTTTTAAATGTTATTACATTATTTTTTTTTTTTTTTAAATACGCATGGTGCAGTGCAAGGTTTTTCAAATATTGTGCCCTCAAGTGGCAGAACTGGAAATGACCTTATTAACAAATACTAAATCAGGATCCCTCATTTCACTAAAAACCACACGCTAAAAACCAATACACACATACGAACGAAGCGAACAAACAGTCTGACATGACGTGTTGAATCCTGGATCTCAGCAGAAAGTGATATTGCACTGAAGTAGATGTTTCTAGATTCACCGACGCATTTTCCAGCAGTCCGCAGACAACAGCCGAATGAATGTCTGGAATTATGATTCCATTTGGGTGCCTCCAATTAATGCTGAAGGGCTGGATACACAATGACGATCGGACAGTAAAGGCGGCGGTCTTTTTGTTTGCTTTACAGAGGAAAAACAAGAAAGCCAGAAAAGGTGGAGTACTGCCATCCTCCTACCAGATTCCCCTTCTCCAGTTTTAGATAAACCTTGTCTTCTTTGTTGAGGAGAAGGAGGACTCCATTGGTGGCGGCCTCGCGTGTGACGTCTTTGTCACCTGCGAATGCAGAGATGACTGGTTTTCCATTCAGCATTAAATTCACCTGAAACAGAGGAAAGAAAATCAATACAGAGATCTCAAGTATGTACGTTTTACAGGACTTATTTAATGAATGTTTGCATTCATGGGAAAATCATTTATTTATTTATTACAATTTCTTATTACAATTTTCATAACACTTGACTTAAAGCCTGCAGTTAATATTATAATGATTTTCATAGAGCCTTATATTGTAATCCACTATATATTTTCATAAAAAATTATAATCAATCATCATTTTAATGTAAGATTACTACAGTAAAAGCTGTAAATTGTAAGTTACCACACAATAAAATGAAAAACTAAGTTTAACAAGATAATACATGCAATTTTACTGTAAAGAGCTGTGCAAATATGAAGGATGAATTACCTTATATTTACAATGAAAATCTTAACATTATGTTTGTAAAATATTGTAAAAATTATTTTTTATAATTAAGCTTGGAATAACTTGGTGAAAATGTACAGTACATTATTTTAGGAATATTTTACAGTATATCTACAAGTAAAAGGCATGGATTACCTTTGTTTGTGATAGATTATAAGATAATTGTTGCTTTTTAGTTACAAAAACAATTTCAATGTTAAATATATTTAACTAGAGTAACTGAACACAATAAAAAAAACATATGTTTTTTTTAATTACGCTTTTGTAAATAAAACTATTATAAGTCTCATTTTAATATATGGAAATGGTTAAAAAGTTGATAAACTTTAAGTTTACGCTTAACTTAAAATATACTGACTATCCAAGGTGTATTGTATAATAAATTGAAAATACATTTAAAATGCAATATTTATACAGGCTTCAAATGTTAGCCAATTTCTGTTCTCTCTGAAACTCTGTTCATTACGAATTTCAAATATGATATAAAAATTGTGATTAAATGTATTATTTCTGTGCTCACTTGTATAGTCTGGCTCTGGTACACTTTAATAACATGAAAGTTAAAGCTGTAGACTCCTTTCCGGGGACAAAGAAAGACGGATTCCATGGTGAAATAGTTTCCTATGTTGACAAGAACCTGCAAAAGAGTATTTCAGAGGTATCAGACCTGATGCCACTACATTGAAATATCCTATCCACTCTAGACAATTATTTGTTCTGTGAAATATGTATTATTGCAATGTTACAACGTCAAAGGAAAGACCTTGGAAAAAAAAGATCAGATTAGAAAAGGCAGCTAGAATAAAATATGAATGTACTCATGCTTACAATTGGACATTTCAATTATAATTCTCTGTAGCAATGAAAGTACAATCCTGCCATCACACCAAACTCTCTCTCTTACGGCCATGCTGACCGTGAATCCATTCTAATGCTGTGATGAGGCACCATGAACTATAGCAAATGCAGGGCAATCAATCACAGGTGCATTTTCTCTCGTGCAAGAGACAGAAACAGCATCTGAAGTGACAAAGCATGCAGAGATGCGTTTCCACAGACTTTTTAATGCACAGTGGCAGCTTGCTATAAAGTTATTTGAGCTGGCCATTCTGTTATTTGTTATTACTTATTGTTTTATGTATCTTTTTTAGAGTTGCTAACTACTGTGTGCATTATGCATACAATGACAATAAAGATTCATATTCTTATTATACATCAAAGAACCCAGAAAAATGTGTGGTTATATATTATTCCTATATAATGTTAAGCAGCACAACATAAATATTGAGCAGAAATATATATATATCACACACTCACCTATAGGATTGTTAGGTATGTTCAATATCTCATTAATGCAATTATCTAATCAACCAATCACATGGCAGTTGCTTCAATGCATTTAGGGGTGTGCTTTTGGTCAAGACAATCTCCTGAACTCCAAACTGAATGTCAGAATGGGAAAGAAAGGTGATTTAAGTAATTTTGAGCGTGGCATGGTTGTTGTCACAATCTGCTCAGTTACTGGTATTTTCTAAAGTTTAATACTTTAATACTTAAGTTTAATACTCAAGTAACCTGAATCAAATGCTATCAGGGCCAAACATCCTACAGGTTTCCTAGGATTAAAACCCAGTGTTCTCAACACTAATGAATTTTCAGGTCATGCTCGGTAACACTGATTGAAGTGAACATCAAAAAGAAAGTGTATTTATTGGTTTCCCTTCACTTTGTAGACACAAAGATGAGTGGATGGAGTCTGGGCATTGACCCCAGCCCCCTCAAAGGTAAATTTGTACATTGCCCTCGGTCTCTTTTGATCTTGGCTTTATTACAGTCGAAGAAAAACTCAAGCAAAAGGGAGCGTTTCAGCTTTTTTTTTTTTATGATTGACCACAGATATATAAGCTATAATACTGTGGTCCATAAGTCTGAGAGCACTGGAGTTTTTGTTTCTCCATTTAAACCTGGAAATACAAAGAAAGTTTCAGATTCTGAAACCTTTCAAACGAAAGAAAAAGTTCTGATGTAAAATGAATAAGTCATAATGTGACACTGATAATGTGCCACTTTGTACAGAACTTGTTCAAGATGCTCTTTGGAAAATCTCAGTTTGGCAGTAGCACCACATTGCAGTACACGAGATCCAGGGGGTGGAGTTGGATCCAGATCTAAGGGGTGGAGATGGGTGGGTTTAGGGGTGGGGTTAGAGAAAAGGGGGTGGAGATGGGTAGGATTAGGGGTGGGGTTTGGGATCAGGGGGTGGAGATGGGTAGGATTAGGGGTGGGGTTAGGGATCAGGGGGTGGAGATGGGTAGGATTAGGTGTGGGGTTAGGGATCAGGGGGTGGAGATGGGTAGGATTAGGGGTGGGGTTAGGGATCAGGGGGTGGAGATGGGTAGGATTAGGGTGGTGTTAGGGATCAGGGGGTGGAGATGGGTAGGATTAGGGGTGGGGTTAGGGATCAGGGGGTGGAGATGGGTAGGATTAGGTGTGGGGTTAGGGATCAGGGGGTGGAGATGGGTAGGATTAGGGGTGGGGTTAGGGATCAGGGGGTGGAGATGGGTAGGATTAGGGGTGGGGTTAGGGATCAGGGGGTGGAGATGGGTAGGATTAGGGGTGGGGTTAGGGATCAGGGGGTGGAGATGGGTAGGATTAGGGGTGGGGTTAGGGATCAGGGGGTGGAGATGGTTAGGATTAGGGGTGGGGTTAGGGATCAGGGGGTGGAGATGGTTAGGATTAGGGGTGGGGTTAGGGATCAGGGGGTGGAGATGGGTAGGATTAGGGGTGGGGTTAGGGATCAGGGGGTGGAGATGGGTAGGATTAGGGGTGGGGTTAGGGATCAGGGGGTGGAGATGGGTAGGATTAGGGGTGGGTTAGGGATCAGGGGGTGGAGATGGGTAGGATTAGGGGTGGGGTTAGGGATCAGGGGTGGAGATGGGTAGGATTAGGGGTGGGGTTAGGGATCAGGGGGTGGAGATGGTAGGATAAGGGGTGGGATTAGGGATCAAGGGGTGGAGATGGGTAGGATTTTGGGTGGGGTTAGGGATCAGGGGGTGGAGATGGGTAGGATTATGGGTGGGGTTAGGGATCAGGGGGTGGAGATGGGAGGGGTTAGGGAGTGCCTTCCACTTTTGTACATTGAAAAGGTTCCTGGAACCATCAATGCCAATCAAGAACTTTTATTTTTAACTTTACACTTTAAATGTTTTGCATGAAACATTTTTTGTGCTTAATAAACAAAAAAACACGAAGCATTTTCACTCGCAGTCTCGGATCCATGAATTTTTATAGAGCAGCGCAGCAGTGACGCTAAAATCTTTGGCAAACAAAGGCTTTCCACATAAACTAGCAGTGATATGCACTAGGATTACTCAGCATCCCAAACAGCCAGCTCTTTTGTTGGTTCACAAAGCTCTTGGTACATTGACACGGGCAGAATCTCTCTCTTGCAGTCTGTGAGCTCCACGCAACCTTTCCCCGCGGCGTACCCCGAGCGAGACACGTGCCGAGCCAGAGGATTGGATGGTGTTGTTATGTATGTGAGTCAAGGTCTGGAGCGCAGTGGCTGAGGGCAGCTGGTCAGTCCTGCACTTTTTTTTACATTACATTATTTTTTTAAGGTTCCTGCAGCCAAAGCAATGAGAGTGGAAGAATAGTGCCTCAAGGGCAAAATCTACACAGCTTCCTGTGTATTTCAGCAAAAAGAGACAAATTTACCTGGCGAAATCTTTAGGAATTAATCATCTTAAAATGATAATTTATTCGCTCTCCCTCATGTTTTTCCAAACCCATGTGACTTTCCTTCTTGTGTGGAACAGAAAGTGTTTGAATAATGTAGTTGGTCTCTTTTTCTATTACAAAAATGGCTTTGGAGCATCAAAGGGGATGTAGAAGCACCATAAAAGTCTTTTGAAGGCATACAATATCTTCAGATCTTATTCAGTATTTTTTTCCATGACCAATGTGAACGTGTCGTTGAGTCAGTGAGTTGAGTTTGGTTATTGGTTCAGTCAGATCAATCAGTGATCCATGAACAAATCATTCAGATTGGTTTTCTGAACTAGATCAATTGATTCATTGAACAAATCTGACAGAATGATTGATTCACACATTCATTTTCATACTTTCAGTGAAAATTGAAGTAAAATTCAATACGCTCCACATTTTATTTAACAATATTTTCCATGACCAATCTGACAGATCATTGAATGATCGTTGAATTTGGGAATCAGTTCAGTCAGATTAATAAGTTTGATGATCTATGAACAAATAATTTAGATTGGTTTTCTGAACTGGATTAATGGATTCATTTTTAAAATATATACTAAAAATTGAGGTAATCAGTTACTTTGTACTCATAAATTTTAGTTGATTTTAACTTAAAATATCTGAGTAAACTCAATCATTAATTTATATGGAGTAAAGTCAACTTAAATATATGTTGTAGTGGAAACTTGGCAAGATTTAACTGTAAAAGTGATCAGTTGACTTAACTTTTAAAAAAGTGAGGATTGTTGCCAAGTAAATAAACTTCATGCATTATTGAAAAAATAACGTTATGTGTAATTGTCAAGTTCACATAACTTATTTTTTTCAATTATGCATGGATTTTATGACTTAATTAAGTTTACGGCAATGGGTTTCCATGACGAGTTGTGGAATTTAGCTCCCCTTGAAGGTGCTCTACGCGATGTTGGATGACGTCCGTTCGAAGTATTGTCAAACAAAATGGAGGCTAGTTCACCCCCCCCATAAATACATGGGTGAACCCATAATCACATGGGTTAATGAGCTAATGAGTTGAATCAGGTGTGTTGGATTGGGGAGACAAAGAAAACACGCAGTGTTGAGGTGGCGCGAGGACAGGGTTGGGAACCACTTGCTTAGAGCACCTTTATCATCAATCTTACTCAAAAAACATTATATAACACTTTATTTTAGCATTTTTAGCATCACTCTCCCTTTTGAGTATCATGAAAAAGCATGCTGGGAAATAGAACTCCCAGCCCAGTTTCAGTTCAATTTAGGGTTGTCTAAATTAAGTAAGTTAATGAAACTCAAAATAATGAAAAAAATTCAGATTACTTAAAATGTGTCATTTTTGTGAACTCAAAAGAAAAAGAACGTTCTAAATACTTATAAAAGTGTTTTAAAATTTTGATTGAACTAATTTGTTTAATTTAAGTTTTCCCCCATTATTTTGAGCATTAGGGTTTACAGAAATTGTATGACTTCATTATAACATAAATGTTATTTTAGACAACTTTTATGGTGCTTATCCCTTTGAAGGATTTGTATCTTCAGTCACGATCGATTGTAATTGGAAGACATCTTAAAAATGTCTTCTTCTGTTTCACTTTTGTGTCAAGGTTTTGAACAACAGGGGGTTTAGTAAATAATAAGAAAAAGTTTGTAAGGAAACCTTCAGAGAGACACGTCTCCAAATGTCCCTTTAGGGAATCGATTTAATCGTGAAAAACAAACACACGTTGGCCTCGTCTCAAGCATAATTTTTCATTCATTTCAAGGCATGCACATCATGCTGGCTCTGTTTTTGATCTGACTCTGCATAAAGACGTTCGCTCATTAATTCTACCACGTCTTTGACCAAGAAAGAGAACTGTCAGGGCCGTGCTATGCCAGATCAGATGCACCAAAACACACAGTGAATATGAATATATTCACGCAAAGCCATGCTGGCTAATGTTCATGTTCAATTTAATTTAAATCATTTAAAATACAGTATGAATTCAGCACATGCATGGAAGTTTCCAATGAGCCATAAAGCTAAAGACTAAAGTTAAGCATAACATGACCCCTAGACGTGTGCATGAGAAAACGTCATGCATCTCTTTCAACACAAACACAGCTAAAAAAATAAATAAAAATAAATAAGCAATACAGTAAGAATAAATCTCTGCCCTTTACAGTTCTGACAGTTTGACTTATCACTAATAATGACCCATCATCACTGTCATATTTCACCTGTGTGTCTGCTGCAATAATGGATACCCGTTTATGTTCTTGTCAAGCACACAGTTGCCATGAACAATATTAGACACCGTATAGAATATCTGAGGTTACGAAACAAACTCTTACATGAAGAGAAAATCTGTCCTGAATTTGGATATCCTCTCATTCAAATGACTTTGAATTTTGAATGTATTATTTTTCTTTTTGAGTTTCACATTACTCGGTAAATGTCCATGTTAAATGCAAAATAATAAAGCTCTGCACTCATTCCAATTAGCACAGTAATCTGATTTAGAATATTAACTAATGATGACAAATTAATTGAATTTGCATACATTCCAATTTGAATATTCCATAACATTAGATTCACTTAAATCCACTTAAAACACTTTAAATACACTGCCTATTATTGACGGTATACAAAAGAAGAAACAACGTGGGACTGGGGCAAGTTGTCACACGTGTCATTTTAATTCATTACTTACCATAATTATTTGGCCAAAACAATAATTTGATATAGAGTATCCATTTACATTTTTACTGTTTATTTAGCCAACATGACGTTCCGTTGTGACATACCCCATATAATATTATGTGACAACATACCTCGAAGGTGGCCTGTGAAAAGGTCAATGTGTGTTAAGTTTTTTCTATATATAGTTTAATGTATGAAACTACTGTATAAAGTGACTTAAAATAAACCTACCCCGAGAAATAGAGAGTAAACAATGTATTACGTGGTGTAACCCAAAACTGTTAGTCCAACCCACGAGCTTTACCGGTCTGAAAAGTCCAAGCCAAAGAAAAATACTATTCATCTCAATATAACATGCATTAAAAAAATATGAATATTAGCCTTACCGTTTCAAAGTATATGATTCTCGTTTTATTGCTCATCTCAGAGGGCTCGTGGTTGTTTCTCCTCACCGCAGAGAAAGCCACTTTGGAGTTGGCGGCGCGCAAGGAGATGCCGAGCGGCGAGGACGAGCTCTTCCAGTCGGCGGGGTTCGAGTCACAAACCACCAGACATTTGCCCTCCAGGACGATGGGTTCCGTGTCGTTTTGAGAAAAAGCCAACTCAAACATGACGGCCAGGCAGAACAAAAGAGCCATGCAGTCGACAAACGCCTTATTTAAGGACTTTATGGACACCATGATGAATGATCTCCACAATGTAGCCAAAATCCAAACGGCTCTCCCGATCCCGTCACTTCGCTTCTGCTCCGTGTTCGTGCTCGTTTACGCCAAACATCCGTCCGGACACCAATAGCTGATTTACAAATCACCAAATGCGCGTAGGTGGATGCAACAACCTTATATCTATAGTCATTTTTTTGATTCTTATACTTATTCCCCTGTGTTTTATTGATTCGGATAGTTTTCAACTCCAGAAGATTTGTCAGACGAGTTTTGGAGAGATTCTTAGGTTCCTGGTGACTCCGCGTAAAAATCCACTCAGTGCGCACAGAGATTATCCGCAATGCATGGGCAATCGCCACTTCGTGTCCATATTAGCTTTGCGCTATAAAAATAGAGAAGGATACTAAAGCAAACCCCGAATGACCCCTTAACACATCTGTGGATGTTCCTCTTTCTCTCTCTCAACCACAATACACTTCTATGAGCGCGCGCGCACACTCTTAATGACGCCCGACTATGAACTCATTGTGACGACTGGTGCGTAACGTCAGATGACTTTTCAATATTCACCTGACATCCAGCAAAAAGACATGATATAATATTCATATGATTAAATAATATATTAATAATAACAACTATTAACATTTATATTACTGTAATTTGTATTAAATTAACATGTATATTCAGTCATGCTCAAAAGTTTACATACCTAAATGCATCCATACATAAAAAATGCATTTTATATTTTATTTAGTGCTGTTCTGAATAAGATATTTTACATAAAAGATGTAAAATATGAAAAAAGTAGCTGAATTTATAAAAATTACCCCATTCAAAAGTTGACATACCCTTGATTCTTAACACTGTGTGTCGTTACCTGGATGATCCACGACTGTTTTCTTGTTTTGTGATGGTTATTCTTGAGTATTTTGTTTGTCCCGAGCAGAAACTGCCCAATGTTCTTCAGAAAAATGCTCCAGGTCCTGCAAATGTTTCAGTTTTACAGCATATTTTGCATATTTGAACCCTTTCCAGCAGTGACTGTATGATTTTGAAATCAGTCTTTTCACACTGAGAACAACTGAGGCACTCAAACACAACTATAAAAAAGGTTCAAACATTAATTGATGCTCCAAAAGGAAACATGATGCAACTGGGGATGAAAACTTTTAAACAGGATGAAGAAGTCCAAACTTTTTCCATTAAATACTGCCCTTCGGAAGCAACTGAAGATACTTGGATGTTTCCCGGAAAAGAAATTAAGTCACAGTCACTGCAGGAAAGGGAATACTGCATTTCAGACACAGGCCACAAAATTGAAGAAAATACTGAGAGAAGATATAAGAAGGACAAGCAATTCATGTGCGACCTATAATGGAGCAGAGAAGCATTTCAATATTTGGCTTATGCATTTGGCACTACTCTATGCATCTCAAGTTGGAGCCGTGAATGCCATTTGCTCTAATGTTGGACTATTAAGCAATGCAATTCTGTAGTTATGTGTGTGTGTGTGTCTATAGTGATTATATAAGATTATAAATGAATTGCTTTCATCAGGACTCAATACTTAAATGCAGTGTCATTAAATGAAGTCATTGCAGACAGCAAAAACATACCTTTTTCAAAAGATAATGAAGTTCAGACTCAGAAGTCAATGAAAAATGAATAATAATACACTTTCTACTCAGCTCAACTCGCTGATTTCAATCTCTCTGGAGGATGCAGAACGCAAGGCTTTTCATTTATGGAACAAATTAAGGATGGAATATTTGCGAGCACAAATTAACAGTTAACTTACCTGGGGACCTATCGAGATGCTTGGGAATTTATTGAATAAATGAGAGCTGTTATAACGGTTTACCTTCATGATGTTCTTCATTTTCATCTCAGCAGCTTTCTCCACTTTCCCAATGTTAGTCTTCTATAAGAGAAAGACATATTGACTGTAAACTCATGATTAGATGCGTGAACAACAGGACAGCATTGCATGATGCACATTTAGTATACAGTGGCAAAGTGTGAAGGGAGTGTCATGCATATTTCAAAATATGTTTGAATGTTAAAATAATGTGCATATTTCATAAATGTTTATTCACCGGATCAAAGTCATTCACCAAAAAGATTATTAGGCATTCGTTAATATACATCTCTAAACTATGTAATCTTAATGAGATTATAACCTACACCTTGCTGGTAATTTCACTAATGATGAGGACGTCGTTTGACTGGTTTCAAAAATAGGGCACATTTCATAGACAGTATAAGAAGTGGACAGAGCCATCTCATTGGAACTCCATTGAGACAAGTGAAGCCCGTTTTTTGGCGATTGTTTTAGCACTTCTGTTCCTGACGCGCAGACTCACTCTTTGACAGTTATTCGCTGTCAAAGTGACGCCAAAATGAGTGGGAGTCAATGGGATGCTAACAGCAGGTAAAGTTCTGCTACAATGGAGGCCCCCGCGAGGCTTCAACTTCCGCTCGATGGATTACCCCCTTGGTGCGGCCAGATCTGATGAGAGTGTGGCTATCCATGCACCGCCTCTCAGCAACGCCCAAGTCCAACGATCCAATCAATTCCCCAGACAGCAAACTGACATTGAATCAACGTGGAAACGACGTCTCTCATGACATTGAAACAACGTTGATTTTGCTCATCGAATTAACGTTGAACCAACGTCAGACGCGGCATTCTTCAAAGCTAAATGAAAATCGAAAATTGGTTTGCTTTCATAACGTTGAAACAACGTTGATTTCAAGTTGATTTTCCGTTAGTTTTGAAAGAATGACGCGTCTGACGTTGGTTCAACGTTAATTCGATGAGCAAAACAATGTCAGATCAACGTTGTTTCGATGTCATGTTTCCACGTTGATTCAATGTCAGTTTGCTATCTGGGTCTCGAAGAACGAAATCAAGCCCCGCCCTACATTTTTTATAATTTCAGAAGCCGTTTCACTCGGATATACAGCAGAGAATGTCTAATTGAAGAGAATTGGCACTGGCTGGTTACTTCCGGGTTCTGGACTGGCTGCAGTAACGCGTCTCTGTCCATGCGGGGGCGCTCGCGGTCGAGTGCAGAATGAATGGGAGTCTATGGGAGAAATCCACATTTCTCAGGATATCATTTTTTGTCAAGTAATTTGAAAGTTGCATTCGAAAGGGAGGGCTAAGATAATACACTCAGCTGAAAATTGCATGTTATCCGTTCAAAAATGTGATGACGTCACACAATAGCATGCTAGCGTGTTACGGCCAACAACGGTCTAACCTGTAAGAAATCGAAAGGACATACTGTAAGTACTCGTTCATACGACTTTTGGCCTATAATCTATATTGATCTTGCGGAATCAACAATAAAATCTATTTTGATTCAACGATAAGTGGGAGAAAGAAACACATTTAGCCGTTTAGCTCCATAGACTCCCATTCATTCTGCCCTCGCCCGCGATCACCTCCAGTGGAATTCTAATGGAACTGCAACCAAGATGTTACACAATGAGGCTAATAGGAAGTGCCAAGGCTCTTCCACGTTAGATGGGCTCTCACAACTTCCGTTTCAAGCCGACTTTAACACAAATGACGACATTAGGAGTTAATATTTGAATAAGAGTATTGAATTTTTGCTGGACGAGTCACCTGGACAGCAGCCGGGGAGAGAAAGCCGTGAATCTATTCCTGGATGAGAGTAAGATAAATGAGCTGGACTTGAAGCACTGCAAACGAATCAACCCCCCGTGACCTACAGGCTAGCTGTCTTCTCAGCCAGGTAAGCACTGCTGGGAGCGAGGAGAAAAGGTTAGTTCACACGACCCCATTGGCGCTGTTTGTGGAAAGAGAGAGACGGACTGGCTCATTGGACCATTTCAGAGCAATGTTATGATTCACTGGGTTGTGGAGCGAGTGGAGGACTTTGGAGTGCTGTGAAGTTGTCTGTGTGAGTAACGTTATGTGAGTCCTTGCTCAAAGCACAAAATAATGCTGGGCCTCTAGCGTTTGGGTGTAAAGGCGTCTGGGTGTAAGCTGACATTGACTTAGAAAGCAAATGACATTAAAATCCATCAAACAAAGCCCTGCACTTTTCCTGGAGTTCAAACAAAGCGGCTTCTCTAGGGGTATCCAAACAAATCTGCCAGTCTAGAGAGAAGGTTAAAAAATCCACAGAATTAAAATGAAGGGGAAAAAAATCTCTCTTGCTCTCCAGACTGGAGTTTAACAGGTATGACACTTTTTTAAGGGTTATTATTATTAATTATTCTGTATTTAAAACCAACCGAATCAATTCTAGAATGTGTGTCTTAAAGGGTTAGTTCACTTTTCAAAAAACTTTTGCTGATAATTTACTCACCCTCATGTCATCCAAGATGTCCATGTCTTTCTTTCTTCAGTCGAAAAGAAATTAAGGTTTTTGATGAAAACGTTCCAGAATTTTCTCCATATAATGGAGAAACTTTTCCTTTCCAATTTTCCTGGCCGAGAACCGGTGCTTTGGCTGTCGAAACACAAAGAACTGGTTCGCGAGTAGGCACCGGCTCCGAACTGGCTCTCGAAATGCTTTGGTAGAAAAGGAGTATGTGAGATCAAATGACAAATCTTGAGGAAACTTAATGCAGCTCTTTCCATAAGTGAACACGTCTGTCAAGCTTTACAATCAATTATGAAATTGAATGTAATCCAGAAAAATCCAAAAATTTGATTATTTAAAGGAACCATGAAATAGTTCTTATCACATTTCTCTACCTTAATTTCAGTCTCTTCACAATATTAATTCATTTAGTCATAGCAAACAGAATCCATTCTAGAATGCGTTTAAGAAATAGATCACCGAAAAACAAAACAAAATCTGGTCATCATTTCCTCACCTTCATTTTGCTCCAAAACTTGTGGGACTCAAAAGGAGGCTTGGTGACCACATCTGTGAAATTCAAAGAGAACATCATTAAGAAAAAAAAATGCAGAAATAACAATCAAAATGTATTTAGTACTTTACTTTTTTTAAAACATAGCCCATTCTAGAATGCCCCTCTGAAAGGAATAGATCACCAAAAAATACAGAACTTAACTATAAAAATAGTCCATATATTAGTAACACTTTATTTTAAGGTGACATAGTTACTATATTGAGAGTAAATTATGCATAATTACAAGTAACTATCCTTAATCTAACCAAAATAGCAAGTAAATGTAGTTGATTAACATTACTCAGCAATAGTAAGTGTAAATAAGTACTGAGTAATATTAATTAACTACATTTACTTGCTATAAAGTTACGACTAGGATTAGAGTTTGGTTTAAGGTTAGTTATGCATAGTAGCTATGCATAATTTACTGTTTACTAATGTAAGTAGCCTATATGCAACAAGAACACTGTAAAATAAAGAGTTACCAAATAAAGTGTAATTCATCTTTTAAACAACCTAAATTTCAGTTTTTGAGTGAACTTTCCCTTTAAGACCACCATTAGACTGAAAAATGTAAACACAAGCCTACCTGTAGCTCAATAAAAATGTCCGTGAAGGGGACGCTGGGAGATTTACACTATAGAGCTCTTCGACAGCTGCTAATAATCATCAATTTCACACAGTTGCCCAGCACACCGTGTAGCACCTGCTAACCCACCGCTGATGGGGTGACTGAAAAGCATCTGATGGTAAAAGCGACTTTTTGGACCCAATCTTGCCCGACTGTGCAGGCTGACAAAAGATTGGCAGCTTGATGCTTTTACCCCTGGCAGGCGCTCCGCAAAGCAGGCCAAGAGAAATTGTTTAATCTGAGGTCTATACAATGGGGTCACGGCCGAGCACTTTGGCTGGAGTGATTTTTCTTCAACAGCCTAAATGCATTTGTGTAGCGCTGGTCAAGAGGGCAGCAGTTTTTATCTTCCATGAAGCTCAGACCAATCAGAAAACAAAATCTCAAAAGTTAAGTTGTGTCATAGACGTTTTGAAATTAAACAAACAAATTCATTCTAAAATATAATAACTATTTCACATGTAAGTCCTTTAATTAATACAGACAACACGATATCACATTAATATTAATTAAATAACATAGCGTTCAAACGGTTGGGGTCTTTAAGATTTTGTCTATGCTCACCAAACTTGTTATTACAATTAAAAACAACACTTTTCTATGTGAAAATATATATATATATTATAAAAATAATGAAAACTTTAATTCCTTTTATTTAAAGGGACAAATTGAATGCCAAAGTGTAATATGTAAGGTTAGGGGTTTGTTCAAATAGTAATCCTTTCATTTGCCACAGCTTTGTAAACTCTACCATTATCTGAAAAAGTGATTCAGATTCAGGGATGTGTGTTGTGTTACACAGTACACCCTCCATCAATGCAGCAGAGATGACCAGCAGACCTTGATTTCACAGATCACTTTCAGTACTTTTCCTGCTGTATGAATCAAACCATTCAGCTCAGCAGCAGACAAGGGAAACAGAAAAACATTCAGTTTTGTTCACTTTTGGCTTCCAACTCATTGTATAGCCATTCACACGCCAGCTAAGGTCAAATATAAGGTAACAAAGCAACAGCCGAATACCTAAGAAGATGAACAGATCTAAGATGTAGCGCTTTAAACTAATGTCATCATAAACGCCCTGTGTGTAATCCCCACTCTTATTCTAAACCAAACATGGTCACAAAGTATTTAAAGCACACAGGACATGATTTAAGTGATGCCAGAAGAGTCGTTTTAATGATTTATTTGATAAAAGTGTAAATTAAGATGACTATTAATGCAAATCAGTGGATTCCAGAAGACAAATTAAGCTTGTTTGGTGTACTCATTCCCTGTGGAGTTCATTTCAGTAAAAAAAAAAAAAACGAAATTTTTGCCACATGGTAGAAGGAAAGCATTTTCTGTCTGACTAAGCAGAGAATTTGAGCTGACAAACTCCTGCAGGTCATGAAACGGCACACAGAATACGTTATGTACCCTACTGCAGGGCGCAATACTCACTTCATTTGCTTGTTATACTGTACAATGAATCTGTTTCCGTAGCCCACAACAAATAGGTCACAAGGTCATATTTACACAGTTATGTCGCTACTCTGCTTTGTGGTTTAAAGGGATAGTTCACTTTGAAATTAATTTTTGACATGTTTTAGCTTACCTCAAGGGCATCAAGATGTAGGTGTCTTTGTTTCCGCAGTATTTTCAATTTTGACATTTTTCAGTCAAACCGCTGTTGTCTATCAGTCTTATAATGGAGGCTAAGGGCGTCCACCAAAAAGCATGCACAGAGAAGTCAAAATTAAACATGATTTAATGACTCGTAAGTGTAAGTACACATTGATGGCCTAAGACACGAAACGAGCGGTTTGTGTGAGAAAACGAACAGTATTTATATTAAAAGGAGTGCTGTGTATTAAAAGGAGTGGAGTGCTAAAACATATCAAAAATTAATTTCAAAGTGAACTATCCCTTTAAAATAATAGGTCACATATTAACTTTATTATTTAAAATAATAGGTCACAACATTAAAAGCCGAACCAAGAGCTGTATTATATATTTAATATATAGTCTTTTTGTAAATGTGTTTTTGTGTATTTTATTATTGTAATAGGCATAGTGTACCCTATGTTATCTTATAGTGTTATTTAGATATTTTTTAGTCAATTTGCTATAGACCTATAAATGTATTTTCTTGTTTGTAGTGTAATGCTTTTTTACATCTTGGCCAGGGGACTACAGATGAAAAATAGCCTTTTGGCTAATTCTGGCTTTTTTAACCATGTTTGTTCATGCGTTTTGTGAAATTGCACTGTCCCCTTTTAAATAAACCAATAAATCAAATCAAATCAACTGTAGGCCCTAAAAACTTAAAATAGTGCTTACAATGAAATAGAAGCATTTTAAAGGGATCCTCCACCGTTTTTTTAATATTAAACTATGTTATTCCCTTAACTAAGACGAGTTGATGCACACCTCTCTCGTCTCAGTGCGTGCGCTCAATCGCGAGACACTTTGATAGCCCAGTTCATTCAATAGGATCCAAGCAGAGAAGCGACCAAACACCTTCATTAAACGGAAAAGAGCGGCTTAAACATTCTGCCAAGCATCTTCTTTTGTGCTTCAAAGAAGAAAGAAAGTCATATGAGTTTGGAAAGACGTGAAGATGAGTAAAAGATGACAGACTTTACATTTTCTGCAATGGCAGAAAAACTGCAACGGATGTTCATTACAAAAGGATCACAAGTCACGAGCGTTGAAATCCTAGTGTTACGCGCAGCAAATCAGACTTCAAAAAGGTAAGTTTCTTCTTTAATTCGTCCTCTTCATTTTATGAATGAAATCCAATGGGAAATGAAGAGGGGTCTGTTCTGAATAGTGTGAAATGCAGATGTCCTGTGCTGAACCGCCACCGAGGACACGATTCGGTATCATCGAGAAAATACACACACATTTCAAGGCCACAGAGATTCAACGGACACATGAGGAAACCATTCAAGTGGCTAGAATGCCTCTTTCACACCAGCCATCTGTGAATATGTCACTAATATCCATTATACATACACTCTAAAAGAACAAACATGATATGTGGCTCCAGTAAACGTTTGCTCCTGCTTGGAAAATCAATCCAAGCTTTTTGCAGTAGCACCGGATCAAAGAACCGCATGATCCTTTTAATCAAATCAAACCAAATCACCAGCACTGGGAAAGATCCTGAAATCATTGGTCGTGGTCTATACTGTAGGTAAGTCTCTTTCTACAAGACATCCATCTCACCTTTGAAATGTTTGAGAAAGCAGGTGCCAATTCACACAAGACTGATCGAACACCTACTGCATCAGATTCAGGATCATTGAGCGTATTCAGAGTATACTTTCTTGAAGTCATTAATAAATTGGGAAATCCATCCGAAAAGTTCTTGGGAGTCTTGATCCAAAGGCTCTCCGAATTTTACCTGTTGACGAAAAAGAAAATGAAGAGTGATATTGTCGAGTCAAGTTTATTTATATAACAATTGATCAAAATTGCTTCATATTGTGACTGTAACCGTCTATTTCAAATTCAAAATACAAAATATAAAAGTTCTAATTTAGTTCCTCTGATCAAATCAAAACACCACAAAATACCAAAATGGTAAGACACTCGGTCGATCGAATCAGGGAGACACATTCTCGTTTACACCTGGTGGTAAATCGAGAATTCGGGACAGGGCCTATGGGCGGGGAAATGTATGGGGGTTTTTTTCAGATCTTTCAACCTGATGCACAAAAAAAGCTCTCACAATTTACATATAGATAACAGTTTATAGATACCAGTAAGGGTAACATATTCATACTAAAAGCCAAAAAAAATTTAAATGAGGCACTATTCGAGGGAACTGCCATTTGGGTGTGCATTGTACCATTGAACCATTGTAGACGTTATTGAGTGCACTTATTCAATCTCACATTCAATCCCACTACTGGAACTTCTAGAAATCAATTTGATATTGATATGAGGGTAGGTAGGCAGGCATAGATTCAGAGGCATAAAACACTGTAAGTATTACATACAACAATAATAAAACAATGCATTGGCATTTACTTTTGATACTTTAGCGAGTACTTCTGTACTTTTACTTGTAACGGAGTAATATTTGACCAGTAGTAGCTGTACTTTTACTTAAGTAAGGAAGTTGAGTACTCTGTCCAACTCTGAGAAACATAACACATACAATACAGTTCAAAAGTCTGGGAAAGTCTCTTTTGCTCACTAAGGCTGCATGTATTTGATTGAAAATACAGTTAAACAGTAATATTGTGAAATATTATTACAATTTAAAAATACTGTTGTCTATTTGAATATATATAGAGACCAAAATTTAATCCCAGTTTAATATGTTAAGATGTAATTTATTTCTGTGATGCAAAGCTGAATTTTCAGCATCATTTGCAGTCTTCAGGGTCACATGATCCTTCAGAAATCATTCTAATATGCTGATTTGCTGCTCAAGAAACATTCCTTATTATTATCAATTTCAACATTGATAGTTTTCAAAAACAATATTTTTGTGGAAATCATGATACATTTTTTAAGATTATTTGATGAATAGAAAGTCTAAAAGAACAGCGTTTATTTGAAATATAAATTATTTGAAACATTATAAATGATTTCACTGTACCTTTTTTGTCAATTTAAAAGTTTATTATCTTATATAGTTTATTATATTATCAAGTTCAAAATCATACTGACATACTGAAGTGGTAGAGTAAATGATATTGCAACATAACAAATATGATCAATTTCAGTCTGAAGTGTGTCAAATGTCATTATAAGCTGAATTTTAGGATTAACTTTGAAATGCATGGTGGCCCAAAAGGGCATAAATTAGCAAAAAAAAGTGTGTTTTTTTTTTTTTTAATTCATTAATATAGAGTTGTATTGATTTTTTGTCTAATATATTTAAAAGTTTGTTTTTTAATATTACTTTTTATACATTCATTTTATTTAAGTATTCATTATTTTCTTTCTTTCTTCATAATATTTGTTAAACTGCTGCATTTCTAGTTGCTTTGCAATTTTTTGTAGCAAATACCCCTCTGGTATACCCAAGACAATCTTCAGTGCTCATATCATGTTTAGTGCTATAAACAACCCATGAATATCATGGAGAACTGTCACCATAAGTCATTCTCAATCCAGCATCATCTCCCTCACAGTGAGAGGGGAAAAAACACAGTAACCTTGGTGAATGGGTGGGCTGAAATATATTCCCCTTTCCCAAAGTCCACCTGGCACAGATAAGCAGAAAAAGCCAATCTCCAGATAGCCAGTGACTCCGGCCCATCCATCTCTCAAGGCAACACAGCGGAAGATATTGAAATAATAACTCAGGGATTACCAATATGTCAGTGTAGAGCTTCCTCATCTCCTCACACCTCTTCATCAGCTGTCTGAAATCAGCCTCTTGCTTCTCGATGGCCATCTAGAGCGGGAGATAAAGGAACAGCAGGTGTTTCGGGTGTGCATTTTCCTTCTTTATGTTTTTTGGAGAGGTAGCGCTGGCATTCTTAACGCTCATCCTCAGAGGATTTTCATCACTGATATTTCTCTCCAACCAGACCACATCAGAAAAAGCTTTTATACAGTCAAAAGATGTAACAAACCACAAGCTCACAAGGGTCTGTGCTTCATATGATCTGAATTAACTTCCTTTCTCTATGGAGTTGTGAAAGAATGATAAAGTACATTGGATTTTTTTTTTTTTTTTTAAGAATATCCTGGCCAGTCTTTTTAACATAATGGAAATAAATAAGGAAAGGGGCTGTCAAGCTCCAAACGGACTAATAAAAGCATTAAAATGTATTATATATTCTTTTGAAGTAATATGATAGCATTGTGTGAATCGTTCAGTGAGAAAAGTAGCTTTGTCCAATACAAGTAATTCTTTTGAATCAGATCTTTTGTTCCAGTTCACAAAATCAATCTAAATTATTAAATTCAACTCACTGACTTAATGATCTGATCAAGACAAGTAGATAATGGTTTTGCACAGAAGAAACCAATTGAATAAATCATATTAATCAGAAAACATGACATTAAAGGAGTAGTTCACTCTTTAAAAAAACTTTTTCTGATAATTTACTCACCCCCATGTCATCCAAGATGTCCATGTCATTCTTTCTTCAGTCGAAAAGAAATTTAGGTTTTTGATGAAAACATTCCAGGTTTTTTCTCCATATAATGGACTTCAATGGGAACCAAACGGTTCAAGGTCCAAACAGAGCAAGGCAACCATTTGAGCTTATAAAACTTAAACTTTGTTATTTTTTTTTTTTTAAATGAGCGATCGTTTTGCTTGATAAGACCCTTATTCATCATCTGGAATCGTTTAAAGCCCTTTGAACAGTTTGCAGTTTGCACTGAAACTGTCTTTTGGACCTTGAACCGTTTGGTTACCAGTAAAGTGCATTATATTAAGAAAAATACTGGAATGTTTTCATCAAAAACCTTAAGTTTTTTTAAAAGTGAACTACACCTTTAATATCTATATTTTGTATGTGATGTACAATAACAAATCAAAAATAATTGAGTAAACCAGTAAATTTACCTTCAAGTCTTTGATGAATTTGGGGTGCTGATTGGCCGCTGTGTTTTTCCGTTTTTGTGCTTTCCTGTACTGGATGACCTTCTGAAACTCGTTCTTCACAACTAAATAGTGAGAAGGGGGGGGGATCTCTGTTTGAGGAAATTTTTAATGGAGTAGCTAAACTCTATGAATAAAATTGCAATGCTTTCATGCATTAATGCCCAAGCAAGCCAAGCAGCAACAGGTTTGAATCGAACGCTCTGCTGATTAAAAAGTTCGAAATTGTATGAAATGCCTGACCACACTTGAATATAACAGTGAAAGGGTTTGTTGATACTCTGAAAGCAAAAGTGCTCAATCATGCATCTACAAAACAAGTTTGGTGCAGAAAACATCAGATAAGACCACGTACCATCCACCTCAGCTGTAAGACCTTTAACCGAAGCTGCAGGAAAACCACAGAATCACACAATCAGAAGGCTTTCAATCAAATCAACCCCAAAAACATCTATCACATCTTCCCTTCCAATGAAATTTTGATTAGAGTACCGCCAGAAGCAGTCTCGAATTCTGCAAGCTCCAGGAAAAAGGTGGCCAAACGTGGTTCTCGCAACATGATCTGCTCCACAAGGGCATGCAGCAAGGTGAACTTCCGATTGTTCCCGCGCAGCTGAGAAAGCTGGAAAAAGGAAGGGAAAAATAATGATTGTGTTTATCCATGCACCTGCACTTGAAAAGAAGATGGTACATTCATGTGTTTTCCGAAACCTATTGAGCTGCCTATGTAGGGAGCATTTTAATGCATCATAGACACTTTTTTGACACTTTGTACTCCATAAAATACAGAAAAAAATAATAAAAATTAAAGTTAATAAAAATTTAATTTAATACAATTCATATTCATATATATATGAATATATATACAGTATATATATATATATATATATTCATATTTTGACTTTTTCAAAACCTACACTCTTAGAAGAAAAGGTTCTATCAGTGCTACGTATTTGGAAACCCTAAAAGTTCTATACAGAACCCTTTTTAAGGGTTAATTAATAAGAACACTTTAGGGTTCTTTGCAATCAGGAAAAATGTTCTATATGGAACCTTTTGGGTTCATTCATTATCATTTGTTTTGTCCTTTCCGGATTAAATATTTCATATTATTGACAAACATCAATAATTAAACAAATAAATAAAACATCAATAAATACATTCATAATGTATTTATGAATGCATGAGAATGATTAGAATGGTTAGAAAATGTACATATTTATATAATTTTATGTAGTTAATCAATATCACACGAAAAGTGCCATTTCAGTTTTTCTCCTCCAAAAAAAACAGCATGATTAAAATGTGATAAAGTTACTACAACAGTTTAATAATAAACAATAATTTAACTACAAAATGTTGCAGAATAATGTAACATATGAATGAACAATAGCCTATAAAGAACCTTTGTGCCAAAAGGGTTCTTTCTTGTCATTATAGAACCTTTTTTTTTTAGCATAAAAGGTTCTTTGGAGTTGAATAAAGAACTCTATGCTTCATACTGTTTATAGAACCCCAACTCTTTTTTCTAAGAGTGTAGTGAGCTCCCATGTAGGCAGCATTTTAAAGCATCATAGAAACTTATTTTGATTTAGCCAAATTGCAGTGAAGGCATTCCCAGAATTGCATTGTGACAAACTAAGTGAATAAAATAAATAAAATATATATTTAATATAATATAAAATAAATAAAAAAATATAAATATTTATTGATTTATATTTGTGTTGTAATTCTTATTAATGCCATTAGCAACATATTAACAACAAATTCTATAGGAATCAAGTGCCGAGTGCTATTTGTGTGACAAATTGGTCACTTATAAGGTTCCATAACAATCGGGATGCTTTCTTATGTTGGCAGTAGGGCAGAGGTTTGGGAACGGTTGGTCATATATCCCATCTGACCAGAGGGTGTTATATATTTAGAGGATCAGGTAAACAAATATTTATCTTGGGTGTGAGTGTGCATTTGTGAGTATTTATGCATGCACATGCACGCATTTCTGAATACCAATACCTTGCCCAAGGCCAGAGAAAGAGCGAGGTTTGACAATTCAACACCCACGTGCATATTACCATCAACTAAAAATGGAAGATAATGTCCTTGTACCAAAGAGCACCTCTATTGTGCACATGAGAAAAACCAGTTAACGTTTTTTCCAAAAGGATCTCCTTGACATCTGAAGGTTCTGCTCTCTGATTAACCACACAGACAATAAAAATGCTGTTGCAGTACCGCAGCAATGCTTTTAAAGATTGGGAATTTGTACAGCAAGCTAAAGGGTAATAATGATAAGGAATGGATGTCTTGATTCATCATGCAGAATAAATATAGTTGCTATTTCACAAAGGTTTAAATGGTAATGTGGATCATTTAAAGGGACAGTTCACCCAAAAATTAAATCATTTCCTCACACTTGTTTCAAACCTGTATGAATTTCTTTCTTTTCTTTAGGCAGATATATTGAATATTAAATTAAACGTCCCCAACGCCCAGCAACAGTGGCGTATCATTTACGCACCAAAAAGGTAAATGATAACAGAATAAAACATTTTGGGTGACCTATCCCTTTAAGCACTGAAAATTCATAAAATAGTGCTAAACACAAAACAATCTTATCTAAATTGCATCCTCTTAAAAGAAATAATATGTAAAGTGAGTGTGCATGCTACAAAAACCAGAGAGCATGTTCAAGAGTGATTGTTTCAACCGATCTTCATATGAAGAGGCCTGTAGAGAACAAGAGTGGTGATATATCAAGCTCTCTAGACCCATTCTTTATGGTAATGCATGTAGACATGAAACCACTGCAACAATTTCAACAGCCGCTAATTTGAAACTCACAGGGGGCTAAATGCTAATCTTCAGATGGGTGGAAAATTGGGCTATCCTCTGTTTCCAGTTTGTTTTGTTTACCATTTCAATCCCCGGACCCATTCTACAGAACTATAAGATGACCTGGAGGCATCAAATACACTGTTTGTTCGAAGCTTAGGCTTAGTTCAAAAAGGATCACTCATATTTTTCAGTTTCAAAAAGTCCAAAAGTTTTGGGTGAGTAAGATTCTTGTCTTTTATTTAGCAAGGATGCATTAATATTGATGAAAATAATGGAAAGAAGGAAAAATGATCATGTTTCCACAAAAATATGAAGCAGCACAAAGGTTTTCAACATTGATAATAATAATAAATGTTTCTTGAGCAGCAAATCATCATATTAGAATGATTTCTGAAGGATCATGTGACACTGAAGACCGGAGTAATGATGCTGAAAATTCAATTTTGCATCACAGGAATAAATTACATTATAAAATATATTAAAATAGAAAATATTTATTTTAAATTGTAATAATATTTTACAATATTACTGTTTTTGCAGGATTTTTGGTCAAATAAATGCAGCCATGGTGAGCATAAAAGACTTTCAAAAACATTAAAAAAAACTTTGATTGGTAGTGTATTAAATATTGATTTCAAGTTATTTTATATGATGGGAAAAGGAAAGATGGGATTTAAAAGATACATAAAACAACAGTTATTTATATTTAGCTGTGATTGTACAAAAATATCTGACTGTAAAATTCTACAACTGACCAATCAGAATCAGCCTGTAAGTACATATTGGTCTTAAATGTTGTGATACCTTCAGATTTCATTACACTGGTAACAAAAATATGATATATTAAATTATATTTTTGAAAATTGTAACTGCCCTGTACTTCATTATAGAGTGAGAATGTTGTGTTTCTATGGAGGAATCACAGAGATGCTGCACTCATTAGCAAAGGAGGAAGTCATTCAGCTTATTCTGGAAGTGCCCTTAAATCTTGCCACTAAGGAACTGGGTTTACAGCATCCTGGCCGTAAAAAAATCGATACAAATTACCACCATGTGTCGCTAATGACTCAGCGAGCTCGGGAAAAAAAGCCATGCCGTGTGGCTAATGAATTGGGCCTCTGCGGCAAGAGTTTGTAGAAATGAACAACAAAGAGAAACTCATAGGTACTGCATGTCTGATTTATGTAGTGGATGGAGTCATATAAACATGACAAACCAATTGGGAATTGTTGAAATTTGATACACGTCGCAGTACATATATGCCATGCAATGCATCATAACAGAATGCAACAAAAGGGTTCTGGAAATACTAGCTTTGCGTTAGTTCTGTCGTGATGACTTGTTTAGGTACGTCACTCATGCGTAAATTAGGTATATATAATTAAGAGTAATTACTTCACTCATTCATTTTGTATTTCTTGTTTTTGAGTCTTGGTAGAATTTAAAATCTTATTCACTTTATAAGTAAACAGATTTTTAGCATTAATGTTTAAAGACAGACTGACCATAATCCCTGCGGTTGTAAAGCAATGGTTTATGCTTTTGAAACTACAAAAAAAAAAAAAAAAAAAAAGCAATTGCTCACTCCAATGAAGTAGTTTATATATTTTATATATATACGTTTATATATGAATATTTTTATATGAATATTTTTTAATACATATATGAATATTTTTTAATACATTTACAAAATACTGTATTTTATTCTTAAGGAACAATATTAATCCAATCTAAAATTAATTAAAAAAAATTAATTAATTAATTAATTAATTAATTAATTTATCAGTAATGCTCACCAATTTTCAGCATCATTACTCCAGTCTTTATTGTCACATGATCCTTCATAAATCATTCTAATATGATGATTTTATGCTCAAGAAACATTGATTATTATTATTATTATCAATGTTGTGGACAGCACATTGCATTTTTTTAAGGATTCTATGACTGAATGACTACTTTTTCTATGACTACTTTTTTAAGGATTCTATGACTCAACTTTGCTGAATAAAAGTATTTATTTCTTTAAAAAAAAATACTACTGGTTTTGAATGGTAGAATATATGAGAGTGTATTTCAGTAGATTTTTTTGGTTCATTTGTGTGAAAAGCTGTGTGTACAACACATTGTGACTAAAAACAGAGACTGCTACTTCCTGAAAACAGGAAAACCATAACTCATATTATTAGTTACCCTTAATGCTGTTACCAAGGCTAAACAGATAGAACAAAGAATGAAAAAGAGAGAGAAATACAACCTGTATGTCAATAAGATGTTTTATTTGCCCTGCTCTCCTCGCCATTGCCCAAAGGTCATTTGCTGGCGGTGCGGGTCCTACCTTAGTTAAAGATGAGAGGCGGAATCCCTTGGTCCTGTCCTTGCCTGCGTTCTGGTTGAGGTAATTGCCCACGGCCAGAAGGTACTCCAGCACACTGACAAATGGCTCACAAGCCCACAGCTGCTGGCACATGCGGATCTTCTGGATAATCAGCTGCAAGACAAACAGAGAGGCCAGAACATGTCATCTCCAACTAATCCAACTGCAAACTTTTCCCTGCCTCTCACTTAACGGCCACAGACACTTAAGCACAGCCGGATTTCTCAGCGGTCTTGTTGACACAGACCGTTCTTGTCAAGTGTGTATCAGAGCCTACATTGGAAGTGCTGTAATATATTATTTGAATCTGGAAAGAAAGATAACCTGAGGATTGATAGCCGTTAGGTTAAGGGGTTCTTACTGAGGTAACAAGTATAAGGTACAATCAACGACTGCCATTCGTCAACAAGACACTTAAATCAGTGCTATTGCAAAGAGAGCTAGACAAGTATACGTGCCAAATCAAAACTCTGAACAGGATGGTGTATGACTAAGGTTGATATTACAGAAAATGGTGCCAGTGAATAATCTATTTAAAGCAACGTGAAATCAAAATTGACCCTGTTTTCTTCTTTAATGCAAGTAACATTTAAAATATATATATATATTGTTTGTAATTGTTTATTAAAATATAATGGCTTATTCGGCCTATGCAACAACATTCAGCTAACATCATCTCAGGAAAAATAACAGCTATTTCATCACCTACTGTTGTAAGTAATGCGTCTTTTCTTTTTAAATAAATGCTGGCTAATGCAATAACAGCTGTGGTGATAAAATAAAAAATAACAATGAATTATTATAATATAAAAACATTTTAGAGAGTGAATGAATGAAGTGATTCACAGGTCAGAATATAGAATAAAATTAAAAATAAATAAACAATATCTGTTAAAAACACACAGGGCTTGACAGTAACTTTTTTGCTCACCACCAGCCACTTTGGCTAGTTAAGACTGGTATTTTTACATTATTTTGTGTGTCATTGACTGTTTAAGTGCAATAAGCAGCTCAAAATAACTACTTAGTCCTGAGAGGCCGTTTTATGTGCACGTATTTTGGGCATGAGCTCAAAATTTGTAGGAATGAGTAAAATTATGATCAAAACAAGCAACTCCATGCTGAAATTCAAGCCTTGTATCCTACAATATTCATCCGGAGCAAATGAATCGAGTGAGTGAGACGAGGCGGGTTTGTGTGTGACTCGCTGTCGGAGAGATGCTGGTGTCCGGAAAATGAGCATTGGAAGCATTTCAGATATTTCACTATTGATATGTATCGAAAAATCTGTATTTTTGACAACACATTACACTTAGTTTATTATTTCAGGTGCCCTTTTAAAAGACTACAACTGAAAAATGTATATTATATATAAAATTCAAGCCGCAAAAGTGGCTATAGGAGTGACTGCGTTACACGCCACTGCTGAAATACAGGTAGGCGGGTGTTAATGTCAAGCCCTGGATGTACAGATACCAAAATGCATAAATAGAAATAAATTGCATTTGTGAAAACTAAACTCACAGTGGATCAGGATACAGACTGAATCAGTAAAATATTCCAAGAACCACACTGGATTACTTCCAATTAACTTCATCAAATTAGATATACCATATTAATTGAGGCTGTCTGATTAACATTCATATTAGTAACAAGTTTATGGTTCTCATGGGGCAAAGCTCTTGGGATAAACAGGTTTGACTGAAAGGAGTTTGCGAACGGCATTTTGAGCCATCCGTTTCTTTTTCAACCCGTCTAACAATCTGGTGTACTGAACCCCTGAGCAAAGAGCAACAGCAGAGACAGGAAAAAGTCCAGACACACAGCTTGAGTTGACGTCTACGAAACAGGAGACAAGCCATTCGACCATATGCTCATCTATTTCCATCGCATTCGCAACCTCAGCCTCAATCCATTACCTTTGAGCCCTCTCCTTCATATCTACCTGGTGATTCACACCTTTAAACACTAATTTAACCCAATGCTAATCAAGTCCCAGTGGGTTGAAGCTTCCGCTAAGCTTCTTTCCAACACTCAAAATGAGTGATCTTCTTGCATTTGTTTTTTTTACTCTAGTTCTCTCAAACTCCTGTGTTTCGGTAACCTCGTGAGCTCTTTGAGCATTGCACGCTCTCTGTTTACTAAAAGCTCACAATGCCACAAGGAGTTAGCATTCCTCAGACAGCTTTTAGACAAAGCACAACACACATAGAGAGCTCTTCAGTGTTCCCCACTCTCTAAGCCAGACCAATTTTCCACTCTATAGCACCCAGCCTGTCAGATGGTGGCTAAATCCGCCTTAATGTTACAGGTTTAAAAAGTCAACCATGTCAGACAATCCTATGGATTTAATAGCAGGTGTGGAAACAGAAGCCTGAGCACTTGTTTTTGGAGCTCTTAACAATGGAAGACCTTTTCGTGGGGTCCAAAGTTAACACTATAACATTTTCAGACACAAATATAGCGTGGGTCTTTAAAGGGATACGATCACCCAAACATGATGACTCGTGACATTCGAAACCTGTATGACTTTCACAACACAAAAGAAGATATTTTGAAGAAAGTTTGGGTCAAAATAAACACTGACAACATTTGGACCCCATTGACTTTCCCTGTATTGACAAAAAATGCATGTTCAACAGAGGAAAGTCATATCGGTTTGAAACGATATGAGAGTAAGTAAAAGATGAAAGAATTTTCTAATTTGGCTGAAATATCCGTTTACGTCCTGTCTGTATACACGAAGTGGACTGTCTTTATAAAGTATCTTCTTATTAAACGGTCAGTACACTTACAAAGTTTTCAATGCTTCGTTTTGCATGTATGGACCCTCATTATGTTACTGTGATAGTGTGGGGCTATATTGAGCCTTGTTAGTGGTATTAACTAGCGATTTCTTTTTACTTAGTTAATGCCTCCAGTACTAGCATTATACGCTAAACATTTTTTAGAGATAAAACTCTTTACATTCGATTATCATGAAAACAAATCTCAGAGAATGGTTGACAAGGTACCAATGTTTTCTTTAAGCCCTAACCAAAAAGATATTAAGGAATTTTAGATTTCTGTTGTAAATAATGATGCATTTCAAAAATATTTCAGAAATACTTCGCATTTTAATGCTTGTTAACATGAATCTAATAAAGGTTACCAGAAAAACCGCAAATAGTGGAAGATTAGGAAAATAAGCATTATCAGACCTAAAAGGTTCAGCATGACATTAGAATGTTAATTTCTAAATACATTAACATTAACTTGTTAAGGATAAACACACATTAACAATAACTAAAAGTATATTTATAGATTAAAATGAACTTAGATTAATAAATGCTGTAAAAAGAAGTTCATTGTTAGTTCATTACACTTACGGCATTAACTGAACTTGTAAAGTTTTATAGAAATGGTTAACACTTCACAATAAAGGCCCATTAGTTAAATGTTGGCTAATGCATTAAATACAAATTAACTAACAATGAGCAAATTCATTTGTTACAGTATTCATTTATAGATAATACAAATACAACTGTTCATTTTTCACATTTTCGTCAAAGTGGGAACGATTCAAATCTGGCATCTTTGACGAAAGTCAGTGACACCACGAGCCGAGCAAGGTGGACAGAACAGCAACATCGGCTAAAATAGCTGTCAATTCCCTGAGGCGAAAAAACGTAAGCCCTTACTGACACACAAATGCTGAGTCAAGCCTATTCCGATGCCATACAACACCCATAACCTCTGGACCTCTCCACACTTACTGGCTTAAACTTCCAGCCCCTGTCCAAGTACATAATCATCTGTTCACACAGAAAAAGCTTCAGAAGACGAATGTCACATCTCGCATCCCTTTAAAACACTACATTAGTTCATTACAGGGATTTCGGAGCACTTAACATGAGAGTAGAGAATAGAGAAGTCAGGTGGGTTTAAGAGACTCAAATAAAAAAGAACTTTTGAGATGCATTGAAAGTACAAGAGGGATTTACAACTTTTTTTTTTTACTCACAGGTAGAAAAAGCCTTCAGAGTGCTCTTTGGGTTACATCTCCTTCTCCCCGGCACTACCTCTCTCTAACTAATAAATGACTTGAAGGAAATTTGCCATTAGAAACTCCTTCAGCCCACTCTAAGTGCTGATTCGTTGGGAACAGAGCCCCTGTGTATTAATGCATGATTCCTTTTTCACCTAAAGTCCATTTCATTTCTTTTTTTTTCCAAGCACCAAGCTGACAAGATTATCTTTTGCATTAGTAAATTATCTTTTTTATTCCTTCTCTTTGCTTTTTTATATCCCCCTTCGTTCAGCCGTGTGCCTCAGGAGCCACTGTTGCGAAGCTTTAATACTGATTTCCTCCAGACGTACTGTGAGACCCGAGTTCACATGAGATTGCTTTTCCACAAACAAACTTTTCATTTTCTTCTTCTGTCAATCATAAATAATCATCAGTGCAGTACTATCCTAACTGCAAAACAAATGCCAGCACAAACACAAACATGCAAATGAATACACGCACACACCACATGCTGTTTATCATAACTTAAAGGTAATAATGAATGCATCCAAAAGTGCCTCTCTTTTCTTGTATCATCTGGGAAAAAATGAGAATGAGCCCTATTGGTAAGTAATTCAGAAACAGAGAGGCAAAAGAAAAAGAGCAACCGAGACAGGCTGACACAAACATGACTGACAGGTGCATATGAGGTGTTTGTAATGCGAGTCTGACCGGCGTGAGGTCCTCCATACAGATGGGCAGCTCTCGCAGCGTGAGCAGCAGGTCCAGGCGGGCGCTCAGGTCCGGGATGTTACACATCTGAGGAAGAGGTGATAAATCACAAAGATATGTCACAAAGATATGCAGTGACACCTTCACACATGCTCTGCGTGGTTCGTACGGGTGAATCTCACAAATTGAAAATGAAATAATCCAGGTCATATTTCACACCAAAAGCAAACAAAAACCAAAAAAGGACTCTATAGGATTCAAAATTTGTTAATGCATGCATAGGAATCATGTAGTAACATTGAACAATACATTTTTATAGCATTTATTAATTAATTAACTAAATATTAAAATATACTAGTATATGTAGATGTATAATGTTTTTGCACTTTGATGCATTATTTTCATGAAAAAAAATTTTTTTATTGTTTATTTTTTCATTCTCATTATTTTTAATATCAATTCTATTTTAATAAAATCAGTAAATTAGTTGTAGTACAGGGGGTACAAAACATACCTTTGGATATTTAAGTATTTTTCTATTTAAAAAAAAAATATATATATATATATATATGAAGAGCTCTTTTCCAAAACGCTATAAATCCATTTCAATAGTTTTCAGGAAAACTACATTTTTTTACCTAGACCCACACATTTTGTGAATATTCAAATTATCCTGTTTAAATGTTTTATTGGTTCAGTCTGAACATTTTGAACAATAATTATTAAATCAAACAACAATATTGTTAATGATAATTTAAAAGTTAATTTTATTTTTTTCCAAAACGCTATAAATCCATCCATTTTTTGTATCATTTTTAGTAAAGTCATTTTTAGTAAAGAGTCAAACCTCAAACAAATAGTACCAATTTCAACATATGCATGAAAAAAAACGAATTATTAAAAATGATCAATATATGATAACGATATTCAAAAAAGGGATGGGCACCCCACCAGCACATGCACACACACACAGGCTACATAACATGTGAGCAAAGCAGAGCAGCATGACGCTTAAATATAAGTTAAAAAAAAACAAAAAACAAAATAAACATAAAATATACGTTTCACATTTGTTTTTAATAATATTACATTACTTATTTTTATTATTTCATCTATGTTGAGTAGGCTATGAAAAGGGAACCGCATGAGATGAGTAAGATAGGATCAAAATTCAAAAGCTGCCCAATATCGGAAAATATTTGGAGTGCGTCAGACATGATTTTGACCACTTATTAAGTTTTGTTTTGTAGAAAGCTTGTAAATTTCGTTTCATATAAATTGTATCTTCATTTTAATAAATGTTAAATCGACAAATTGACTGGATTAATACATTAGAAGTAAATATCAGACAATATAATCAGGACACAGAGGCGCGCAGGTGAACCGGCGCGCGTCTCATATGAACCGAAACACCGCGCCGCTTGCCTCCCACAGGCCTGAGAACTAAGCTACAGAAAGCTTTAAATATCTACTTTTAAACAGAACAATTAAAAACTAAAATAAATTGGCAACTCTCTGCGTATGTAGGCTAATTCGAAGTATGCGTTTCTATAGGCCTATGCACGTTCACTGCGAAGATGGCGAGTAAGCATCATCAACTTTATCTTTGTTGCTGACACTGACAGAAAACACTAGTTTATTAATAAACAATTCAAATGTTTCATGGATAATCATTACTTTTGCCGGTTCTTTGTGGCAAGCTTTATGCATACGTTGAAATGCGCGAATAGGCAATTAAAAACGCTCATATGGTTTCTCTCCCATTTAATTAAATCAATATATGTGATTACTGATAATACAAATGGCTTAAATTATCTACTACTAGTCGACTAGAAAACTAGGACTCATTTTGAGGAATAAATGAACATAATAAACCTCTGTTCAGAGTGCCGCCGTGCTGGATTGTGTAGAGCGCTCATTGAATTTGAGGATTTATCGTGTTTAGGCTAAAAACAGGGCTGGCGCTTATCGCGGCTTGGAAAGAAACTGTATCTTGCAGTACATTTTAAACAAGGAAATATAGCGATTTGGCATGAAACGTTGATGGAGCAGTGAAAGGGTTCTTTCCACAGCAGAATGACACGACAAACTCGTTTTTTTTTTAAAATGGCGTTTATCGTGTTTTGGAAAAGAGCTCTTCATATATATATAATTTCTCACATTATGGTAATGAATAGATTGTTGTGCATTATATCCTTTTGAGAATTTGACAGGAATTAAGCTTAATTTTCATGAAAATAATGTCACAATGTTAAAAAAAACAAAAAAACAATGATCCTATTATTAAACTATTAATATTATTGTTATCCTATTATTGTTTTTATTAAACAGAACATTTTATATAATTTTAGTCTTTTAATATTGGGGTGAAATATGACATGTTTTTGCCTGAGATTCATTCATACACATTCAACAGGTTCCCAGATATCAGCTGAAATACAACACATCACGTATTACACTGAGGTTCTACACGCACATATATATTTCAAGGTAAAGATATTTATATTTTACATGTTTTATGAATTATGTATCTCACATTTCTGATGCAAAGTGACCACCACTGCTGGAAGGTGTTCTAGTAAGATCTCATTATGCAGGAACGATGTTTGCCAAAAATCGTGAAACACTAAAAATCACTTCTATAAATTCCAGCCTCAAAACTTTGGAACGGACTAGCACTGTGATTAATGCATCACAAACGGCATGTCCACGGTTGTTAAAATTGGAAACAGAAGACAGCAAGTGCTAAAGTCTCTTAAAAAGAGACGTGTGGTTCATTTGCAGTGTGAAGATAAAGGTTAAGAATTCAAACCAACAGCTGTCAAATTAAATCCCCTCATGGATTTTTCCACATAATGAGGATCAGAAAAAATTCGATGCACTTAGACACATGAAAACATGGCCCTGTGCAGTGTGCACATGGCCCAGAATCTGTAGGTAATGTATAATGCGGATTAAAATACATGAGAGATGTGACGCTTCTATAAAATGCAGAGTATAGTCATTAATGATGTCAACAACAATGTCTGGATTAATCTCATGAAGACTTTAAAGAACATATCAAATAAAATAAGAAATTATATTTAGCAAATGAAACTTGTTTTGCATCATTTTTAATTTAGAATTGTGATATTAAGCACATTTTCTCAAACAGTAATACTAAATAAATGTGAAGACACAATTCTTAGTATTTATAAAGTACTTACACATCATGGGGCCTTTCATACACTAGCATTATTGGCATGTAAATAGCGAATACACCATGTTGCGAGCGCAACTGGCATTTAAAGGGAATGGGAAATGAGACTCTGATTGTTTTTTTGCACGTTACGCCCAAAATTACTCATTAAGAAAATAGGCACAACACTTTTAGACCATGCACTGGGCACGCTGACCATTGTTCCCGTCATTAAACTAGGAAAAGTGGATACGGACGCTAACTAAGTGTGCGCTTAGATGCTTAAAATAGGGACCCATATTTGCAAAGATGGTAGTATATAATAGTATACATTTCTTCAATTTATGTTGATTTGAAATGTACACACACACACACACATACATACTGTATATTACATCCATTATTTCAGCGATTACCTCCATCATGTACTGGTCCACCACATGCAGTTCAGTCAAGTCTCCTTTATGCAATTTATACATCTCAATGTCATCTGCGGTGGGCACGTATCTGATGAAGAAAACAACAAATAAAAACATGGCAAAGCACTGAAATGTCTGCCCTCATTTAGTTTTACACCGGTCCAAACTTTCTGCTTCATAAATACTTCATAGATGACCATTTTAAGTGTGCACGATTCTAAAAGGATGTCACACAACCCTTGTTTCTTTTTTACAAGTTGACTGCCAAGCGAGCCTATTTTCTCCTCCAAGATTGCCTCCTTTTCTCTTTGCATCTCTCCATCTAGTCCTCTTAAAAGGGCGCATGCTACTCTGATTTGCAGTGGCCCGAGAAACAGAGGTTGATTAAAAGCCAAGTTGCAGTCAGCTTGTATAAAGTGCACAGGTAGTTGATGTTTGGCTGTACCTGACTTGCATCCCTGTTTGAACTCCGCTCACCTGCAAAATGGACCTGTGTTCAGGTCGTTTTAGTGTGTTTCAAATCCATACCACACTGACTATTTCATGAGCCCAAGGATGTTCTGATGGAGAAACAAGCTAACTAAAGCCACCATTAATATTGCAGTTTCAGCTGGGACCATCTCGATTAAGATTGTTTTCAGAAGCCCATGTGGCCGCACTTAAGATTTCCATCGTATTTGGCTAAATAAATATAAATCACAGTAGGTACATTAGATTATGCCTCCACGAGTCATTTAAGGATGATTCTTGCAGTCAAATGCAGAGGAGAAAGCATTTCTCCAGCTTCCCTCAGGGCAACTCAATAGTTTCCTTTTCCTCAAATACATTAGATAAAACTTTTATAAGCAGGCTGTTCTGTTAAGAGAGCCTGGCATATGTTCTTTTATATTAGCATTAAAGCAACGCTACGGTGTCTTCCTCAACATGAACTGCCCGTGACTTCTCGCGGTCTCTGTGGTCTTCATTACATCTACCACTGGAGTATCTTACAAAACACAGACCTCACTCTGCTGGTCTGCTGATCTCAACCGCATATTTTATAAAAGGGTCATTAACTAATAACATGGACAAGAATTTTTTTCAAGCATTAACATATGAGGTTAAATATGCATGCATTAACACTCACCTAAAGGATTATTAGGAACACCATACTAAAACTGTGTTCGACCCCCTTTCGCCTTCAGAACTGCCTTAATTCTACGTGGCATTGATTCAACATGGTGCTGAAAGCATTCTTGGCCCATATTGATAGGATAGCATCTTGCAGTTGATGGAGATTTGTGGGATGCACATCCAGGGCACGAAGCTCCCGTTCCACCACATCACAAAGATGCTCTATTGGGTTGAGATCTGGTGACTGTGGGGGCCATTTTAGTACAGTCAACTCATTGTCATGTTCAAGAACCGCCGTCGGTGTGTGAATGAGTGTATGAATGGGTGAATGTGAGGCAAATGTAAAGCGCTTTGGTGGCCATTAGGTCTATGAAGGCGCTATATAAATGCAGTCCATTTACCATTTACCAAGAAACCAATTTGAAATGATTCGAGCTTTGTAACGTGGTGCATTATCCATTAGGATGGGTACATGGTGGCCATAAAGGGATGGACATGGTCAGAAACTATGCTCAGTAGGCCGTGGCATTTAAACGATGCCCAATTGGCACTAAGGAGCCTACCACCAGCCTGCACAGTGGTAACAAGGCATGATGGATGCATGTTCTCATTCTTGTTTATGTTACAAAAAATATTTCAAATAAATGGTTCTTTATAATAAAAAATGGATCACGCTTTCCAAAATAATATTGAACAGCAAAACTGTTTCAAAACAAAAATCTCAGCATTGATAATAATCAAAAAATTTTCTTGAGCACAAGTTCAGCATATTAGAATGATTTCTGAAGGATCATGTGACACTGAGGACTGGAGTAATGATGCTGAAAATTAATTGTTTCGCTATCAGACATATTGAAGAAGTTCCATAAAGTCTTGTGTGTCAAAATATCATTTCCAATTAAAGGGATAGTTCACTTTGAGATTAATTTTTGATATGTTTTAGCTTACCTCAAGGGCATCCAAGATGTAGGTGTCTTTGTTTCCACAGGATTTTCAATTTTGACATTTTTCAGTCAAACCGGTGTTGTCTGTCAGTCATACACTGGCTAAGGGGGTCCACCAAAGAACATGCACAGAAGTCAAAATGAAACACGATTTAATGACTCGTAAGTGTAAGTACACATTGATGGCCTAAGACACGAAACGAGCGGTTTGTGTGAGAAAACGAACAGTATTTATATCGTTTTTACCTCTTGTAATCATAGCCATGACAAAATGATCTGACGGCACGGGCGTTTCGGTCTGCGCATGCGCCGGAAGTGATCGCTTGCGCGCCTAAGTCACTCTTTGTTTATACAGAGATTTTCGGAAGTTTTACCCTTCACTAAACATATTTAGATATACGGGAAACCGCAATGGAAGACGATTTCGGTATATCTAAATATGTTTAGTAAAAGGTAAAACTTCCGAAATCTCCGTGTAAATATTGAGTGACGACACACGCAAGCGATCACTTCCGGCGTAACATTGAACTGATTCAGTTCGGTTCAGTTGGACATTGCACAACTGATTCAGATCACTTGGATTACACGAGGTAAAAACGATATAAATGCTGTTCGTTTTCTCACACAAACCGCTCGTTTCGTGTCTTAGGCCATCAATGTGTACTTACATTTACGAGTCATTAAATCATGTTAAATTTTGACTTCTCTGTGCATGCTCTTTGGTGGACCCCCTTAGCCTCCAGTGTATGACTGATAGACAACAACGGTTTGAAAAATGTCAAAATTGAAAATACTGTGGAAACAAAGACACCTACATCTTAGATGCCCTTGAGGTAAGCTAAAACATACCAAAAATTAATTTCAAAGTGAACTATCCCTTTAAAGAGACCAGCATAACCTAGTTTGGATCAAAATGGAATTTATAAACCTCCTGTACATGCTTTTAAAACTTGACTTAAAAGCATCAAAGCAGCAAAACAACACCACAGCCACAGACATCTGTCTGCATGTGTTACTAGACAAACAATTAATCAATACACATTCAATTTAACTATTGTTTCAGGTGTGGAGTTTGGCAGGCTGCCTCGTCTCCATGTATCTCTTACCTCCTGAGAGAGGCAATATGCTCGTCTGAGAGACCCCCTTCCTCTTCATTTATAATCAACAATTTGTCCTTGAGCTCTTTTGGATGCACAGGGAAACTTTTGAGGAAAATATCTGTGGGGACAATACGCAATATATTTACACAGGTACACACACAACTCTTGAAACAACCTCTCCTGACTACAGATCTCCCCCACCTGTGGTGAAAAACTCCAAGCGCATTTCGAAGACAAAAGTGTTGTGCTTAATTACCTCTCTATACATGATCCAGGGAGGGCCAGATGCATGCTGATTTGCATTGTACAAAACCTGAATTGATGGGATTTTCATTTTACCTAATAAACCTAGCTGTGCTGAAGTTGCAAACAGAAAAAATGGGAGCTGTGGCAGCTGGGATGACGCTCATTACAGCAACATATTCACACTTTGATTGAGTAGCACAAGGTTCAAGGGTACAATTACAATGTTAAGCCTCTTTTCCTGTTTGCACCAAGTTGCACTACAGAGAAACCATTAGTTGTGTGAATGGAAGGTTCTTTCATGGTTAACATGATTTCATCTCGGCAATGAGCCAAGCGAGAAAAACTGATTTCATGCATTCTTCTAAACATGGGAGGCCAACAGCCTTACAAACACAAAACAGATTAACAGAGTATTTAGCATTCACAAACACTTTGATTGATTTGATACAGCAAAAATTAAGAGTGAGTCTCTAGAATTTATCCACTGTGGCTTAACTGGACCGAGAAAAGTGTTTTAATATCAGAATTCGCAGTAAATCTCTTTGTAAAAAGACAAAAATGTGACTCCCACTTCACATGAGCTTGATGATTGTTTTATTCTGAACACTGCCACATTCCCAATTATAAAAGGGTGAGCGCACTTAAGCAGTTAGTCATTCCAAGTTTTTTTTTTTTTCATAAAAAAATGCAAAAGTTCTGATTTGATTTATATTTGTGTTTATCTCAGATATGCTGTCATTTTACTTAATGAATATTAATGTGATATTTCAATATATGGCTCTGTGTCAATCTAGAACTATGGACCAATGGTGACGCTTAAGCCCGCCCTAATTTACATGAAATTCGAACTGCAACATTTGGAAGCGCAGGACACAAGAAGAGCGAAAAACATGAATTTAAGTTTTGTGCAAAATATTTTTTAATGTGTCATGCTTGTGATTTTTTGATTCACGCTTATTATGACCACGTTCTTTGCTTTTCTGATAATTTTGCATTATATTTTTCAATTTGCGCAATATATTTTTACATTTTTGAATCACGCTTATTATTTTTTGATCCGTGGCCGCAACACATTTGGTGGGATTTTGATCCCATACAACCGTTAAAAAAACTCACCAATACTAAACTGAAAAAATAAAAATAAATGATTGAGAATAACATCTTCACTTGCATTAACATATCATTTAGTACTTTTATGTTCCAATTATATGCCGTTCATCTTATTTCAGTGATTGCATTGAAAACAGCCAGAGCTGTAGAGGCTAACAGGGACTTCAGACTATGTTCCTCACCCATGATTCCAGTAGCTCACCACCAGCCAAACCCCTATGAAACGTCTTCAAGCTGTAATCATGGGTTTTCGATTAGCAATTTATGTTCTTTATGGGTGGTTGGAGCAGTTGGAGTAAAAAAAGTTCAGATACATTAAAATGGAGTACTATGATACAGCCCTTCAATTCAGAAATAGGCAGGACAGTTTGTTTTATTTATGAAGACCGTGTGGTACCATCATTGTTCAAGGACTGGACTCAAAGAGTGATGCTCACTTTAAAGCCATTAGCTATACTGTAGCTCTAAGAAAGGTTGAAAGAGAACATATATAGTCATGTGAAAAAGAAAGTACACGCTTTTGAACTCGTCAAACAAGTCCTGACACGTAAAACCATAGATATCAAAAAGGTGCGCTTTGTTTTTCATATGACTGTATAGTGGGTCCAAGAGTCTGAGACCATTAGTGAAAATGCTTTTCTTTAGCAGCTTTCTAGTTAAAAACGCAAAAAAAAAAAATCATTACAAATAAACACTATATGGACAAAAGCATGACCATTACACCAACGGGGACTGTTATGACATCACATTGGTCCTCCCTCTGCAGCTATAACATCTTCCACTCCATTCTGGAAAAGTTTTCCACAAGAGTTTCTCATTCATCTGGTAGAGCATTTGTGAGGTCAAGCATTGGTATTGGATGGGGAGGTCTGGCAGGCAATATCTGTTCCAGTTCATCCCAAAGGTGTTCGATGGGGATGAGGTCAGGGCTGGGCTATGTGAGGGCCAGTCAAGTTCTTCACATCCAACCATGTCTTAATGAGCCTTGCTTTGTGCACAGTCATGCTGGAATAGAAAAGGGCCTTACCTAAAATGTGCCCACAAAGTTGGAAGCATAGCATTGTCCAAAATGTCTTGGTATGCTGAAGCATTAGGAAAAGTAAAGGGCCAACCCATGAAAAATAGCCCCATACCATTAATAATGGTATCCCAGAATCTTCCAAATTCCTAAAACTTTCTGATTATTTTCTTGACTATTTTCAATTAAATTGTAGTCTCAGACTTTTGGACCCCACTGTATATACAAAACTATATATGGGGAGAAAAGGTTTATTGTGAGATATAATTTAAGACATCAATGACCGTAACCTTTTTCTCCTAGTAATCTCATATTTCATGTGTGTCACCTCTTGAGTTTAAGAGATCTCAAACTGTGCCACCAAAGATCCCAAAGCCTACAATTATAAGTCAGAGATATCGTCTTAAATCTCCAGAGACATGAAAGTGCAACCTCGAAGCAATAAACTGTCCTCTGGATAAAAGCGTAGCCACTAATGCTGACTCTAAGGTTGTGTTAAAAGTCTCAACAGAGTCCTCAAAAGTGTCTGGCATTAGATTAGTCTTTGAGTTCGTATTATTAGGACCTACGTGTGCTATAAACTATATCAAGAGCCAAATAAGTAGTCATATTACAGGACATAATGAGTCTGTTCCAAAAGCTAATGAACTGCCCTGCGGCCACCTACCTAAATATGCAGTTTTCTTCTAAAAGAAAACAGCAACAAAGCAGCAACCATACAAATAAGACCCGGTTAACTATGTATTCCAATGCAGTTTAACATCAGCATGAGTTTTGATCAAACTGGTGCAAATCGGGGCACTAGCCTAAATAAGCATATAAAATTCTGTTAAATCAGATTTATTATTGAATGTATTATGCCTACAGTACACATGCATTGATATATGCTTACACTACCGTACAAAACTGGTCTGTAATATTTTTTTTATTGTTTAATACTTCTTATTCAAGATGCATTCTGTCATGACAACCCTCTTAGAACAGAAGATTGGCAATGTTAATACAGGTGGAGCTGGGGAAGGTGGAGGGTTTCTGAAAAGTGTTTGAATGATGATCGCTAACGAATAGAGTTAAGGACCAATCAGCCTGCGCCATCTAGAGTTTCGCGACAGAAATATGTATTTCAAATAAATGCTGTTCTTTTCAAAGAATCCTGATAAACATTGATCACGGTTTCTGTAAAAAAATATTAAGCAGCACAGCACAACTGTTTGATAATAATAAGAAACATATCTTAAGCAGCAAATCAGCATATTAGATTTTATATTGTAGTCATTTTTCCACAATATTACTGTTTTACTGTAAATTTGATCTAATAAATGCAGCCTTAATGAGTATAAAAGACTTTAAAAGCAATAAAATATCTTACCGACCCCCAAATTCTGAACGGTAGTGTACAGTGTTCTTAAAATACTGCTTCTGTAGACAACTCTCACTTTTTTTTTTCGTGAAAATCAAGCTTTTAATGTTGTTCATATGTCTATGAGGTGTTTTTAATGTGCTAAGACAAACCATGTGTAAATTCATAAGTCAACATTATTGCCAAGTATTTTCTCTTTAAAACTGCTGTTTGCTGGTGTTTCTGACGACACAAACTACCTTGTAACCAATCGCATTAACCGTGTGATCGTCAATGGGTGGATCTCTGAGCTGCTGTGAGTGAGTGGAGGCAGGGCTCATTTGCATATTCATTGAACTACGCAAGGATATAAAGTTACATTCAAGCTATTTTAAGGTATTTTTTTCAAAGAAATAACTTTTAAATATGTCATTTTGGTGATTAAAGATGAGTTTGAAGGGATAAAGTTATTGGCTACATGCAGGGGGGACTTATGTTATTAATTAATATTAAATAATATGTAAAACATAACCATTCTAGACACTTTATTCAAATAAATCTCACTGCGCTATGATTTGTAGTCATTTTGTTTATTTATTCACACGAAGGGGTGGTAAAGTTTAGCCGAAACTACTATTTAGGGATAGAAAGCAGATTTATGATAAGGCCCAGACACGAGTGAAATGCACAATCGCATAATTCCTCCATCTATATTTCCACTGCATAGTCATCTGTGTGCCGAGCAACTTCAATCTACATCTGCTTACAGTGTGTGTCTGTGGAATAAAGCTAAGAGTCATCGCATTTACAACCGTCTGTATTTTGTGTAATGCTTCAGTGAAACTCTGTGATACTTAAATATTCGCAGACGTTAAATACTATGAGCATTTCCTTCCACGCTAAACGCAACCACAGATGCCGCCATTCAAAAACTCCGAAAAACTCAATCACCTCGCTAGTCTCTTTCCTTTTTTCATGCAGTCAGGGGAGTTTTCTGGCTGAGTTATTACTGATCAACATGCAATATTCATCTGAGAAGGCATTATCATTTTGCCGAGCTCCGTAGCCCTTTGCCCCTTCGTGTTAGACTGGCTGAGAGATAAATTGCCTGGGGGTTGCTCCGGGCCCTGATTGCCTAGCGTCGCAACTTGTCAGAGACTGGGGAAGAGGAAGAGGACACTTGGAAGGCATGAGATATCTGCCACATAGGCTAGTAAGGGTGCCATGCATTTTTCATAGCACTCCCCTAATTGAGGCACCTGTGAGAGAAACTCTGCTGCTGGTGTTATTGTTTTCGTTCCGATTTACAAGGATTTGCTCTCTTTTGAAATCCAATCTCTTTTCTTCCTGAGTAGACGAGGCCATGCTTTACCTCTTTGTGAAGAGCTAAGGTAAAACTTGTGGAAATGTCTTTTATTTTGCATAAAATGGTGCTTGTCTAGTAGAATCCAACAGTAAAGCACGAAATGTGGCCTCAGCATTTTTTTTATAACATTTTCTAGGGATGTTTTAAATTTTAATAGCCGAGATCACAAGGACCTACTTTCATTTGCAAATCATTTTTTTGATCTTTAATGCTTTTTGGAGTCAGTAAACACTAAGTAAAAAAGCATTTACAAAGCTTCTGAAGCTATTCAAGTCTCATATAGTGGCAAAAAAATTGTTTCCAAATAAACAGGGTGGTCAAAAATACCAGATGTTTTGTGCTACCTCTGATGTGCTTAAGAGAATATCAGCATCATTATTGTGTAAGATAAAGCTTGGCTTCTGGGAAACACGCATCACTAAGAGGTATTTTCAACAGAACACTTGAAACCCAGTGTGATGAATCAACATATTCCATGCTTTAGTATCAGTTGGCGGGCACTGGAACATTGCAGTAACTTTTTATGCTGCAATTTCCAAGCAGTGTATCCGTCAGTTTGATGCAACACTGCCACCTAGTTGTGTCTTTTAGAGCTCTTTTTTAGAGATGGTCAATATGTAAATTGTTCCTGAGCATTTGTTCTGTCTATACTCAATTTTATTTTCGTAGAAAGCTTAATCCAAAGGTCCAAAAGTCTGAGAAAAGGCACCACTGAAAATATAACATTTATTTAATGACAAAATATTTATTTCATTACAAATTATAGCAACTCTGAATTTCAATCAACCACGCCATTGTTATTTTAGTATTATTTATAATTTACTGTAGTATTTATTAATATTTTTAATTGGCTTTTTAAAATATATTTTCAGTTTTTATTTTAGTTTAATCATTTTGTTTTGTGCTTTTTATTATTTTTTGTTTTTTTATAATTGCTATCAAAATCATTATTAATCTTATCTAACATATAGATTTTGACAACACTATTTTATATTTATATTTAAATGTATTATTATTTTAGTTGTAGTACTTTTTCATTTGTAAATTTTGTTTTAACATGTATTTAATATAATATTTATTTTATATATTTTTTTTTTTCAGCTTAATTTCAATTAAAGGAAACCATTCTTAATAGTTAAGTAAAATCTTACATATTTCTACATTTATTAGTTTATCTTTTTCAAAATGATAATGCTAAAGTTTGATTCCAGGTTTAAATTCGAAGATATTTTATATTTTGACAAAAGACTATGAATTGAAAAGCAAGCTTTTTAGCAGACTGCTCAGTGAGTATTTTAGAAAAGAGAATTGTTTCTTGATATTTCTTATGCTCATGTGTTTATTCAAGGTGTTTGCAATGGCAAACCTCACTGTTAGTATTGTTCATACTTTTTCACAAGCCAATTTAAGATTCGGACATGAATATTCATGATAATCAGCAAATCAGCATATAAGAATGATTTCTGAAGGATCATGAGACACTGAAGACTAGAGTAATGATGCTGAAAATTCAGCATCATTAAATTAATTAAAAAAAAAAAAACATTAATAAAAATTACCAACCCCAAACTTTTGAATGATAGTGTTCTACAATACATACAGCAGAAATTAGCATTTGATGCTCAGAATTTCAATGTGATCTCCGCTTTTTTTTGCACAAAGTGTTGAACGGTACATGACAACCTGAAAATGCATTAATAAATGCATTTTAACCTTCCAGAAGTCCAAGCCAAAACAATTGCTTAGAAAGGTGGCACACCACTCTTCAATAGGTCATTTGCAAAAACCTCTAATAAACAAATGAGCATAAGAAAGATCAAGAAACAATTCCTAAAGTAATCAGCGTAGTCTGCTAGTGTTTTGTTAAACTACAAAATCTATTGAGGACTTAAGTATGTGAGAACTAAACTGTGTGCAAATTGTTTTATCAGATCCATTGTTATTCCGAGCCAGAGGTTTTTAATGGTCCTCTCTGTTGCTGCTCTAATCCTCCCACAGAGATCAATAACCCACACCATGACTTATTCCCACAAGCTCTACAACAAATACACCATTTATAACGAGACACGGCCTGACATTTCTCCTCAAGCAACAACATTAGGCCATGATGGAAGTTCACCTACAAATGAAAACCTGTCATCATGTCTCATGTCATTCCAAACCTAATTTCTATTGTGAAAATGAAAAGGTACTTTGCATTTAAAGATATTGGCTGATAGCCTGAGAGATACTGCAATACTTACTGAAATTGTGAGCGATCCTTGAATTCAACATGATTTCCATAGTACTGGTGGACTCCGATCGGTCTGGGCCGCCTAACTCTCTCACTCCAAACAGCTCAAGCAAGCGTGAGGTGTCAATTTCAGTCTTCCTGGGGTTCCTGCTAGACCATATTGACTTCTCGATCTGCAAAGGCAGGGAACAGTCAATGCCATTATTTAGCAAATGATTACATATTAAGAAAACAGATTTAGCACAACTACCATATCAGAGCTGAAACAGCAATATGGAATGTTGAATGAGTCCTTTAGTCTGAATTTACAAGCAAACAACATCATCGTACATTTAAAGGAGTAGTTCACTTTTAAAAAAAACTTTAACGCTCTCCCTTCGCTTGAAGAAATCAGGACAGAAGTGGTTGAAAGTGGACAAAAGAGACGGGTGTAAACGAGAATGTGTCTCCCTCGTCTACTTGCGATCCGCATCTTAACACCAGGTGTGAACAGGGCCGTAGATAAAACCCAACACAAGAGCAGATACCTTATCATGAGCCACTGGGTCCCAATGAAAAGCTTTTGTCCTCTCTGAAAGCTGCTTGGATCTCATGGGCAGCGGAGGGGGCAAAGGAACGGGCGGTACAGGACCTGGGCCTGCTGACGGCACAGGCAAAGTCAGAGACGGTGATGGGCATGTGGCCACTGGTGAGGTTGGCTTGAGCACAGATCTGAACTCTGCTGTCCGGGCTGGCTTCGGTTCTGACGCTTTCATGGAAACGATTTCTGGCTCTAGTGTTGTTGGATTGTCTACAAGCTCAGCTGGGAGTGTTTTGGGTAAACGTGGTCTCGGTGTCGGTGGCACTGGTGGAGGCGTGACCTGCACGCGGTCGTTCGGTGTCTTACTTTCTGACTTTGTACCGTCAATGAGATCTCTTTCAGGGGCTTCATAGAAGTGTTCATGTTGTGACTTTCGTTTCCAGTCCACACATAATTGTTTGATCGCTTTCACCCAGGCGTCTCGCTCATATTTGATTGCCTCTGAGGTCATATATTCGCTTTTTGGTATTCGGAACCTGACAAAGATAAAAAAAAAAGAAAAAAAGAGTGTTGTTGAGTTAACTTTCGGTCACACATTCATTTCCTCTTGACTAGTATTTATTGAGGTAAAGATCAGGGATTGAGAAAGAGCACTTGACTCACAGGAAGTCATTCTTGTCGTTGATCAGCGTGAAGGTGTCGGTGGTGCAGGAGGTCTCCACCCTGACATTACCGTCTGAGAGATGGATGATAACAGCTGTCCCATCAGCCTCAGCACACCTGATATCATCCACACTGTCGTAAATGTCTGAGAGAGTCCAGACGGTCTCACTGGAGGAAACCAAGTCGTCTGGATTACTGCTGGCAGATTGCTGAGCAACAGTCCACAATGTCAGCTGACCAGTCTGAAGATGAGCTTCATATCTAAGAGTGCAGAACATAACTGTTAATACTCTTCAAATATATATATATATATTTGCCCCCCATTCAAAGTCCCTTTCAAGGAAAGTCTGTTGAGTCGGCGGCCATATTTGCAACACCTATGTGCAGTTATTTCGGGCATCCAAGACCAACTCCTATCTATTTGAACGGGGGAATCCTGATATCTCAAAAACTGTTTCCCGTACTCACATTTAAATAAAATATGTCAAATTAGCTAAAAAATCTGACATGAACTCTCATAAATTGTTTCTTATGCTTGAATGGAGTTTAAAAAAAAGCTTATTTTAAAAAAAAAAGTTTTTTTTTTTAATGATTTTGAAATAAGCCTCTTCTGCTTACCAAGGCTGCATTTATTTATTCAAAAATACAGTAAAAACAGAAATAATGTGAAATATTATTAGAAATTAAAATAAATGTTTTCAATTTTAATACACTTAAAAATTTAATTTATTCCTGTGATAAAAGCTGAATTTTCAGCGCCATAACTCCAGTCTTCAGTGTCACATGATCCTTCAGAAATCATTCTATTTGCTTAAGAAGCATTTATTATTTTATTTTTCCATGTTTATATATATATATATATATTTAGGAATAGAAAGTATTTTGAGGCACACTGACAAAACAGAAATACAGTCTTTAATTGTTAATTAACTATATTTAATAAGGCTTTAAGATTGTTGACATGTGGCATTTCTATACAAACTTGCATTCAATTTGCAAAAGAACAAATGTTGTGCTGTTTGCTGTGCAAAACATGTCGCAACAATGCTGGATCCTTGCCAGAAATGTGCAGTTGCTCAGGTTTACAGTTTTTGTTTATTGCTGGGTGGTTGCAAAGCTGTTGCTGATATTCTGGTTGCTATTTATGATCCAGTGGAAGCCTGTGGGATTTAATTTTGCCGTTTTTATAGGTAAATACGAATCGAATGTTACTTTAAAGTGACATACATTCTATAATTTAGTATCTATGGTTAGGGGTTTGTTCAAAAAGTATGAAAATGACCACTAAAATGTTAACAAACATGACTTGAACATTCTAGTGACAGGATGTTTGTGACGACCAGTCTAACTGGTATAAAAACTGCCGAGGGCTGTTTTGCTAGAAGCAGACAAAACATAAAATGTCAACAAAATTATACCTTTTCCATTTGAATGATGCCAGTCCTCCTCTCTGGAGCAAAAGCTGTCCCTCTTTGACGTTGTCCGGAGGCAAGTGTGAGCTTTTCCTTTCAACAGACCCATTCACAGGAGGGCTGTATATGTTACTGTAGATGATCTGATTAACCAGCAGCATGATCTGAAGGTAAGATTACATGGTTTTTGAATACATCAATAAAGATGCTTTATCATGGCCATGCAGACTCATATTAATAATAATGGTTTTAAAAAGACAGCAGATTTGATGTGTGTTTAATGATCTGCCAAAGACTGTGATTCAATCCAGATGTTCTCACCTTCTGCTTGTCCTCTAAAGACGCAGCTTCCAGCTCATAGTCAGACCGACCTCTGAACGAAATGGAGAACCTGGTACCTGTAGCTTCATGACAGTTTTTCACATCAGAAAAGAGGAGCTGGCGTTTCACAATGCCTTTCTCGATGCTGCATATTAGGCTTGTGCTGAAATCAATCTGAAGCATAGAAGCGTGCATTTGTTACATCGTGGATTCAAACGTAACATGCATCTACGGTACTCGATACACACCTGCAGCACTCGCTTCTGCCATATGTAGCGGTTGAACTTGCGGACACTGAAGTTATACTGTGACGGCTGTTCTTCCTTCAATAGAAAAATGCAAAACAAAGAATTCAAGAATACTTCCAAAAAGGTCACTTTACAATAGAGATGATTAAAATCACCATAGAGAGCTGCTCTTAATATCAGGGACAGTCCCGCTACGACTGGTTAAACAACAAATCATTTCCTTAACAAGAACTGTGCCAAAACTAATCAGCTACTTTCTTATGACAAATGTTTAATGAAATCAGTCTGATTGAATTACACGACCAGTTATTTAAGAAAAGAGACAATCATCCTCATAAGGTTACTTGCCCTTTAAGGAATCTGCAAAATGATAATTTATTTAATTAAAATAAGAGGGATCACACAAGATTCTTGTTACTTTTTATTTGTCTGAATAAGATGCTGGGTTGTTTCAACCCAAATTTGGGTTAAATGGGGACAAACCCAAATGTTGGGTTAAAAACTTAATTTAAAAAAATTACAGTTGAAAGTCAAATTTTACATTACATTTTTAACCCAACATTTGGGTTTGTCCATATTTGACCCACATTTGGGTTGAAACAACCCAGCATTTTTAGGGTGTATTTAACAGATGTTTGCATATGGTCCACAAGATAAAAAAGGAGCGATTAAGATTTTATAAAAATTTATAAAAATGACCCCATTCAAAAGTTGACATACCCTTGATTCTTAACACTGTGTGTCGTTACCTGGATGATCCACGACTGTTTTCTTGTTTTGTGATGGTTATTCTTGAGTATTTTGTTTGTCCTGAGCAGAAACTGCCCAGTGTTCCTCAGAAAAATCCTCCAGGTCCTGCAAATGTTTCAGTTTTCCAGCATCTTTTGCATATTTAAACACTTTCCAGCAGTGACTGTATGAACCTTTTTTAATAGTTGTGTTTTCCATCAATTGTCCTAAAGATGGATCTCAAAATCATACAGTAACTGCTGGAAAGGGTTCAAAATATGCAAAAGATTCGAAAAATGTCGTGGATCATCCAGGTGACGCACAGTATTGAGAATCAAGGGTATGTCAACTTTTGGGGTCATTTTTATAAATTCAGAATTCAGCTATTTTTTGTCTTGTGGATTATATAAACATCTTTTATGTCAACTATCTTATTCAGAACAGTACTAAATAAAAAATAACATGCATTTTGTATGATCCCTCTTATTTTGCAGATTTTGCAAGGTGTACGTAAACTTTTGAGCACAACTGTATATTTCAAATGTTGATACTGTAAGTTCTATATTGGCAATGATTTTTTTGCCCAACTCTTGATCAACGTATATCACCTCCAGGTCTAAGTTCCTTTGTTTCTGTTCTGAGCCACTTCTAGCCTGATTTACAGCTTCGTCGATACTCATTTTGCCCGATTTCACCATGTCCATGAGGTTCAGCTGCATTTCGTTGCTGAGCTGTAGAAACAATGAGAGTTTAAGTCAAGAACTGTGATTATTCTTTAGACAAGCACATGCTGTCTCCACGGAACATTGTTTGGCAACAATGAACTAGCTGACAAAAGACTGTTGAAATGAGGAAGTTTTGATGATTTTTATTTTTGGCACACAATTTACGGTCATTGTAATCTTGTATTTCATGCTAGTGCACTTTAGCGGACACCTGATTCCCTATGACACATGTTTGGTCTTGTAAAATTGTAACTTTTTAATACACTATATAGAGACACTATATGATTCCTATTTTGGTTAACACAATCATTGTAGGACATCAAATGCATTATATTAATCTGTTAATGAATTGGAGAATACAGCTTTTTTTAATTTATGAATTCACAATACTACATTCATTTACATGCAGCCATGTGTTTTTTTATATCATTTTTGTTTATTAAATCTAAACAAATTAAGCAGTTTAATGATTATCTACTGTTTTACACTGAATATTTGAATAATAGCTTTAAGAAATGTCTCTTACCTGAGGTAAATGCATCGTCTTTCTATGATTCATGTTTCTTCATTGGGCTTCAAGAGACCAAAACATGACAGTTCAACCATCAGTCAAACTGAGGATTGAAAAGGTGTGTGTTTGTGTGAGAGGGAACTTGGTAGGCTTGTATGGAAGGTGTATTTATTACAAGGCAACTTCCTGAAAAGCGGCTTACCTGAAGATAAAAAAAGAAAAAGGTGAAGTCATACATCTCCACCCTTTATCTGACTTCTCGTCTTTCTGTGGGACTCACCAAAATGCGTGTCTCTCAGTTGAGTCATTTAAAAATCTAAATGGCTTATGTATTATGTTTTTGTCTCTGCTGTTGTGAATGTGGTTGGTTGTACTTGAACTGTCAAATTTGATGTAAAAAAACATGTCCACGTTTGTTTAAGTTGTAACGCAAAATTCAACCGCAAGATGGCGAACATCCACTACGACGCAGTAAAAGACAACTAAACTTTAAATAAAGTACAAACTAGTTCTATATTAGTGTTGTGATCATGAAAGTGGTTTGTAACTTACCCAAAACCAACTTTAAATCAGATATTGAAGCTGTAAAAAAAATATTTTTAGCTTAAATGCTATGACGACTATTCACCAAGTTAAACATGTAGATTCAGACAAAATATCATAGTTACTACAGTTATTACAGAATATTTCTTATTCCTAACGCTTGGCGGTAGATGGCCGAGTCCATTTATTAGCCTAATACGTTAACATTTTAGCCATAGTCAACGCTTCATTTACACATGTGCTGGCTGATGAGCTGTTGCTGTGCCTCTCTCAACCACAAAAGCCTTCTTTCATCAGTTTTTTTGCACCCTTCTCTTTAACTTTTGGCAATCTATAGAACTCGAAAGGTATTTTCCCGATGCGACCGATTAGTACAGACCAAAAATCGACCATTTTCCAGCAGAAATAATCAGCCAAATTTCCCGGTCCGTTCAGTTCAATGGCATTGTTTATGTTCTGTAGCACAGAATCTGTGCCTCCAAAATGGCCGACTTCTTGATTGATGACGCGTCGTGAAAAATCGGAAAAATCCATAAAATCGGAATGTTTTTTGATACCTTGGCATTAATAAAAAATAAATAAATAAAAATCGGAATGTAGAAGTGCTCAGTTTGAGAGAATCCCAGAGAATTAACGGTGTTACATTAGTTCCCAAGCAAAATAGAGGAGGTTGATCATGAATTTGATAAGAGCCCGCAACACTATTTATAGGCAAGATTTTCGTGCTAGAACACTTTTTCAGCGGGAATGCAAATTATAACAGAACACAAAAGCCACACCACACACATATGGCTTTTAATTTGTTTATTTCATTAGAAAATATGTCACTATCATTTTAAAGTTATTTCCATAGATCAATTTTCTGCAAAAATAACGATTGACATGCTTGTTTGCTTCGCGGTTTAAAAAATGATCTGGGCCGATGTAACGTAGGCTATTAAAAAAAGATGACACTGTTTACATTATTTTGATGAGTAATATAAAAACATTGTTTGAACTCTTGAATACACTTTCAAGCATTTAATAACCACAAGCAAAGTTTAAACATGTGTTATTATGTAAAGTATCAATCCCCCCAAACATGTTCATAACTGACTCCGGCTTAAAATAGCTTGTAGGCCTACGTCAAAATAAGTGACAGACTGAGAAAGGGAAGTGTTTACATCCTATTTCATTTACGCATAGTCAAGTTTACATATTCATGCAGATGTATTTTGTATACTGGTGTTTCTACCTTTTGCATATTTGTCAATTATTTAACATATAGACTGTGTGCTCATATTGTCTGATACCCTACAGATTTGTTTTATACAAGCCCCCTAGACCGTGTAACATGCCCTATAATAGCCCCCTCCCTCTGAGAAAATGTAACATGTGATGTCCATATTCTCTGAACTGTTCCTCATGGGACTGAAGGGTTTTTCACTAAAATGTTTAATTACAGTATGCCACACTCAAATCATTCTCAGAATGTATACCTGCATGGTGAGGAAGTGATACAGTAAGTATGAAAAAATCATCCAAGCGTGTCTGAAGTCAGACGTCACTGTGCTGGGATCTGACTTGTTGAATCATTGATGATCAGAGAGTATTTATTTTCTTCCATGGTATGTCCCCAAAACTACTCGTGTAGTCCAAAACAACTTCCTTGTTACATGGGGATTTCCTCCTGCTATCTCTTGAATCCAAACCTGGGCTTTTTTCTCTTTTTTTTCTAAGGGAGAGTCCTAGGGGTGGGATTCACCTGTGGCTGTTAAACTCTCACGCTATCATCTCTTTTCTTACTGTGGCAAACTCTCAAATGAGCTCTTTCAAAGCATGCTGGCATTATCTCAACATTTTTGTCTTATATTCTTATGGGCTATTGTACTATATTATATATCCTTCTTCTTATATATTATTTAATATGTATTCATATTTTTAATGTACATTTTTAGATTTTCATTTTTATACATATTTTATTTTAAGATTTAATTTTGTTATGTGCTTTTGTCATTTTTATTAGTTTTTCTTTTTTTATATTTTTGTTTAGCTTTAATTAATTTTTTATTTAAATTTTAGGTATTTGCCAAGACAACACTTCCTATTTTCTATTAAGTTTTGAAGTTAAAGGTTTTTTCACGTCTTTTATATTTCATGTTATTCCAGATTCATATAAAACAATCATTTTGTTAGGAGCGGGTCGAGTAGGACCCGGGTGGAGGGGTTACATTGGTGCCGTGACCCGGATGGGAGTGAGGTTTAGGGGGGTAAGTGTAACGGAGACCAGCTAGTAGTTGCTGTGCAAGTACACTTCACTCCTCTGATCTTAATAGGCGCTCTAGCGACAGACGCTAGAGGCTGTAGTTTTTAGCCTCCTTGTTAGAGCGCCCGACTCTCATGCCGGAGGGCTCGAGGCCTGCTCGCAGGGGGTCGAGTAGGACCCGGGTGGAGGGGTTACAATGACACACGGACCCAGAGGCCAACCAAACCTCAGTGCTCTTTGCTCCAGTTCCACCTGATCCGCCATGGGGACCTTTCTGATCTGCGGTTGTGGTCTTCTTCAGCTACGCCTGGTCATAATCCCTGTCCTGTCTCTAGTGTTTTGTAAGGACTTTTATGTTGAAGTGTATTCTTAGTTAGTTCCCATTATTTTATATTTTGCATGAAAATAATAATGTCATTGGATGGATAAATAATGTCATTTCCATGCAAGCCTTGTCACTGGTGAAGTGACTCATTACAATAACAATAGCGTTTGTCTGAGGAGGAAGTGAGAGTCAAGCTGGGAAGTTCTATCTGGTTGAGTTAAGTTAGATTGTTGAAGGATAAACCATCCCATGTTATAATCTGTCTTTTTTTGTTTGTTTGGATTTTTTGTTAATTATCGAAATAAAGAACTATCAGCTTTCCTTCTAAAACTCGAAACAGTACTTCTAATAAAATAATAAGCGTCATAACCAATCTTCTCAATAATCTTTGTCAGTCAATGCCTTTAAACCGACTTTAATTTGTAGGCTACTCTCACTTCTTGGAATAGCATGGGGAAATGGGAAATGGTCACATGTCACATGTGGGCGTGTCTGAGGGAAGAAATCCCCTCTTGCGTTTGTGATTCATAGTTGAAGAGCTGCAGCAGACTGTTTAGTGTCTTATGTGTTTGTGAAGCATTAACAACTGGTCAAAAGGATCCGTATCTAAAGATATTGCCATCATGAAGACAGTTTTCGTTATTTATTTGCTGGTAAGTTGTGTGCTGAGCGCTTTGCGCGTGCATGATAACTGCGCGTAAATGTTGGTGTCTGTTGTTATTTACCTGGTTGATATTCATTGTAACAGTACTGTTATTACGTTTCAAGTGCATTTTTTTGGAATTTTTAGATTGGCGTTGGTGCTGAAAGAATGACTCGTAGCTATGTTTCAGGTTACTTTCACTTTCTATTTGAATGCGCATAATAGCACTAGAGAAGCGTACACGTATCTCTATAACTAAATGACATATGAAAACAAACATGTGCATTGTGTATTGTTAAATAGTTAGGCTATAAGAATAAGGTTGCAGTCTGCCTTGTTTAAAACGGTCATTCTTGGTGGGGATCTCAGGGACTTTCCGTATTAGCTACTGTAACGTCGTTTCAATTTTAGTGTGCCCTGTTGGTTTGTTTTGGGGTCTGGGAGTTCCCATGTCCTTAACCGACTTAACTAGCTCGAAAGCATACATTTCGAAATATAGGGTTGGTTGTTATTGACGCATTGTACGATAACTGATTATTAAAACGATTGTTTACTTGTATTTGCTAAATAAGATGTTTACAGTAAAAAAAAAAAAAAGTAATGAAAACGACTGTAAACATATCAGTCTTCTTGGAAAAAGCTGTTTTATTCTTCATGAAGTGGGCCGGTCGTGTCATATCCTCATGGTCGCTAACATGTGGACATCACATGACCTGCCACAGTTTTATTCATAATGTTCCTCATGTCTTTCTCTTTGACAGGTCACACTGTTACACTTTGTGTTATGCTGTGAGGAAGAAATGCATTATAAGAACAAAAATGGTGATTGCTGCAAGAAATGTGGACCAGGTATGTGGATATAACAAATAATAAACTCACCATGCAGTAAAAAAGAGCTAGAGCTAACTTGAAAAAAGGCAACCTATCAGAATCAACTAGTTCGCTCCAGTTAAAGTCAACTTAAAAACCTTTGTTCATCTAATGATTAGCAGGTAGTTCTTTGAGTTAACTTGTTTTTTTTTTCAGGTTAGCTAATCTTTTTTTTTTTTTTTTAATTGCCCAGTCCTTGCTTTGTCTTAATATTGACCACCAATAAACCCATCAATACTACCATATTTCACATAGTCTTAGTCCTCTTTTAATATACGAATCTCTTAGTTGAATCCGAGTGGATAGTTACTGTGAGTGTGTCACAGGTAAGAGGATGATGATGGACGACAACTGTCAGGACCCGCGCTGTCAGGACTGCAGAATCGGAGAGTATCAGAGTGGCTACACAAGTAATACCAGATGCGAACGCCAGCCCAGCTGTGACGCCAGTAAGAGTGCATTACTGCTAAAATACTGTATTAGGAGGTTGGAGAGCTGTTAATAAATACAATGTTTAGTCTTGGACTCAAAATTTTGAATGAGACAAATGTATGATTTTTTTTAAACAGAAACACATTTAATTTTTTATCTATTGATATCAATAATAAATAGTTTTAAAACTTAATTATTAATATATTCATGATAAACCTGTGGATAAATGAATCTGCTAAATGAATACATTTAAATGTAATCTCTCCTCTTGCTTTTCTGTTTAAATCAGATTTACATTTAAAGCCACAAGAGGATATACCCATAACAACCCGTCTAAACAAATGCGTTTGTGAGCCTGGATACTACTGTACAAAAGAGGATGACTGCAGCGCTTGTATGGAACACAGTGTTTGCAAGCCAGGAGAGAGAGTCGCCAAAAAAGGTTTGTACTGTCAATATTTGCTGATTGTGTCCTGAATTGCACCACCAGAATAATAATATGCCACATCCCTGTTAGACTATCACTTCAGATGTGATTTAGAGAATTTATAATCATTCTGTAATCATCTGATTCGCCTTAAAGACACCTTGGAGGAATCTGTTAAAGGCTGGTGGTTAAATGAAAGGTTATACACTGTAAAAATGAACACGACTGAATATGTTAAATCTAATCAATAAAATTGAGGCAACAGATTACAATCAATCTTATTAATTAAATTTAACAAATTAGAATTGAGTAATAACTAACCAAATGAATTACTTAAAAGTTGAGTAGAATTTACACATTTATTAAAACAAAAATATCAGAAAAACAGACTAAAGTCAAAGATGAATTAAGAACTCTTTTTTTTTTTAATTGCCAACACTGAAGACACCTGATGATAACAAGCAGAATCACTGAAAGAGAAAAACGTATTTTTAAGTCACCATTATGGAGATCAGTGTGTGTTTTAGTTGGGCCAATTCCGTATTCTTGAGTTCTTTCTTTGACGTCAATCTGTTTTTCCGATATTCTTTGTTAAATTTTTTTTTAAATTCTACTCATTTTAAATGGTTAATATTTAAGTAATTCATGCGGTTAGTTATTACTCAATTCTATTTGTTCAATTTAATTAAGAATATTGATTGCAATCTGTTGCCTCAACTTTAATGATTAGATTTAACATATTCAGTCATATTAATTTTTACAGGTTCAAACCTCTGGTCATGTTTAATCTTTGCCCCTCATCTCCTTGTATTTACACAGGTACACAGGAAAGTGATACTAAGTGTGAACCCTGTAAAAACGGAACATTCTCCGATCACGATTCAGCCGACACTTGCAAGGAATGGACAACGTATGAAAAATCGTTCTGATTTTTTCACCTATTTTAAAAAGATATTAATGCATTTATTCTTTTGCACTTTCTACTCATCAAAGAATCCTGGGGGAAAATATATCAGGCCTTTCACATGTATGAATATAATATGAAGCAGCACAACTGTTTTTAACATTGATAATAAGCATCAAATCAGCATAATAGAATGCTTTCTGAAGGATCATGTGACACTGAAGACTGGAATAATAGCTTTGAGTTAGGAATAATTTAGTCACAGGAATAATTACATTATAAAAATTAAATAAATTAAAATTAAAAAATTATAATACATTAAAATAGAAAATAATTATTTTCACAATATTGCCGTATTTTTTGATCAAGTGAATGCAGAATAAGAGACTTCTAAAGCATGTACAAATGTTCAATTTTTGTTTATTATATTTTTTCATTTGGCCATCATATTTATAGCTTTATATTAGAATTTAAGTTAAGAGTTTTATTGACAATCATACAAAAGTTTATAATAGTTTTAAATTTCTCTTTTTTTCCTGTGTTTAGATGTGACTACGGGTATGATCAAAACACTCCTGGCAGTTCAACTTCAGACCGCAGCTGTTGTGAGTAAAACAGAATCTTGCAGCTTTTTTAATCGCTATGAATTTTAAATGGTAAACAGAATTGAAATCGTTGTAGATTTGTTAGCTATTAAAAGACTTAATGTGGGTGTTGAAAACACAGTAGTGAAACCTGATAGTTGTGTGGGTGGAGTCCAGTTCCTGGACATTTGTGTGTTCACTTTTGATCACTCATGCTTATTTGAAACAAGACTGTGAAGCGTTTGCACCAATTGCAATACACACTCAAATGTTTTACAATGCTGTCAGTAGTATTGGTCTGATTACAGGTACCTTTATTAAGCATGAGGAAGTCTTCTCAGTTTGTTGTGTGTTTTGTTTTTCTCATTTCAGTGGGTTCACCCGTTTACAGAGCTGCCATTGGCGTGGGAGTTGCAGTACTTGTGTTGCTTTTCATCATAGTTTTAGCTGTGTATTTTAACATGTTAAAGAGTAAGTACTGCAACCTACAAATTATCTACAATAACACAAGTATACTGTTTTTCACAATAGAGTGCCACAGAGCCGCCCACTTTTTCAGCGACATTGGTTCCGGAAGGATTTATTCCATTCATTTATTTTATAGGGATAACTTTGATTTGAAGCAAAAAGCATTTGAAAATCAGACAAAAATACAAAGCCTCAAGACTGTGTTCTTTACGGCTTTAGAGAGTGAAAGAACTACAATCCCATGAAGCTTTGTGTAGAGCATAATCAAATTAAAATTATATAGAAATATAAAACTACTAATTAAGGTAGGTTTACAATTAAAAATGTATATATATATATATATATATATACAATTAACTTTTGTGCATAACATGCACATATATACCAATATTTTCAGTAGCACCTCAGTTTTTTCAGTACACGAGATCCAGGGGGTGGAGTTGGATCCAGATCTAAGGGGTGGAGATGGGTAGGATTAGGGGTGGGGTTAAGGATCAGGGGGCAGAGATGGGTAGGATTAGGGGTGGGGTTAGGGATCAGGGGGTGGAGATGGGTGGGGTTAGGGATCAGGGGGTGGAGATGGGTAGGTTTAGGTGTGGGGTTATGGATCAGGGGCGGAGATGGGTAGGATTAGGGGTGGGGTTAGAGATCAGGGGGTTGAGATGGATAGGTTTAGGTATATGTAAGGTGGGAGGAGTTGGATCTGGATCCAACCCTGGATTTCGTGTTCTGCAGTGAGGACCATCTCAATATTTTGGTGCATTTTGCTGACTTATACTTTCTGATTGGTGAAATTTTCTGCGCAGAATCATGGGTAATGTAGTTTTTCACCACAAATTCTGCAAATATTTGAAAACAGAAGCAAATACAATTGATTAAAAACCTCGTAGCTCACAGTAAGGCTGTCTTTAAAGGTTTAAAATTTGTCATTTAAAAATCAATTTCCCTATATGGAGAAAAGGAGTTCTTTTTCTTCCGGAATCAGACTGTTTCACTCTACAGGCTTTTATATTACAATTTCTATGCGATCAAGTGCTCATTATATCTTTCAGAAATAATAAACAGTCATTGATAATTGATGTTTTTACTTTTTTTCTAGAAAAACAGGGGTGGAAAGCGGTAAAACCGGTAAATATTTACTATTTAATCATATGCGACATTCAAAGTCACGCACTGCAATAAATTCAAAAACAATGTGTGGTAATTAATTATAATGGTTATTTTGTTTTTAGTTCGCCGAGAACCTAAAGGTTAAGCCCTTAAACATAAAACCGATCCATCACCAGGCAGATCCTGAGATAGGAGACCAACTGAACAACCAACAGCCTGAGGAGGACTTTGACCCCAGCGAGCCTGTGAGCCCCACGCCAAGTAACATGACAGAAAATGGAAATGTTGTTGATCAAGAACATGGCAAGGAACATATCATTTCAAGTACTGAATCAAATGCATATTCATATTCATATTCATAGAGGAAAGTCTTGTACAGCGTACAGAAATCTGTCCTCCCATCATGATACAACCATCAATGAATGCATTACATTATAAAGCACTGCATTGCTCTAAACGTCCCCAAACCAGCATGTGTCTTATACAATCATACAAGTGTTTTTTCATGACTGAAACTGTTTCTCCATAGCATGAGCTGTGTGTTTTCAAACATATGCTGTAGAAACTACTCTGTGCTGCTGAGAGTGTTTGCCGTGTCCTGTGGTAGTTATGAAATATAATCCACCAACATAATAATCACAAGTCCAAAATAGAAAGCACATAAACAAAATTGTAGTGGTGTTTGAGGATAGCTTTTTGTTGAGCTAGCATACACACACACACGTTTCCTTCTTCTAAAAGAGCAAGGAAGAAAAGTGGTGACGCACTATAAAAAAGTTCCTATGGATGCTTTTCCCAGAATGCTTGACAAACCACAACTTTCTTGAATGGAAGTAAACTTTTCAGAACTCTTCAAAACTTTCCTAGTCAGAAGTGTTAGCTGGGATGGAGTATAGCGTTGTACATAAAAGAATGAGTATATTGTTTTATTATGCTCAACATCATGTATGTTTTAATATTTTGGCGTTTTTGTATGTATTTGTTTGCTGTTAGACAGATTGTTAAATGGGATTTCGGTGATGCTTTGTATTGTTTAATGTAAATATGTCCATTGAAAATCACAATTTTTGTTTGTGAATTGTTCTTTTATTGTATTTTCTTTCAGGTGTATGTAAAATAAACTATATATCAAAGCATTCCTGATAACGCGTCTATCATCTACTCGCCACTTATGAGGTGTGAAATGTCCACAGAAAAAACTATTGACAAGTGTTATTGTGTGAAACTGAGATGCATTGTGGGATACTCTGACTGTCCACAAGAGGTTGCCATTCCCATGTCTGTGGAGTTTTGGGAAAAATATAGCTTACAGTAGCCTAAAATCACATTGCAGCATTTTCTCAATTCAACTCACTTAACTATTTTTGGAAAATATACGTATTGATGTAAATATTTCTGACTTGACACATTCTTATAAAGCTCATATTTGTTGTATACATCTAAACAAACATAACTTGTTGAACTATGAATCATGGTATAGCATGCAAAGCATAAGACCATATGCTGGGATCAGGAGGCCCTTGTGGGACGCATTGATTGCCGATTTAGGCATTGTATCTCACACCATTGTTTAACACCTCAATCCTTATCTCAATATCACAGCCTTTTGCCTGTCATGTTTAGACTGGGATTACACATCATTTGGGCCACTGAAAAGGGGGCATGGAGGAGATTGTTGTGCCCAGTGTGTGTTAGCTGTGAGTATGTGCTTGGGGGGTGGCTGGGAGGTTCTCCTTTTTTGTACCCAGGGGTTTTCTCATTATCCTTGGATTAACAGACCACAGACCTTTGAATTTACATGGAGGCCATAGTGATTGGCAAGGAAGAGTCTTCCTTTTATCATTCCCTCTGCAGAGGGGAGGCCGCAAAAAAACAGAATATTGTCCGGAGGCTTAATCATGTTGATGTGTTTGTGTCTGAGATTTATTAAAGAAACCAAAGGATGCAAGATTTTTGTTGTTGTTGTTGCTGCCAGTTTTTTAATTTTAGATTTTTTTTCTCATGCCAGTTCATAATAGGGTGAAATATGCATTTTCGCTATCAGCATGACTTAATATGTATCATTATTACCATTACATTTCTTTAATTATATAATTCACTTTTTAACTTGTTGTGTCAGAATACTATTTATTTCCACATAAGTAACTTTGTTCAGGGTTTGATCCTAGCTTTGAGCACCAAATGAGGGTGTAAAGCCAGGTCCTCTGGCACTTTTCGTCTGTCAAATCGTGACTAAACAGGAGAATAATCTTAATTATCACCCTTTAAGACGGAACAATTCATGTCCTTAATCCGCGATGCCTTGAATTGTTTTAACAGATCAGAGCTAGATAAGCAAATCCCTTAATAGTAGTGTCCTCACTGATAACATGAAGCCTAAATCCAGCCTTGAAGTGAAACGCTTTGAACGCGTCTTGATCTGCCTCGAAAATCTGAGAATTCCTTTCGAACGACTGCAATTATCATATATATATATATATATATATATAAAGTTCGATTGTTTACATGTTTTTTTAAAGGTTTTGGAGAGTTATGATGGCTACATCATCTGTGACTATAAAAATAAAACTATAAAATAGTTACTAAATTCTGATTGGATGAGCCGCGCTCCAAAGCGTTCTCAAACAGCGAACATTTACGTAAATGTATGTGGTTTAAGATTAATCTAACTAATGTTTTTTTTTTTAATGATAACCTATTCAAATCAATTGTTTTTATCCCATTGCTGTTGTTGATATTTTATTTTAAAAAATCGCGTCTGATTTGCACTCGTAGGCCTTGAAACCTACATTGTAACGTCGAATATTACATTTAAAAAAGCAATTTTTCCGATACATAATGGTCTATATTTTACTTATGTTGCCAGTATTTTCAATGTTTTTGCAGCTAAGAACAATATAGGCCTTTTCAGGTAATTCACTGAACAGATTTTCGTGGTTTATTGCTCAAGTGAATTGGTCTTTCAGAAATTCAATGCTTCTGTAAAAGCAAAACAATGCAGAAATTCGCATTTGAAATCATTTCTCATTGTAAAAACAAACCCCCAGATCATTAACACTGACCATGAGCAAAACCTTTAGATTTTTCAACGTTTTATTTTAGCAAAAATAAGTCAGCAGGTAAATGCATTTATAATTTAAACAAAATAAATGTACAATATTTACAGAACACGTTTCCTTTGGTTTTTAAACCATGCAGGAATTTTGATTAAATCTTTTATGCAAACTTCCACAACAAAACGTCCCCAATGGTTTCAAAGTGCAAAATTGAGTCTAGAGTGTTTTGGATGAAGAGTCTCATTGACTTTGTTTGAGAAGGTTGTGTGTGGAAAGGTTCACGGGTGAGTAGGAGTCTCTTGAAGGCCATCCAGCCCACCATTTCCCAAAGTCTGGGCTTTGATGGTGTTTCAAATCGCTGGGTTTCTTGACGATATCAGAGGTCGCGGTTTCCGCGAGAGACCAGATTTTAGGTTTCTGGGCATCGACGTTTTGCTTACACACCTCTCTTTTGGTCTCACACGATGTGTCAGACTTGTCACTTTCTTTTTGCTGATCAAGTCCTTCTGCTAAACGGTCCTCCACCGTGACATCCTCCTCCTCATCAACCGTTTGAGGATCGATCTCATCTTCATCCTCCATGCCTTTCCTCAAGGACCCCTCCTCTTCGCTCTCACCCTCCTCTTCCTCATCCTCCTCATCTGACTTTCCTTTGGAGGCCCAGCTGACCCGGTTCTCCTTCTTCAGGCGGCGCCGGGCATTGGCGAACCACGTCGACACCTGCGTGAGGCTCATCTTGGTGACGATGGCAAGCATGATCTTCTCGCCTTTGGTGGGATATGGGTTTTTCAGGTGTTCGCTGAGCCAGGCCTTCAAAGCGCTGGTGCTCTCCCGGGTGGCCACTTTGGTGACCCGACTGGGGTCATCAGCTGGCATGGGACGATAAGGAGTGTAATAGGGTCCCCCACGTCCGAGGAGAGCTTGGTGATATGGTGATGCAGCTTTGAGGTCATAGGAATTGCTCTGAACGTAAGCAAGAGATCCAGTTTTAGAATATGAACAGTTTTGTATTACAATAAAGACAGTAAAGGGTTTGTTCACTCAAAAATGAAAGGTCTGTCATCATTTACTCACCCAAAACCTGTTGAGTTTCTTCTGCTGAACACAAAAGAAGATATTTTAAAGAATGTTGGCAATCAAACAGTTGACAGTAGCCTTTGACTTATTCCTACCATGGCAGTAAATGGCTGCCATCAACTGTTTATTGCCAAAATTCTTTAAAATAATCTTCTTTTGTGTTGAGGAGAAAAAACTAAACTTGAGGTGAGTAAATGATGACAGAATTTTCATTTTTGGGTGAACTATCCCAATTTGTATTTTTAATTCTATATACACTATAATTATACATATTTTAACTTTATGCAAAAAAAAAAAAATTCATTTTTCTGCAATGAATTGCAATGCAATATGAGAAGAATTCAAAATACTTACAATGTGTGCAATGTGTCCCGGATGAGGATAAGGGATGAAGCTGTACCCCGGTATTCCTGAGAAAGGTAAGGGAACCCCAGCCATGCCCACAAAATGTGGCGGTGGCTGTTGCACTCCAGGTGGGCAGCCCAATAATTGATATCCAGCGGGCATGTTGATGTTTCTGTCCATGAAGAAGTTTCCAAACCCCGTTGGTGAAGCAGGCATCCTTACTCCCTGAGCTCTAGTGTTTGAATGACACTCCCACGAGTTCACGGGCTCTCTTTATAGGCGGAGCCGCATCAGTGGGCGGGACCAGAGTGGGTGATTGACAGCTGTGATCCGAAGGATTTCTCTGGGAGTAAATCCCTTCAAAGGAGAATTTCGGTTGTTCCTTTTAACGGCCTCTAAAAGTCTTTAAACTCATGATGCTTATCTCACGCTTATCCGTACTGAAGAGTGGAAAAGAGTAGGACTCCGTTTGAAATTCGCATTTTCTGGAGATGCTCTTGTGATACATCCACCTCAAATAGTTTCACATAATTAAAACTAGGCAACATTACGTAGTATATAGTCTAGTCTACATGAAGAAAATCCGGCTGTTTTAAATGATATAATTTACAAAGTTTTTTCAAAAGTTAAGTCAAACGACACGGCTAAATGATTTTATCTAGGCCTAAGAAATATTTTTTATTATTTATAGTGATGACAGAAGAGCAATTTTTGGTTCCTCAAAGAACATTTCAGTTCCTAAAAGAACCTTTTTTTTGTGCGAAGAACATTAAAAAATAAATCTAAAGAACCCCTTTTCACCTAAAAAACTTTGAAGGAATGGAAAGTTCCAAGGATGTTAAATACGTCAATAAAGAACCTTTATTTTTAAGAGAGTATATTTAATCTTGTTTACATGAAGCCTATAGCTAACATGCAATGAATTGAATCAAGCTCAGTCGGGAAAACTGAAAAGTGATAGCCTACTAAAGCTATTCGGAACAAATGTCGCACATTAACGTCTCAGAATAAACTTTTCTTTCCATCTTGCTGAGACTGTTTCATCTTTTTGTTTGAGCAAACCGATAGGCTACAAGACACAACATGACGAGCCATTATCAAAATTTGATTAGCAACACGGTGCAATGTGTGTCTGAAGCGTTAAAAAAGTAAGCAAATACCTTTTAACTAATTAACAAGGGTTTGAAACCTTTAGTCGCTTTGATTTGACATTAGATCTGATGTAAGTCTAAAAAAAAAATGCAGGCTATGTATTTAGCATAGATTGGGCGTCTGATTAATTGGTAGGCCTAACAAAATAGCGGCTTTTTTCTATCTCTTTTTTTACTATTATGGGCTAGACCTAATGCATTTTTGCTATTTTCATTTTTAAATAAGCATCGCTAAAAAAGTCGTTTAGTTATTACACCATATTATAGATTTATAGGCCTTAACGAATCGTAACGTGAGAATTTTACATATTTTTGCATATAATTTTATATATTTTACACACCGTTGTGTAGACGTTGGCGTTTTGTAAACAAAATCTGTCTACACGACGCTTTTATAAATCAAATAGGCTAAGCGGTTTTTATTTTCCAATGCAATGCATTTAATTTTTTTTTATCTTATTTTTTTTTTTCGTTCGGTTCAAAATGAACATGGACTATGAATTATTTGGCTTTATTGTGACCGAACTTCAAACCTATTTTAAAAGGGGATGAATTTGTTTTCGCCCGCAACAAACCAGTACAATTGTCGTAATTAAATAGGTTTAAGTGAAACAGGTGTCGACTAATGTATATGGTAATTGCAGCATAACAGATGTTAATGTAGGGAGATACTCAGATAAGATTAGAATTCCTAAACATACATACCAATGCCCTGGAAAGAAAAGCACAGCAAACAACCTGATAGCAGGGGGTGCAGGCAGTCTCTGACATTGGAAATACAAGTTTTTGTGTTGTTGAAACTTGCTCTTTAATCTGTTATCTAGTAAACAGAGAAGTGGCATGCATTGTTTCCTAAAAGTTTGACAGAGCCCCGCCAAATAAAGTTGAGTTATTTCTCACGCATCAAATTTACAGCTAAATATGCTATATGTTTCATACAGCTTGGTCTCATCACCTTTTATTTGGAAATGTTTATCAAGATTTTGTGTGGTGAAGGTGTGAGACATTTTAAGGGCTGACAGACAGATAGATAAAGAGAGAGAGAGAGAGAAAAGGGAGAGAGTTTGGAAGCAGGGTGGGGCTCGGATCCCCTTGGGCCAAGAGCAAATTTACTCAAGTAGCACAATGGTCAAAACGGAGTGCAAAGAGCAAAGCTTATGCTGCATCTCTGGAGATAAGCAGCTCAGGGCTGTGATTATTGTGTTCCTCACACACTCGGCTTTCTCCACTCTTTCCTCTCTTCTCGCACACAATACAGGTGTACTCATGTTCTGACAGGTCCAGTTAAGACTGTTTGCTTAGGGGATGTCAGTCATTTGCCGAGAGGAGAACAGTGTGAGATAGTAGTCCAACATATTGCAGATAAGAGATGAGCTTTTTTCAGTCTTTCGCCACAGAGACGGCGAACGAATCGAGATCGGCATGATCAGAGATTTCTCCTGAGAGCCGGATTCAATTTTTGTTTCACTCTACTGGAGCTCATTTCAAAATTATTGTGGTTGGTTAACCAAACAGATCAACCAGATTAATCAGTGCAAACCAACAAGCATGATCAGAGAGAAAAGGGCCCAGTACTTATAGCTTAGTGTTACCAAAACCATAAGGTCAGCCTGAATCCTCTATAACTTCAGAGAAAATATAGGTGTACTGTAAAGATATTTGTATAGGTCAAAAGTAATTATATAGACATTGGTGTGAACATAAATAAATAAATTATATATATATATATATATAAATTATTTATTTATGTGTATATATATATATATATATATATATTAAACTGTGTATATATATATATATATATATATATATATTAGTGTTGTCAAATTGATTAATTTCCTCTAACCAAATATATATATCACACACACACACACACACAACTTTTATATTGGATGCGATTAATCAATTTGACAACACTAACATATATATATATATATATATATAAAATTGTTTATATATATATATATGAAGAGTTCAGATGCAAAAGCCTCTAAGTGCCATTTGAAATTTTCTTCTAAAATGATAATTTTTATCAAGCTTGTATATCTAAGTTCAGTAATTTCACTTAAATGGCAATGAAGATTACTTATTAATTGTCATTTAAGTGAAATTACTGAACTTAAATATACAAGCTTGATGAAAAATGGTCATTTTAGAAGAAAATTTCAAATGGCATTTAGAGGCTTTTGCATCTGAACTCATATATATATATATATATATATATATATATATAAACAATTTAAATGGAATCATATGCGCCATATACCGCAATAAATAGATAAATGTGCACAAAACTTGGTGTTACTATAAGTCACACTTCAAGATGGCTGTTAAAGTCAAATAAATTACAATAAAATAAAATCAAACAAATCTTTGGTAAATGTTGGCAGAATCTTGTTTTATGTTCTTGATATTATTACGACAAAGAATATGATTTTTATTTTGCTGTGTATTTATACTGCATACCTTTTCCATAGTACAATTTAGGCCTAATAGAAAAAAAACTTCTCCAAACATGAATAAACAAACAAACAAAAATCATAGTTACTAGTGGTGGGGAAATACAACGGTCAAACATGTCAGGACAAACCAGACTGGTCAAGGAACTCCAAAACTGAAAACCAAACTATCTGTTTTTTCCCCAAATGGAATTCTTTGCAAATGGGAGGATCGTCCATTGACCAAAGTATGCGTGTCCTAATGAGCTGATAATGACAATGGGCAGAGGTGTGACTTCATTTAGCGCTCATCACATACCGCTGAGCAGACAAAAGGCTTGAACATGTTATTAGAATGGCCAATAGTCAGGTGTCAAAAAGACCCGTTAACAAACGCATGAAGGGAATCCACAGAGAGGGTTTCACACCTTCTACATGTTAGTTTTTCTTTCTGGAAGTTGTTTCTTTACAACCCGTTCTGAGGTAAGGAGAGATGCACCATTACAAATCAGACCTGGTGGAATTAAATCAAACACTGTGTATTAAGTCTGTTAGTGTTACCTATCTAAAAGAATACCAGCTAATAAAGAAAAAATCATCAAATCTAATTTTACTAAACCAGAAAAATGTAGAGAAAAAAAATCATTGGAATAAAAATGTAAATAAATTAATTGATACATATGTTACTTTAAGGAGCTTTGATCCGAACTTTTAAAATGATTTTCATTGCATGGTGTTGTTGATTGAGTTATGTTCTTTTAATATGGACATGAATAAAACTGGTTATGAGTCTTTTGAATGTTACCGCATTAAATGCAGTTTTAGGTTTTACAGTGTGGAGAAACATAAACGTCCATTTGTGGTCTAAATTGCTCTCATAGCCCTTTTAAAATGAAGTTTTACTTTGATGTGGGCCATTTCAAGACAAGACAGGCCTCATTCTGAATGCCATGACCTCGTAGAAGTGTTGCGCACCTGAAACAATGCTGTTGTTTTTAGTGTTCAAACCCCTCATTTTGAGAGCTAATGAGCTATGCCAATGCCACAAACCTAAACAGAGGGAAGTCAGCTGAACGTGAATGTTATCAGCCTCTCTCACCTCCCCTCTATCAATCACCCCCTCCACTATCCATCTATCTTTTGTCATTTGTATTATCAGCCCCACTCTATCACTCCTCTTTACAGAGAAGTGACATTGCAAGTACTCACCAATGGGAGGATGCCTTTGTTAGGGGTCTGGAGCAGTCCCGCCCACTCCTCTTTCTCTTTTGGGGTGTGATTTGATTGACAGCCCCCGCATGGGGTGAGTGACAGGTGGCGTTGGTTGGCCTGTGACGGTTTGTGCCGTGTCTTGGGGTCCTTTCGCACGAGCATCCTTACAGTGTGTGTGGTTGGGAGTACTGTGCGATGGTCCAGGTTCCTGATGTGTGATCTACAGCCTGAATGAAAGACTGGAACACTGCAAAAGAGGACAGAACAAGACAGTGAAGAGAGAACATCACAATTCGACGGACAGACAGATAGAACGATAAACTGCATGATAGGTAGATAGACAGACTGAATTATAAACTGCATGATAGACAGAATGATAAACTACATGAAAGATAGATAGATAGACTCCATGATATGTATATATAGATACAGTATATATGTATAGATAGATGATAGTTAGATGGATAGAAAGATAGATAGATAGATAGATAGATAGATAGATGAGTTAGATAGATGGTAGTTAGATGGATAGATAGATAGATAGATAGATAGATAGATAGATAGATAGATAGATAGATAGATAGATGAGTTAGATAGATGGTAGTTAGATGGATAGATAGATAGATAGATATAGATAGATAGATAGATAGATAGATAGATAGATGAGTTAGATAAATGATAGTTAGATGATAGATAGATGGATAGATAGATAGATAGATAGAAAGATAGATGAGTTAGATAGATTGATAGATGATAGATAGATAAATAGAACGATAAACCACAGACACAGATAGATAAACTTAACGATAAATTGCATGAGACAAATAGGGTTAGATAGATAGATAGATAGATAGATATATGAGTTAGATAGATGATAGTTAGATGGATAGATAGATAGATAGATAGAGATAGATAGATATAGAGTTAGATAGATGATAGATAGATGGATAGATAGATAGATGATAGTTAGATGATAGATGGATAGATAGATAGATGAGTTAGATAAATGGATAGATAGATAGATAGATGAGTTAGATAGATGATAGTTAGATGGATAGATAGATAGATGATAGTTAGATGATAGATGGATAGATAGATAGATGAGTTAGATAAATGGATAGATAGATAGATGAGTTAGATAGATGATAGTTAGATGGATAGATAGATACAGTAGATAGATAGATAGTTAGATGGATAGATGGATAGATAGATGATAGTTAGATGGATAGATAGATAGATAGATAGATAGATAGATAGATAGATAGATAGATGAGTTAGATAGTTAGATGATAGATGGATAGATAGATAGATGAGTTAGATAGATTGATAGATAGATAGATGAGTTAGATAGATTGATAGATGATAGATAGATAAATAGAACGATAAACCACAGACATACAGATAGATAGACTTAACGATAAATTGCATGAGATAAATAGGGTTAGATATAGATAGATAGACAGATAGATAGATAGAATGATAAACTACATGATAGACAGACATACAGATAGACTTAATGATAAAGTGCATGATAGAAAAATAGGGTTAGATAAATAGATAGACAGATAGATAGACAGATAGAATGATAAACTGCATGATAGACATAGATATATAGACATACAGATAGATAGACTTAACGATAAACTGCATGATAGATAAATAAGGTTAGATAAATAGACAGATAGATAGACAGATAGAATGATAAACTGCATGATAGATAGACATAGATAAATAGACAGATAGATAGACATAACGATAAACTGCATCATAGATAAATAGGGATAGATAGATAGATAGATAGATAGATAGATAGATAGATAAGTATAGACAGAATTACAGAAAGACAGGTTTTAAAATGTATTATGATTGATAGAGACAGACAGATTGATAGGTATATAGTATATAGTCAGACAGACAGAAGCACAGAATATAAGCATAGACATAACTACAGAATGATAGACAGACATATAGAAAGCAAGACAGGCAGATAGACATAAATACAGAAATATAAAAGCATAGACAGAAATATGAAAAGACAGACAGTCAAATGAGAGCTCTGCCCCATATATATAGGCTATATGTATATATCCAAAATGAATCGTGTCTATATTAAGCATGATGATCAGTGCTCAGAAACTCATGCGGTATCGACGCGCGGCAGCGAGACTCGCTTAACAAATGCACCCCTTATGCGGCCGTTCTCTCCTCACAATCAATACCTGGTGTGCTTGTAAGGCATCTGTGACATGACATCTACATTTTGGGTCATTTGTAAAACAAAGACTACAAGGAAGCTGGAGGCCTTGAGCTGCGGGTTTCAGTTCCCCCTCCCCGGCACAATGGCGGCCCTTAACCGCAGGGGGAGCGGCCCTCAGATGGAAATGAGCAACCGAACCAACAATGTAGCGCCTAATCTCTTCAGAGAGCTGGGAATCAGTTACACAGCAGTAGAGGCCTCTCCGTGCTTTTCAGCGCATACGCAGACACACACACACACCCTCCACCCCCCTCCTGTGTAGCCACAGGCTCTCCCCTTACACATGGGCCAGATACAAGGTATCCCCCTGCAACAGAAGGGGCAAGAATAAGTGGGGCGTGGGGTGGGGCAGAGCCCTCAAAGCACGGGATTAGAGCTAATGTGCCCTCCCTGGGTTCTAATCTCTTCAGAGGAGCAGCGTGTTTGAGGACTGCGGGGCAGTCAGATAAGTATCTATTACAGCAAGTTCCTCTTATCCTTCAAACACCCCCATGCCCTGTAGGAAAGAGCCACAAAATCACTTGCCTCTCACTTCTGTGATACCCAAAACCCGAAAGCAAGCGCCGGCCTTTTGCGACTAAGCTGGAATTAAGGGCTCAGGACCTTACGGAGGGCCGCCAGGGCCCATATTTGCTCCATCTGGGGAGCTCAAAGCAGAGCGAGAGATGGGAATCAAACGAGGAGAGGAGAAAAGGACCGAGGAACTGGGTTTTTTTTCTTCTTCTTCTTCTTCCTTCTCGGGTGTCGCTGGGAAGGGGATCGGGACCGAGGTGGAAGATCTGATAGGGTGTAATCTTGTTAGGGTGATCCACGAGAGTGATGAAAGAGTCAGCATGCTAGAGGCCTGAGGAAAGGTGGGAGACTGGAACACTTCAGATGTGGGAAGAAGCTTGTAACCATTAAAGGAAAATCACATGATAATAATGAACTGGAGAAAAAAAGCACCCGTTATCCAAAGCACAATTTATTTGTCCTTTTATATAAGAGAAAATAATTTACATTATGTGGGTAACACCATCAGACGTAAGGTTTACTCAACATCACCCCCTTTGGAATGCAAAAGACACTTATTGTAATATAAAAATAGGCTAAAAACATAAAGTTAAAGACAGCAAAAATAAAATAAACGGCTTCAGCAAAGGATCTGAAATTGATAAAATTATACATTTAAATATTTTAAAGGGAAATAAGGTGGAATGGATTTTTTTTCATAGGGATTAGATTTGTATTGTAAAATCCTTGGCTGGGATATTATTGGCTGATATTATTTTTCACGGCCCACAGATCCTCGGTTACATCATCATAACAGAAAAGATATTTCAAAAGGTAGAGCAAGTCATTACATCTTGTTGAAATAATTAAAAGGTTTTTTTTACACTGAAAAACCCCCCCATATTTTGTTGAAATAATTAAAAGGTTTTTTTTACACTGAAAAAAAACCCCCATATTTGTAATAATTATAATTTTATATTGTTTATTTATATGCTATATACACATACACAATATGAAAATAGGGTATTTTTGGTACATTCTCACCCAGCCATAAACTGTGGTTCTGACATTTTAAGTTTTGTAAAGTGAAGATAAGGCAAATAAAATACGGCGAATAAGTTGGACTTACGATACACTATGTAACTTTTATATTCAAAATTAAGTCAAAAAATCATTAATCCTTCTTCCAAAATGTGTTTGTCTTACCCTTAATCACTATGGTATGCATATTATGAGCCTATTTATATTTTAGACCTGTATGATGGTTTTCGTGGGAAATTGTGTACATACGCATCTCGTGTCTCATCATATCCGCAAATATATATATATAAGCAAAGAAAAGTTGCTTATATATATATATATAGAGAGAGAGAGAGAGAGAGAGAAGCATTGACATAGTTTGTGATACTGAGTTGTTCATACTTGCTAAAAACTTTGGATCGTGAGATGTAGGGTAATTTAAAATGCATTGTTTCATTGCTCAGTAAAAGTTGTACATTTTTAAAGGGATACTCCACTTTTTTTTGGAAATAGGCTCATTTTACAACTCCCCCAAAGTTAAACAGTTGGGTTTTACCATCTTCGAATCCATTCAGCCGATTTTCTGTTATTTAGAAGAATGTCAGTAACCAGACAGTTTCTGGTCTCATTGACTTCCATAGTAGGAAAAAAAATATACTATGGAAGTAATGAGACCAGAAACTGTCTGGTTACTGATATTCTTCTAAATATCAGAAAATTGGCTGAATGGATTCGAAAACGGTAAAGCTCAACTGTTTAACTCCGAGGGAGTTGTAAAATGAGCCTATTTCCAAAAAAAAGTGGAGTGTCCCTTTAACCTCTTAATTGAACAGGTAGTAGAGCAGAGAACATAAGACATTACATCACAACATGTCACATTCTGCTGTGGCCGAATGGCTACTTAAAATGTGAGTGAAACTTCATCATACTATTTGTGTGGAGAAAAAAAAGCAGCAAAGAAAACAAGTGCGTTTTCATCTGTAAACCATCCGATTGGCACTAAAGCGAGACCGAAGATGTTTGGACGTCGCACAGTCTACCGTGAGAACTTTCTGGGCCTAAACGCAGGCAGCATGAGCTGATGAGCAACGGTCCTCTCCTCCGGGACGGCCGCGAGCTCCTCCGCCGATCCCCACTTCTTCATGGAGTGAAATAATGACGAGATCTTCCTGTTCCTGCGCTCTCCGGCCTGGGTTAGACTGTGGCACTCGCTGACTTCAGCTTGGAGAACAAAACATCAAAGCAGAGTTAAGAAGAAGACCACACTGCGAATGAAATAACATGCTGGAGGGACAAATAGGGTGAAGGCAAACAGTCTAAAATTGATCCACGAGGCACCCCGTAGATTCAGAGAAACCACATGCCAGCGCTAATGTGGAAAACATCCTCAGTGCTGCTGTTCCACATGTGCCACAGGTCTGAACGGACTAAACACCCACATGTCACAGCGCATTTATGCATAGAAAAACAACTCACAAAGCTCATGGTCTTCTAATCGTGTATCCCGTAAATGGAGGTAATGATGTGCTAGGCGACCGCTGTAGTCCCGCAGGTTCTCCTTAGCTCCTGTGAACATGTTCACATTTCAGCAAGGTTAAATTGAGCAAATTAAGCGGTAAGATTCAGTGCAGCACAATTATACAACAGTTCAATGACAAGTAAATGATAAACACGACAGCAAATGACAATGTAACCTGCTCTCTAAAAATGACTTGCACGTTTTTCCTCACACTTAAATAATTAAATAAATAGTTGCATGTCACCAAACACGTTGAGAGAGAATTAAGTAATAAATAAATCACAAATATTTTAATAAAGTTACTTCAAATGCAGTAAAATATGGTAAATTGTTCATAAAGAAACATTCACTTTGCTTTACTGGAACATTTGACATGTTAATGTAATTGTAAAATGAAGTCTGCTTTCAAATGAATTCAAACAGACATTCTTGAATGAGCGAGATGAGACAATTTTCAACAAAGTTCGTGAAGAAAGTACTCACCATACGTCCTAACCAGCAGGTCAAATATATGTCGATGTCCGTGCAGTGCTGCAATGTGTAAAGGTGTGTATCCCTGTGAGAATAAGAATCGATATAAAAGATTGTCAAGAGCAAGTCTAGATCATTTCACCTCAAAATCAAAATAATTAAATATATATATTTTACAAAAATAAATGCCATTATATTAACTATGAAGATGCACGGTGACATTTTCATGAGAATTTAGCCCATTTTAGATTTGGCTACTATGACTAGTGGTTTTCCAAAGTTATTTTCGAGGGTTTGGAGCCAGAAGTGGCTTTTAACAAACTTTACAGGAGAGACGAAACTAAATTTTGACCACGCTTCAATCACTTGTATTATTAACCTTAAACCACAAACATTGCAACCACAGGCATACTTACATGAAATGAGTATTTAAGTCAAAAATGTATGGCATATTAACACAATGAATATGTTCTAAAACATTTTCAAAAAAACAAAAATTCAAATACGTCAGATACGCCTTTTATTTATATGTTGCTTTATTACAGTTTGATACAGATAGGTGTTTTTGGTACCATTGGATAGAGCTCATCGGGACCTTTATTTTGATATAAAGAACTCAGATTCGCCCAAAATGCCACTTACGCCCCTCTGGCTCCAAGCCCTCGTTTTGTTCAACGTTTAGACATCAGTACCATGGGGAAAATCTGCCACATAGATATTCTTTCACAGATATCACAGTTCACTTTGTGTATACAGGCAGGAGCCATCTTAGAAAATAGTCTCGATAAGTCAATCCCCGAACACCATTCATACAGTTCAGATCACTCAGCACGACGTTCGTGGTTTGACTTGTCGTGACTGTTTTCCAAAGATGGCGCCTGTCTGTATACATGAAGTGAACTGTCTTCATAAAGTATCTTCTTATTAAACGGTCTGTACACTTACAAAGTTCTCAATGCTTCGTTTCGCATGTATGGACCCTCATTATGTTACTGTGCTAGTGTTAGTGGTATAAACTAGTGATTTCGTTTTACTTAGTAAATGCCCCCATTACTAGCGTTATACGCTAAACAGTTTTTAGAGATAAAACTCTTTACATTCGATTATCATGAAAACAAATCTCAGAGAACAATTGACTAGATACCGATGTTTTATTAGACCAAAGGTTCATTTTGCACCGGAGTTCTCCTTTAACGTCAAGCATTGTATGAACAGAATTTAAATAATGAGTCAACACATCATCAATCCTTCTTACAAAACGTTTTTGTCTTACCCTGATTCACTTATTATAAGTAGGGCTGGGTAATAAATATCGATTTCTCGATATTAATCGATTCTCATTTTTACGAGCCGATATCGATTCTTAAATCTCAAGAATCGATTAGTCATTTCATTTCATTTGAATATCAATATTTAATGCATATTTGAATAAATCTGGCAAGTTTTTATGACAGCCACCATTTAAATGTTTATATTTCATATAATCTTCTTATTATAAAAATAAATAAAAAGTGTAATTTAAGTGTTTGTATAGCTACAAAGCTCCTTCATATTAGGCTAATGAAGCCTAGTAGGCTACAACTAGACTCCCATAGTTTACCTTGAGAAAAATTGCCATTTATTGTAACTGATATCCAAAATTATCAATATTGAATCGAATCGAATCTTAATCGAAATCGAATTGTGAAATTTGTCTCAATACCCAGCCCTAATTATAAGCATTTATATTTTAGACCTGTTGGGATGGTTTATCGTGGGAAATTGCGTACATGCATCACTCGCCCGTCCGTGTCTCGTCATCTCCATAAATATAGAAAAGTTGCTCCGCACAGTGACGAAGAGCCGAATCTCAACCAAAACTATGTTCTTCCGCAAAATGCATGCAGTTTTTTTTTTTTTTTTTTTTTTTAATCTAGAGGTCCAAAATGTACATTTAGAACCTTTGAATATAATATATTTTTACTTTGGAGTGATAATGTTATGTGTGACATTCACCCAAACAGAAAGAGGGTTTGATAAATCGCACCACAAATCAGAAATGATAAGGAAACTGACGGGGGTGAAGGGAAATTCGACACTCACCCCCCTAGTGCCCATCTCCCAATAATAATAATTTAAGAAAAACATATCACAAGAGAATCGGAGAGCGACAGAAAGCGATAGAAGAGGGGGAGAGAAAGACAGGACACAAATGAACTGAGGTTACAGCAACACAATCTAATGACAGAATCATAATTGCCTGGTAATTGAGTGAAATTGCTTTGCTCTGAGCCTGCTGTTGGAATACATGAAGACATTGTTTAAGGGAAGCTGTTAACATGACAGAGTTTGATTTATGAACAGACATTCTCAAACAGCGCCTGGATTCATTTGCACAGCTGGGCACCCACATACCCTTTCAGAGGAGTTATGTCAGAAGCGGACATCTGAAAAAAGCTTGGCGCACACGTGAGAAACATTAACCCATGCGTGCTGTCACATCCAGGGTGAGTGTAAGGTGACGAGTACTTACATGCTGTGAGAGAAAAAGAGACACAAAAATGAATGAACTGGAGTGTGCATTTGTATTTGACTCAAAGTGAATATATTTCGGAGTAATATCTGTACTTACTGCCTTCGTATTGATGTCGGCTCCTGCTTCCGCCAACACTGTGGTCATATCTTCTTTACCGTGTTTCGCAGCCCAGTGTAGCGCTGTCTGCAAGACATATTGAAACGTTACATTTCTAAAATATATATATATATTTACATGAAATATAACATAGCTATTTAAATAACTTCCTCCTGTACAAAGTATGACCTATGACATCCCAATAGTGCCACGAATTTGCTTACATTTGACCAAGAAATCGTGCAAAATCATCATGTAATTATAATTATTTCATTTATTTTGATATTTTCCTATGTCTTCGTTTTTATTTTACCCTTTTATAAAATGTATTTATTTATTACAATGGTTAATGCATCACAATGGTGCAGAATTTTAAGTATTCCATCTACAAACGTAATTTATATATTATAATATTTATTTACTTGACTTCGTTTTAATATTTATTTTATTTATTCTTTCAATTACTCATTTTAATTATTAAATCTGAGCTAGAAATTGTGCCAAATCCTTATATTCCTTCTAATATTATTAATTCATTATATTTATTTGTTACTTTTTATTTAAATATTTATTTATTTTACTTTATTTCAATTTTTTTGTTTTAGTTTATTTAAATATTTATTTGTTTTACTTATTCACTCAATTCAAATCACTTCACTTTTTTATTATTTATTTTTTAACTCCTTTTTGTCTACATTTTTTTGGTCACTACATAATTCTCATATGTTCATCTCATTTTTTTTTTTAAATATATAATTTTTTTAATCAATCATTTTTCAAATTGTTTTAAAATTGACATGATTAGGATTAAACTTTTATATATATATATAAATATATTTTTTTTTTAGTGTGGTCTTAGACTTTCGGTCATCACGGTCAGTCTGAATCTTCATATTGGTTGTTTGACCAGCTTGTTTGAGCTAGTACATGATTGTCAACCCATCTGATTCATCTTGTAATACATCATTTCCACTCCACATGTTCATTCTCTCCCACTAGGTAGATCCCCACCCCCCTAACGCCACGCGGTGGAGCGGCCCGTGGCTCCCATAGGCTGCCAGCGGGCCCCAGCTGTGCACAGAGGGTGTGGAGGGGACGGTTTCCTGCCATCTAATGGCGGTCTAATTACAAAACAACAAACCAGTGTGCCCACTGCGGGGGGAGCACAGGCCTGTCACGGGGTGCAAGATTGATGATGTTGGTATGACCCTCTGATGGAGGACCCACCCAGGCATCAGCCCGTTGACAAGGCCTGTCAAGAGGAGAAGGGGCCGCACACCACACACAAGCTCAGATGCGTGAGCTTCTAAACGCCCGACACTCTCAAACACGGAGAATGGAGGTGATGTCTATTGATCTCAGCCTGAGCGACACACCTCCTTTATCAGAACTCTTCACATATCAAAATCAACCGCTTTAATGTGGGGGTGCATCTCAATGCTTCAGTGGATGTTATTCTGCAAACAGCATTAAAATGTAAACTTTTCTCTGCATCTGAAATGCTTTTTTAAAACTTTTCTGCTGATGTAAGATGGGTCACGTGGGGGTGGAGAAATCACAGCTGGATGATCAAATTCAGATGAATAAAATACAGTTCTAGCCTATATTATTTTCCGCAGAATTTTCTGTAGCTGAAAAGATTGTTTGAAACAGAGACAAAGTTAGACAAAACGCATTCTCATAATCTCCATTAACAAGTTGAACGCATTCATTTGATGCCTTTTCTGTTTCTGGAATGTTAAAACAAACCTCTTAACCAATTTCATAAACTGCATCCTTTTGCATCCATCCATGCTTTTAAAAGAATATTGAAGGAATACAAAAAAATGAAAAATATAATAAATTAGATTCTAAAATAAATAAGAAATTCATGCTATATGTAGCACATTTGAAGCACAGAATAAAACTATCTGACCTACATTTTTTACCAATGAATTTTCTGTTTCACTCATTTTATTGCATTGCGAAAAATACCATTTTAACACTGATTGCAAAAGAAAAGAAAAAAAATCATAAGGTCTTATTTACTTCAAGCTATTTCCGCTGATATTACTATATGTGTGTGTGTGTGTGTGTGTATCATAATGCTTTTAGTTGTATGACATGGATATTTTAGGAATATACAATATTCATAAAGAATAATGTATCCCACAATGCAATAAGCTCTAAAAATGTTTTAGTAGTCTCTTCTGCTCACCAAAGCTCAATGTATTTGATCAAACATAAAGTACAAACTAGGGCTGTCAAACGATTAATTGCGATTAATCGCATCCAAAATAAAAGTTTGTGTTTGCATAATATATGTGGGTGCACTGTGTATAATTATTATATATATATATATAAAAATACACACACATGCATGTATATATTTAAGAAAAAAATTTTATTTATATAAAAATTATTTATATTTATATATAATATAAATTATATATATATATATATATATACATGAAAATATTTCTTAAATATATACATGCATGTGTGTGTATTTATATATATAAAATAATTATACACAGTGCACCCACATATATTATGTAAACACAAACCTTTATTTTGGATGCGATCATCGCAATTTATCGTTCGATAGCCCTTGTACAAACAATATTATGAAATATTATTACAGTTTAAAATAATGGTTTTCTATTTTAAAATGCAATTTATTCCTGTGATCAAAGCTGATTTTCCTCCAGTCTTCAGTGTCACATGATCCTTCATAAATCACTCTAATATGCAGATATACATAAAAGTATTTACTGTCAATTTAGATCAAATGAATGAATAAAAGTAATAATTTCTTTAAAACTATACATCTAAAATGGCAGCATATGAACCAGAAGCAGCGTCTCTCAACTATGATTTTAGTAACTGACCAAATTTAAGACATTTTTACACATGCCGTCACTAAAAATGACAAAAAAATGTATATGAACTAGGTCACGTGACAACTATATACTGCATTCGGCAATGTTTTTGTCTGTACACAGTACGCAACATATCTCCAGTATTGTGTATTGTTAAGCACATGTTCTGTACTAAAGGGAGGGTCCTGTCTACAGTAGGTGTTTCCAGTCCGGCTCGCAGGACATATTGTGATAGATGAAGTCTGGTTCCCCTATCAGCCGCTCTATTGTTTCCACTGTCGCACCCTTGAGATGGATTGGTTGGCACACATGCTTGACTGACAGCCCGACAGGTCTCATGGAGGCTCGGCGTGACGGACGACGGTCAACAGGATGTGACGTCTCCTACCCTTGTTACTCGGGTTCCTGTTTTGGCCTGGCGGGGATCCCTTAACTCTCACTAACCAAATAGCACCTTTGTGATGACTACCAAAAGAGACATATTCAATGCAGCTTTTAAAGAAGAGAGATGGATAAATGATGTACTCACAAACTGGGAAAGGAGGAAGTCCGGGAGGCATCAGGAGAGGACGACATGTTGGAGAAAAAAAAAAGAGAAAGAGATGAGCGCACAGGTGGCTTTTCATTTACGCTTATCTTGTTGGTGGACAGAAAGCGAGCGGTCCTGCTCGAGTGGCTCAAAGGAAGCAGTGTTTACGTTGCATCTGAGATCGCGACTGTTTATTTATGGGCTTCACTGCGAGAGGTTGAATTGGAATTTTCCCCCAAAGGAGCTTCCAACGTGCGAAAGGAAAACAGAGATAATGCGTGTTGTGTCGGGTTACGGGCTCGGGGTGATGTGTAACTTTAGTGACTGAGAGGCTAAAGGCAAAGCTTAGCTACTTAAAACTTAAGACTTAAACAATAGAGGTGACAGAAAAGATCCAGGACAGCAAAAAATGAGCATCTTTGACAGCTACACCGTAAAAAAACTTTAACTCTACTTTCTATTGAACTATCGAATGTAGACAAAGTTGACTACATAAAATGTTAACCAAAGTAATTGCCATTTAGTTGGACCAACTTAAAATATTAGACATTAAAAATATAGATCTTATGCTCAGGTTGATCACTGTTGATGCACTTTAATAGTTTGTATTTTTGGTCAAAGCATGGGGATTTATGATGACAAATTTGTTAGTGAGAAATGATAGATGTTTTCGCTCTAGGGTAGTGTTTTTGATTATTTTTAGTTAGCACATTTAACTTGCTTTGGCGTATAGAAGTAATTCTGTATAACATTTTCTGTTTATTTAAAAAACTGCTACACACAAAGAAGTTCCAATGTATCAATGTATATATTAACTTAAAATGCAAGCTGACTGAACATGGATCTACAAATGAAAAAACATTAATTTTGAGTTAATAGAACATATTTTATTGTGTTGGATGAATGCATAGACTCACTTTAATTAAGTTGGAACAACAATTTCTCCGATATAAGAGGTAAAATCTATATAAAAACTGTTCCTTTTCTCACACAAACCGCTCGTTTCGTGTCTTAGGGCATCAATGTGTACTTACATTTACGAGTCATTAAATCATGTTTAATTTGGACTTCTCTATGCATGCTCTTTGAGGTGGTGACCATAGACCTCCATTATATGACTGACAGACAACAACGGTTTGACCTAAAAATATCAAAATTGAAAATACTGTGGAAACAAAGACACCTACATCTTGGATGCCCTTGAGGTAAGATAAAACATACCAAAAATTAATTTCAATGTGAACTATCCCTTTAAAGGGTTAGTTCACCCAAAAATGAAAATTAAGTCATTAATTACTCACCCCCATGCTGTACCAACCCCGTAAGACCTTCGTTCGTCTTCGGAACACAAATGAAGATATTTTTGATTAAATTTGAGAGCTGTATAACTACCACATTGGCTCCTAAGGGACTGCCTCTTGACGGCCCAGAAAGTCAATGAAGAAAATGTTTAAATATCCCAAGTGACTACCGTGGCTCAACTATATGTTTATCAAGCGACGCGAATACTTTTTGTGCGAAAAAAAGCACAAAAAGTATGAAGAAAATCATTTTCTTCATTGACTTTCTGGGCCGTCAAGAGGCAGTCCCTCAGGAGCCAATGTGGTAGTTATACAGCTCTCAAATTTAATCAAAAATATCTTCATTTGTGTTCCGAAGACGAACGAAGGTCTTACGGGGTTGGTACAGCATGGGGGTGAGTAATTAATGACTTAATTTTCATTTTTGGGTGAACTAACCCTTTAAAAGTAAGCAGCTTTACAGCATTAAACATAAAAAAAGTGTCAGTGCCGCTTTCATTTAGAATTACAACTTCATTTTCTACTATAAATCAGCTCTAAAGTGTTCATGTTTTCACTTGCGGACGTCTGATCTCAATGGACTAAACAGAAGAGAACAACTCTTTCACAACAAAGAGGGCGGAGCCTCAGAGCCACACCCATCTATTACACAAGCGCCATGGGCCAATGCCGTTTACCAGCCAGAGCGAATTTTACCTGATAGTTCGCTTTGGAAAGCAGATCAAACTTTAGAAACAAACTCCAACCGAACTTTGTTTCGTATATCGGGGCATTTAACACAAAGTTTTTGACTTTTCTCAGTGTAGAAGGCAAAATGCCAGAAAAGACGTCGGATGACCTCTTAAATCGGCGTCTCGCAAGCGCGCTCGCCCTGTACCAAGTCAAGAAGAGGTGGCTCACTTGGCATGCCTCTTGGTTCAGGAAGGGGGGCATCAAAGCCACCTGGGGGTCAGACATACCACCTTCCTGGGGACATGGCGGTGATTGTTCTCCAATTAATCCCAGCCTGCTCTATTACTTTCAGATTATCTTTAAGTGGTTGAAGTCTTTGAGGTGAGCCCTAATCTTCCCGCACTTCAATGGCCGCCGTTGTATCTTGTCTGCGCGGGGAAGGCGAAGGGCTTAGAGGTTCTTAGAAGGTGGTCTGACACAGGACAGTGTGAGAACTCCGGCCCAGGCAGCGACCACAAACACCGACTCAAAGCTTTTAAGCGCACAGGGGGGACGAATAAAAGGATTTGAGCTTGTTTTTGGGGGGTGAAGGAGCTAAAAAGCTATCTTTCATAATCCTTCTGAAAATAAGCCTTTGAAATGCATGATTGGGCTTGAGCTTTGCTCTTTGGTCTGTGTTGCACCTGGGTACGAGAGTGGAAAGTCGGTAACCTTGCGAGGAGACACGGACACGCTGCTCACTGCGCTGGCAAATGTAACGGACTCACCGATCATCACTAATGAACTGAAGCTATGATGCTTAAAAAAAGAAAAGTGTTGAGGAGGAACTAACTATTTTTTTTTATTATATGGAGCTTTTCCAACAAGTAATAAAACATGATTGAAAGTGATCCTGGCTTGGAAAACTATAATAGATTTAGTTAATGATATAATAGTTAATATAGTAAAAATAGTTATTAGTTTAGTTAATAATAATTGCCCAACACTGAAAAAGGAAGAAAACAAAATTCAACTCACCCCCTTTTAGAAGACAAACCCAGGAGAATTTAAAGTGAGAGAGAGAGAGAGAGAGAGAGAGAGAGAGAACCCCATTAATGAACAATTTGTTGTACAATCACAAAATTAGGTTTCACTAAATACTTGTAGAGGTTTTGATCTTGTGTACGCTACCAGTCAGGTTTGGACACATCTACTCATTATTATTATTATTATCATTATTATTGATAACATTTTTCACATCTGAAATGTTAGAAGATTAGTCAAGTCAAGTTAGTCAAGTTAGCATTAGTTAACGCACTCTGAATTAACATGAACAACAATAAACAGCTAGATTTGTATTAACTAACGTTAACAAAGAATAACAAATACAGTAACAAATGGTTAGTTCATGTTAGTTAATACATTAACTAATGTTTAATAAATGAACCTTATTGTAAAGTGTTACCGAAAAATTTATATATATATATATATATATATATAATTTGATCTAAAATTTGATCTGAAATATTAAGTTAAGCATGCATTCCCAATCTTTTAGCTGGTAGAGTAAGTGTAGTGTTGTAGGATTGGTTGCAAACTTACTGAGGTAAAGTCCTGGTTTGTTCCAAGCATGTGAAAAGACCAAGAAACATTAATTATTAAAAGTGAGTTCATGATATGAGAGGCATGCATTCAATCATATAAGGCATTTATGCATTCAGGCGGAAAGCGACACATTATAAGTACGACACAGGACACATAAAGCTCTCTTCACCTTTTTATTGGCCAGAGAAGAGTCTTGTTTCAGGAGCTGAATGAGATGAGACAGTTTGCCACTTGCTGCCGAGAAGATCCACTCTTTCTCAAGAGGATCCAGCTATGAATGAAATAAATAAGAGAAGTCATTTACATTATTGAAATTACGCTAATTTATTATTATTTTTTTAAAGATTCAGTATCTCACTCATAGTCCCATTTCTAGTTACATTTACACTACTGTTCAAAAGTTTGGGTTTTTAAAGATGTTTTGTGTTTTTGTCTCTAGTGCTTTATTTGATCAATACACAGTAAAAACAAGAATATTGTGAAGTTTTATCACAATTTAAAATTACAGTTTGAATAATATATTGTAAAATGTAATTTATTCTTGTTGTGATCAAAGCTGAATTTTCAGCATCATTACTCCAGTCTGAGTCACATGATCATTCAGAAATCATTCTAATATGCTGATTTGATTCTCAAGAAACATTTATTATTAATATTATCATTATCATCAAGTTTGAAATCAGTTAATATCTTTTTGGAAATCATGATACATTTTAATCGGGATTCTCTGATGGCAAAAAAGCATTTATTTGAAACATATGTGCTTTTTATGTGTTGGTGGTGGGTATTATCACAAAAGAAACGAAAAGAAAGTAGACGAAAACGAACAAAAATTTGGAAAAATGTGTCTTTAAAAAATAAATGTTTAATGTATTACATTTTTTGAATGGAAAGATAAAAGCATAAAAATATAATGTAACATTAGAAATGTCTTTACTGTAATGTGTCCTTATACTAAATAAAAGTATTCATTTCTTTCTTTCAAATAACCTCAAAATTTTACACGGTAGTGTATAGTCCTAGCAAATGCCTTCTTACCAAGTAACCTTCAGAAAGTGCACATAATTCAAAACATTTACCATGGCAAATCTATTAAGAAAAAATAAGTAAATAATAATTAGGAGATGCTTTTATCCTATGCAACTGACAGTCTTTCTTACAGGGAGTAACCTGAGGTTAAGTTTCTTAATCAAGGGCACAAAATCCCTTGTTTTTTACTGTCAAAATACAAAAAAATTACTAAATTAATTTTGGATCTCTTAAAGACAGTCTAGCAATTTTTCTGTGGTTTAATTGATAACAGTGGTGGATAAAAAAATCCCCCACAGTTTTATTGTAGCAACAGTAACTACAGAAACAAAAGATATTTGACTGCAACTATACCATAATAAATGTTTCTTCTAATGTGTGTATGATTTATTATACTCACAGCCACAGCGGTGGATCCCAAACTGCTCCCGCAATCCTCATCCTGCTCAGATTCACTCTGGGAAAGAAACAGCACATGATACCATTGAAATCACTCACAAAACCACCAGGAAGTATCACCTGTGAATCTGTACAGTTAGTAACTATATATAAATAATCTGAGTTCAGATCGGCAGCCATGTGCTTCCTCTTCCTGTTCTGTACTTAAGATATGAGGCGAGGGAAACCCAGCGCTGTCAAGAATTCAAAAAACTTATTTACAACAGCCCACAAAGACATTAATAGACCCCAACAAAGATGCAGTAAGCACAGCAAATACAGGAAACACCCATAATGCCGCTCTGTGCATCAGTACGCAGACTTGCACTGAATACTAGAAACAAAACTTCCAGGGACGTTTACCTCATAAACACAACAAATCTGCTCATTGAAATGGAAGGACGGCATAAACAAAGGATAATTCCCTCAAGTTGACCTCTTCTCGGGTCACACAACCATTAAAAAACGCTTTAAACCCGCGAGAGCCACAGGTGGACGATTAGCTTAGCCAAATTTCCCTAACTATGTCTTTTGGTTGTTTTTTTTATGGTACGCTGTTTTACCAGAATCCGCTCGCTTTGTGAGCCAAAGAGAAGGTGAATTTCTCTTTATGTACCAAAGTGTCAGTCACAGTGATTAATGTGAGGGAAAATGGAGCGGTTGGGTCATTTTTGCAGTGCAAGTGCTCGCTAATCGTTTTCAGGACAGCGTACGATCAAAACACTTGAGCTCTTTCATATAGGCTACGCTAACAAGGCCTCGTTTCCTAAAGACTGCAATTAATATTTGTGTACCTGTGCTTAAACAGGAACTAAGCCAGACATATTTCTTTTTAAAACAAGAATGTATCCGGGCATATGAGTGACTAAATATTAATATTATTAAATATTATTATTTTTCCAACTGAAAATCAACCAGAAATGTAAGCAATAATCACAGTAGCGCAACCCCAACGCAGTAATGGATACCACAACAAAAGAGATTGTTACATTGTAAAATATTCAAATATGTAACCACATTTTATGTAGATGATTTCAGCTTCAGTGCATGACATTAATAATTCTTAAGAAGGACTCGCTTCTTGGAAAGAGCTTTCGGGCGTGAAGAGCTTGAATCAAGTTTGCAAGTGTTGTGGTTGACAGAGAAGCGTTTAATGCGAAAACAAAACCTTCAGTGTCTTAAAGCTCTGAGAGCAAAATCTAAAAAGACTCAATATGATTAATAAAATAATAACACGCATCAAAATAAAGCATGAAATCTCATGTTCCAACATTATGCCGTAATAAAACCTTGCCGCGTCTCAGATTGATCTGCATACAAATGTTTGGAGGGCACAGATGATACTTTTCTCTATAATGAGGTGGAGCATGTTGCTGTTTTGCACAACAATAGAAAGCTTCTTTCAAATGTAAATGAACGTGTCTTTCATGCTGTCACCCCTGGCTGAAATGTGGCCTCTCAAATCCAGCTAATTATTCTGGCGCCACCTTTTGGTTAGTCGTAATATTACAGATATCAAATGAGCAGCTTGTTTGTGGTGCTCTTGAGGTGAATTACTGTGCCAGCTTTTCATTGAATGTCAAATGAGGATGAGACAAATAATGAGTTTATCTTAAGGAAAAATATATTTTTTTAAAAAAAAGTAGAATGTACCAAGTTCTTATAAATGTAATTTTCATGTAATATTGATGTGGTTTCATGTTATCTAAAACATTTTGACGGGGTGTAATAATCAAATTAACATCTAGTGCAAGTACACATTACGGTACTATCATCATTTTCAAAAGAGTTCTCAAATATTTTCAATACCTTTTCTTTTAAATCATGAATATCATGACGTTTTTGGGGTTTCACAATAAAAAATATATAATGCCAAATTACTTCATATATTTGTATTTATTGTATTTTAAATATGAAATATTAAAATATAATGGTATATTAAGAAATTAGAAATTAGATTTCATTAGATGGTGAAGCCTCCTAGAAATATTGATTTTAAAATAAAACATTAAAATATGTTAAGACATCTGAATCATTTTAGATCACGAAACAAGTTTGTAGAGGCCATTGTCTGTATGAAAAGCATTTTATGCATTTTTAAAGGTATTAAACTAATACATCCTGAGCTTTTCATGTTCAGTGCTTTTGTTCTAATTCATTAGCAGCTCTCAAACCAAACCAAATATCTTACCTTACGAAAAAGAAGTTTATTCAAGTGTGCCATTAGTATACTTCTTTGAAACTAAAAATAAGAAAGTATACTTTCAGTTTATTTTCCCTGTACTTCTCAGAAGTATACTATATGTACTTCTCAGAAATATACTTCAAATTACACTTAAGTGTACTTGACTTATACTGAGAGAAAAGCTAGTATATTTGTCCTGTTCTTGTACTCAATCTTTTGATCCAGAAATACTTAAAAGTATAATTAAGTATTCAAAGTATACTTGTATAAGTATTACAGTAAAAAAGTAAACTACTAGTATACCCATAAATTCACTTGCAGTACACATGAGATACATAATTGTAAACTAGTTGTGCACTTACTGTTACACTTATAGTACACTTAAACATATAATTTTATGTACTAAAAGTGGGCCAATTTAGTGGGCCAACTCCCAAGCGATATTAAAATAGTACACTTACAAGTTTACTACTAGTACATAGTGACATTAGTATACTTACTACATAATGTATACTTAAAAATATACTTGAACATTACTTAAGTATACTACATAAAATGAACTTGAAATATACTTCTTTTTCGTAAGGGTAGTCTGTGATCGATTAAAAACAGATAAGGATGCTTGAGCTACTCGGCTCTAACCTTTGACCCCGAATCCTTGTCGAGTTCATCTTCTCTGTCTGATGCTGAAAGCTCCTCCGTCAGATGTTCTGGTTTCTCTGCCTCTGCTGGTGGTGAGAGGGTGCTGTCTGACTGCTGATCACAAGAAAAGGAGAAGTTTCACTAAGATCACTTGGGAAGGATCACTTCACCGCACTCAAACCAGCTGATGCTGACAAAACATCAAGTTCATGGGCCAAACGTACGGTGGAACTGAGGAAAAGGCATGCAAATAGAAAAACACCAGCAAATTTAGAAAACAACTTGATCAACACACGTGCTGCAAATATTAATAATGTACATGCAATCAGGGTTTACTTTTGTGAATGCACACAAAAAAACTCACTATTCAGGTCATTAAGAACACCACTGACTAGTAGACAATGAACTGTAAAGCATGTCCCAGATTTTCTGGTGTTTTTCTATTTTGCATGTGTTGTCTTCAGTAGCAGCACGTTGAGCTCTCTATGCCGCAGTACGAACGCATTCTCAGTTGACATCTATACAAGACATCCACTCTTTTCTCTGAGATCCTGAAGGCCAAACTATAGATGGTATGTCATGACTCATTGCCCAGAGATAAATGCAGCCACTTTGATGCTTTCGTACAGTTTGTCTGTTTAACAGTTTTCTAGACACAATTTCAATGTGGCTGAAGTAAGTGCTGACAGGAAATTCACACTATTGTGTGTTGAACTGTATGCGCTATATGTGTGGGTAAAACTGCCAATCCTCGACCCGTATTATATATTTAAGTATTATGTACATGCTATCATCGTTTTTTACTCATATTTTGAATTAGATTTATTTTTATATTTTCATTTTTATTTATTTTAATTTGTAATAAATTCGTCAAATGTGGGTTTAGGTTTTTTGGTAGTTGTTGTTTTTTTTTTTTTTACTATTTGGTTTCATGTATTATATCATTTCGTTTTTTTAGTAGTAATTTTAGCACTTGTGCCAAGGCAACATTTCATTCTTTTTTCCATCTAATATTCATATTTGTAATTTTATTTCAGCTTTTTTTTTCAATGAACAATGTTTTTAATAGTTTTAGTTAACTATAACAACCCTGTCATCGTTCTCATAATCAAGATGTTTACCTTATAGATATATCCCACTTTCAAGTAATTTTCACATATAAATCATACTGACAGTGTTGCAATGTGAATGTTGTACTACATAAATATGCAAATTTGTTCATCTATATACTCAATGCACAGACCCAGTAGCTGTTTTGTTAAGGTTAATGGAGATGCAAGTTTCGAAATATGATCTAAAGATGGCTTCAAGGCTTCAAAGATATATGAAGATGATCTTGAAACCAAACAAAACAAAAATCCATTAATCATTCCAAAAATTAAATTGTACTGTACATGCTTATGATACTCTCCCTTGCCGTAAGTCTCAATATGAGGTTCAATATAATGCTTTTAACAGCTGAAGTCCTACAGCTAAAGATAAGGCAACTGAAACAGTGTTATCTGCTTGTGACAAGCTTTCTCTTATCACCAGCTGTTTCTTTAATCCAGCTAAAAAAGCTTTAGCAAACAGTCTGAGGAAAACACTGGATTCTGGGTGATATCCAGGACAATGATTAATAAAGACCTGAATTTCATAAGAGTTGTATACTATGATGCTCTTTAGTTGATGCGAACATATTAAATGCAAGTCTAACTGAGACTATGACATACTTGGTCAATAATAACTCACTTATTTGGAAAGCAGAGCATATTATGTTTAATGGAATTACGTCACATCATAAAATATTACTGAAATACTGCGGTCAGCTTACTCAGACAGACTCCTCTTTAGGTCTTCCCATTTCTTCTTCTCCATTATGTTTTTTTTAGTAAAATCACAAGACGTCAAGATGTGTCATTCATGACAGTGATTAAACTGGTAACCAGGGAAAAAGTTATTGTGTTACTCCCTAAAAGTTTTTTATGGAAAGTAATGTTACATAGCTTCTGTGTTACTTTTCTGCGCGTTTGTGACTCTTCTGTTTGAACTCGTTCATCAAAATGAACGAATCTTTTTTCGAGTCATTTCGTTCGTTGAATGAACCGAATGACTCGAAAAAAGATTTGTTCATTTTGATGAACAGGAGAGTCACAAACACGCATCGCAGAACAGAGCAAGGCGAGCATTTGTGCTAATAAAACTTAAAGTTTTTAATTTATTTTTGAAATGACCAATCATTTCGCTAGATAAGACCCTTTTTCATCGTCTGGTATCCACTCACATGATCTGTCTGGGTCGGTTCTGATGCCTCTGAGACTGTAATCATGGGTCCTGAGCACCAGGCCACCAGTGCTGGCTGTTTCTGGGCTGTTGGGTTATGGTTCTGCTCTGGATTAGAGATCCGGAGCTCATTTTGTGGGTTCGGATGAACCTGCTTGATTGATTCCCCAGCGCAAGGCTCTCGCTCTTGTATTAGTTGTCTATATTTCTTCTTCAGGATGAGATATTTCTCTCCCTGAAATAAAAAAAAGGACCCATTACCTCCATACTGTTATTTAAAAAAAATAAAAATGACCTAAATTTACTCAAAGTGAAATTACACAAAATGAAATATTTTGTCGAAAGTCCAAAGCTCTCGTTCAGAAGACTTATAGCATTATAGAGGAGGGCATTTATGGTGTTTTTTTATTCCCTTCTTGCACATTATTGAGGAAATAAAATGATTTTGTGATATGAAAAAGAGAAGCTTGGACACTTGAAAAATATCTCCAAGTCATATGGATTTGGAACAATGTTAAGGTGAATAAATGATGATAAAAATGTTAATTTTGGCATCTTTAGCACAATCATACAAAAATAACAGTGCATCAATCAAGCAATTCAGCATAGACCTATTAAATTGATCAAAAGCGGCATTAAAGATATTTATAATGTTACAAAAGATTTGGTTTTAACACATTTTCCACAAAAAATATGAAGCAGCACAGCTGTTTTAAACAGATAATGATAGGAAATGTTTCTTGCACAGCAAATCAGCATATTAGACTGATTTCTGAAGGATCATGTGACACTGAAGCCTGGAGTAATGATGCTGAAAATGCAGTATTTTGCAGTAATTACTGTATTTTTGATCAAATAACTGACTTCTATTCAAAACCACGAAGTCTTACTGAAGCCAAACTTTTGAATGCCACTTATGGCTGGAAATAGGGATATTTTTTTTTAGATCAGATGGAAAGGGATCTCTTGCGAGGGGAAGTACACGTCTAGGACAATGGTCCATGATCATAAGGGTGTGGGCGGGGTATAACAATGATGTGAGAAAATGAGACCTATCACTGTGGGAATAGAGACGTGTGTGACTATTCTTCAGGGACAGGGAATAAACACGATCGCATTACAAACACAACGATGCACTAACGATTATTTAATGAGACAAAGCGAGGAGTTAATTAGTTTAAAGTCTGCAATAATGATCTGACAACACATGTACTCACATTCTCAGATTTCACCACAGCAATTCTATCAATGATGAGCTTGAAATCTTCTCTGTATTTGGCTGTAGGAAAAAAAAGAGAGATTAAGAGATGATAATCATGTTTTCCCAGCATGCTTTTAAAATATTTCTTAAAAGAAAGGTTACTCGTACAATATGACCTTGCAGTAGTTCTTTGCTTTGTAAATCTAAACTAAACAATCCACCCAAACATTGTTGTTCACGTCTTTCCAAACTGTGAGTTTCTGTCTTCTCTGGAATAGAGAAGTAGTTAAAGGGATAGTCCACCCAAAAATGACAGTCACCAATTTACTCACCCTCGTGAGTTTTTTCCTCTGCTGAACACCAATTAAGATATTTTGAAGAATGTCTGTAACCAAATCATTTCGGTTCCCATTGATTTCCACTATATTTTCTGTCCATACAATGAATGTCAAATAGAACCGAAACCGTTTGGTTAACAACGTTCTTCAAAATATCTACTTTTGTGTTCAGCAGAGGAAATAAAGTCATAAAGGTTTGGAACGAATTGAGTAAATGTCAATGATGACCAAAATAATAATAATAATTTGGGTGGACTGTCTCTTTAAATTTATTTAAATAAATATTTTGTTTGTTTTCCAATGGAAAAAAATAAAGTCATACGGGTTTGGAACGGCATGAGGGTGAGAAAATTAAGACAGAATTCTCATTTTTTGGGTGAACCATCCCTTTAAAAGCAACATTTACAGGTTTGAGACTGACACTAAACCTTGAACACTTGTTTATTCATCGATTTGTTCTGCACACTATGGACTCTGATTCCTGGCCTGTGGGAGTTTGTAATGTTATGCAACATCCCTTCAGCACAGACAGACTGCATCAAGGAGAAATCAGAATCTGGCTCCAATTACTATACTAGAATAGAAAATGACAGGGAGGAGACCTGCGCAAACAAATCCTCCATTACTGCGTTGCTCATATGCCTTTTCAACGACCATTCCCAATGGATCATCACTCGGATCCTCCCAGCGCTGGCTCATAGTTTTATTTAGATCCCAAAGACTTATTTTCCCTACTTCAATTTCATTCCATTGCCTTAAGGAACATTTATTTTTGCTTTCTTGGTGGCACAACACAGTTATATAGACGCAATGAGCTTTGACATGGAACTTAGTAGTTCACTTTAAAAAAAAAAAACTTTGGCTGATAATTTACTCACCCCCATGTCATCCAAGATATCCATGTCATTCTTTCTTCAGTCGAAAAGAAATTAATGTTTTTGATTAAAACAGTCCAGGATTTTTCTCCATATAATGGACTTTAATGGGAACCAAACGGTTCAAGCTCCAAAAGACAGTTTCAGTGCAAACTGTTCAAAGGTCTTTAAACGACACCAGATGATGAATAAGGGTCTTATCAAGTGAAAAGATCGCTCATTTTAAAAAAACAACAACAAAGTTTAAGTTTTATAAGCTCAAATGCTCGACTTTTGAATCTCCAATTCAAACTCGTTCATCAAAAATTAATGAATCTTTTCCTGAGTCAACTCGTTCATTTAGTTCGTTGAATGAACCAAATGAAACGAAAAAAGATTTTTTCGTTTTGATAAACGAGTTCGAACAGGAGAGTCACAAACGCGTATCACAGAACAGAGCAAGGCGACCATTTGAGCTAGTAAAACTTAAACTTTGTTTTGTTTTTTTAAATGAGTGATCATTTCGCTAGATAAGACCTTTATTTTATCGTCTAGAATCGTTTAAAGCCCTTTGAACAGTTTGCAGTTTGTACTGAAACGGTGTTTTGGACCTTGAACCGCTTGGTTCCCATTTTTCCTTGAATAATATTGATATCAGTGATTACTTTTATATTGATATTGATATATCAGCACTAATATATTTAGTTAACATGTAGAAGTGAAAAAAGCATTGTGATAAAGCATTTTTAATAACTTTTTTTTAGTAATAATTTAATTTTTTTTTTAAATAATTTTTTTAATAACCTTAGTAAATAATTATTGTATTGCTGATGAACATTGACAATAAAATGGCATTGTCAATGAACAATAAAAAAAAAAAAAAATCTCATTCTTGAGACTTTCGCCTGAGAGATATGTCTTGTTTTATGAAACATTTCACCCTTTTATATGTAAAATGCCAGATACCACAAACAAACAAACCTAACAGTAGAAGAGTGGGAATGTGGTATACTTTCAAACACATCACATTACACAATGTGATTTATAAAGGGTTTAACAATACCACTCAAACTGGATTGTGCCATACAGGCAAAACATATCAGAGCTTGGATCTTTAAATGGAGAATGCAACCTTTAAACACAACCTTTCCGTTTTCCTGCAAGGGGAAAAAGATAGGGATGACATTGCAACACGGCATCCACCACAACAACAGGAAACCAACCCTAAGGGAAGTCAACACTTAACAGAATTCCTGTCATACTGAGAGGGACACTGTTTAGCTTTCTGGGCAAATGCATTAGTCTACGCTGGCCAACTATGAGGACTCTACGTTCCCACAACTGCCCGAGATCCCATCGAAACCACCATCCTAAAAAGGACTGGAGTCACTATAACCCCAGAATTAGAGCATGTCATGCAGGCTGATGCGGTAACCAGGAATAATTATGATAATTGGTTATGTGTCAGATGGTAACAGATGAAGGCAGATTTTGAAACTTCTGTACACAACTGCACAAGCACAGCTGGACGAAGCATTAAAAGCCATTACGGATAATTAATTCATACATTTATGTCTGACACATGTATGTAGGATTAAATGCAACATCTTCTAATTTAATTACTGTTTAAGTGGTTTATGAGAACGTGGCTTTATATGATCCACTTTGCTGCAGACAAGCCCTTTATTATAGACAAGTCTTTTTTTTACATTAATATTTTATGTTCACGCACAAAGAACTAGTGGTTGAAACCACTATTTGTTTTTCAACGACAGATGCTTGCTGATAACTACACAATGGGATTTTAAAGTCAATGTGAAATCCAAATTGGTATATTTTTTTAAATGGAATATTGCAGTATTTATTATTATTATTAAAAGATTTCTCTGTGCAATTTTGTTTTTTTGTAATCTTTAATCAAAATAACTTTACCCTCTTGATATCTCTGATGAAGTGTTTACTGGTGCGTGGGCGGGGCAACCCATCACTCACATGAGATCCACCAATAGCAAACCACAACCATCCAATCAATTCCTGATGGACAAAATCAAATCCCATACTACACATTTTTCTCGTTCCAGAACCCGTTTCCCTCAGGTAGACTATTGAAACTTCTGTTTCATGCCAACTTTGAGCAATATTCGCAACTTGTAATTCACAAAAAAAAGCAATATCCATTGAAAAGACTGTTAAAACCGACAAGTGAGAGAGTTCACTCAGACAAGCAGCTACAGATATCATTTGATGCAAATATTGGTCAGTTTGTCACCTTATATAGCCTATAGGCCTATCAGTAAAACATTTGGTGCATTGGAGCCATTAGAAAAGCATTAGCAATCAAATTAAGTGTGCACATTAATTCTCAGAATTTGGGTAGGCTATATTCTGGTTAATGTATACAGTCCTTCCTTGTGTCAAATACATGTTTTTTTTTTTCCAATAGTTAGTTTTTTCCACAACTGTCAAGTAGTATCACCTTTATATGAATATGCACATCAATAAATTCACGCTTTTAGCCTATATACATGCATATGCCAGATGTGTAATTCAGATTTGTCATTCAGAATCTGATTATCAGCTTAATGTGGTTATGCCGATCAGTTCAATGCATTAAACAATTTTTACAAGGCCATATTTTGATATTGAAATATGGATAAAATAGTATAAACTACACGCCAGTGAATATTCTATTTAGAAGTCTGTCATGGTTTGGGAATGTGGGGGCCTTGCTGGCCCTTCCTGAGGGAGTGAAGGAAATGACACAATTCCATGTGTAATTCTATCTGTTGTTGGTAAAGCTTTTCTAATCTAAAGCAGATGTTTGCCACAGTTACTTTTTAAGACGCTAACAGCCATTTATTTAGACCTCGAGCAGAGCAAAAGCACAGTACAATGCTGATTTTAGAATGAGAAAAGGTGCCAGAGACCCGCATTAACACTAAGCAACTCGACTAAATGAAGATGTCTAATAGTTGATCTACACTACACTGCCTCAGTTACGTCGCCCGCTCGAGTTTTGCGTTTTTATGACGGGATATCACATTAAAATTGAGTTTATTAAAAAAAAAAATAATAATTATAAAAAGACCGAGCGCGTGCTGTTTCATTTTCATTCAGTGTTGCTAGTGTTTCTCGCGCTGCGTCGCGTGCTTGCAGTGTAGATTAGGTGTAAAGCAAATGTGAAAAATGTCATATTCTCATTTACTCACCACGTAGCTGCAAATCGCTATGGTTTATAAAATGCTTATATGTTTTGGACAGATCTGAATTTTTGACTTTTCCTCCACAGGAACAGATGTAATCCAGTAAGGACGCTTCACTGATTTCGCCCATCTCTGAAAATAAACAGTAATTTTACAACAGATGAGCTCTGGTCGTGATGGGTTCTTCTCGAAGATGCTGAAGCATGGCTTTGCTGGAAGCCTAGCTAATTACTGAAGAAGAAAAGTGTACACAGGCTGGCCAAGTTCACTCCACCCAAATCTGCTGACAGAACCTCCCACAGTTAACTCTTTGTGCTCTGACGAATTCATAAAGATTTAATGACTTAATTTGCATCTCGTAATGAGCTCTGCTCGCCTGGAGACTTATGTATATCAACACAAAAATTATTATTTTATATATACAAACAAAAATCTGTGGGAATACATTAATTAATATTTGTATGAATTATAGGGTAAATAAAATATTTCACATAAATCCTATACTATATAAATATCATGAAATTAAAACCCCATATAGTTTAACAATATTAGCTTCTATTGTTGTCACAAAAGGGATAGTTCAGGTTTGGAATGACATGAGGGTGAGGAATTAATGACAGAATTTTCATTTTGGGTGAACTATCTCTTTAATAACATAATGGAAATAGCCCTTTGTAACCAAGACTTGATGGCTACTGCTATCCAGAAAGTGCAACTAAGACTAAAAGCTAATTCAACTGGTGCATTTCCAAGGTGAGCTCATCTGTTAATGTTTAACGACTGGACATTTCGGGAGGGTAACATTCTCCACTGGACACTCATTCAGCTGATATAGCAGTCAGTCATACGCTCTATCCTCACTGTCATTAGTCACACTTATGTGTGGATTGAGTGACCTGATAAAGATCTGTGTTGGTTATCAAACACAACTGGTGACTTATTATTTATTCGAAGGACCATATGCAAGAACCATCGCCTAGACAATCAGAGACCTGCATGTGCTCTTCCTTTAGTTGCAGTGAGTGAGAATCCAAATTTGATTTAATGTTTCATGCTATCTTTTACTGCGGCTTCATGGATTTGACATGTGGTAATCCAAAGGTATGTCAGAACCACAGTAAACCAGATTAATTGCAGAAATGGTAGTAAAATGCTACTCGTTTACATCATAACTCGCTGGCATTTCCAAATGGATTTCCATTTAATTAAGTAATATGCTTGTCATTTCATTTTCATGTGCATTAACCCCCCTCAAAAATACAATACTGGAATGACAATAAGCTCCTTAAGGCTGATACAATAACAGTAATCTCTGTAAAGTTGTTTTTATAAACTGTGCCGTATGGTCACTTTCATTTTTCGAAACACCTAAGTAATGATTATGAGCTCGCAGACATATGTTATGTCTAATGGGACGGAATCAGAACAGAAAAACAGCTTATATATTAAGCCAACCTGAAGTAATTCAGAAAAACAACACAAAAAAACAGCAGAAACTCTGGCCTCGTTCCTTCTAGTATTGGAATTAAACTTATTATGAATTGTATGCGGTTCTTTTTAATATTTATACTTATTAATACAACTATTTATTATTTGAGGTAACACATAATTATGATAATTAAATATTATAATTTATTATAATTAATACAAATACTTTTTGCAATTAACATAATTAATAACAATGATAATTTAGAAAAAAAAAACTACTTATTTGCTGTGCTTTTTATAAGTTAAATGTATTTATTTATGGATTATTTGTAGTAATAAATAACTATAAATGAAATGATAAAGAAAAAAATAATCATTTTAAAGTAATTTAGGGGGAAAAACAACAGAAAATGAACTAGCAAATGAATCATGCAAATATTATTATTAATTGTTTGTGATGCGTTTTATTGTTTATATTTATCAATTGAATTATTTATTATTTGTGTTAATAAATAATTATGATGATTAAATAATGCAATTAATTAATATAAATACTTATAGTAACTATAGAACTAACTATAATAAATTAATAATAATAATAATAATAATAATAATAATAGGAAGAAAGTAATTCAGAAAAAAAAAATAAAAATACCAGAAAACCCTGGCCTGGTTCCTTCTAGCATATGAATGATGTAAACCTTATTATTAATCAATTATTGTGCTTTTTATTGTTCTTATTTATAATAAATCGAGCAATCGACCTGGGATCAGAATTAATACTGGCTGCATATAAATTCCTAATTGTTGGTGATTTTAATATACAATATACAATAAAAAGTTGAAATTTACATACATTTACAAAGACCAGACTTTGGGGTGGGCTCAATTTACTTGGTCAGCAACCTAACAACGCCCTAGCAACCACCCGAAACACTCAAACAGTGCACTAAAAAAACCCTCAGGACACTGTTTCTCCACCTCACAGATGGAGAGATATCAAACCCCACACCAGATTTTCCATGTCCCCTCCTTGGATCTGTATACAATATTCCATGTTAACCTGATAAAAACCACTGTGCCTAATGATGCCAGATGTTGCTTGGCAGCTTTTGTTTCAATACAAAGGTCAACCGGCGCATAATGGTGCTGTGCAACATGGACGGGCTGATGGGAGGCAGCTGTTCACATGGTGAGACTCCATATGGCCTGCGCTTGTCGCGGGGCCTTTTCGCACAGCCGAAAACCTAGTAAACATGCCTCGGTTCTCATTTCCCTTCCTATCCCTCATTCAAACACAGCCGAAATCCAATCACCTAGGCCTCTAAAGAGGATGACGTTGATTAAAGAGAACGGTGTTCACACGAACACACTTTCTCTCCATCATGAGCGGAGAAACACAGCCAGCGAGGCTTACAGAGGGGATTGTTTAGACAGACAATGGTGTCTACCTGATTTTAATCCTAGAGTTGAGAGTGCTGGGATCGGCGGCGTTTAATAAAGGAAAGTGCTCTCGTAATCTGGATTTGCCAAAGTGCCCTTTTGTGTTAATCAGACAAATTTTACAGGATGCTTTATGACATCTGTCACAAGGAGAAGCAGGAATTCATGATCGCTTGTGCTGAACTTCGTGACGGATCTAAAATATGGCGTCAGTTGAAATGTCCATATTAAACGGACCCAAAAAAAATGTCAAATAAATTAACCTATTCATCAATTTGTTATTTTTGGAGTTTTCAAGATGTTTTCCGCATCTGAACTACACATTTTAGAGGCACATAAAAAAAATTGCATATGCTGTCAAATCAAATAATCATGGTTAATCGCATATAAAATAAACATATATATATATATATATATATATATACACACACACAATATATAAACACAAAATTTTATGTTAGATGCAATTAATCACGATTAATATTGCATGTATGGAAGCACATACTCGCACACACACACACACAACAGAGCGGCTAATCGACTCAGGTTGTGTAATTACTTTAGTGTTGCTGTGTAAAGCTGCATTTTTATAATTAAAGTCCAGTGTATCAGCAATGAAGCATAATAAACTACTTCTAAAATGAAGGATTACATTGATAAACCCCAGAAGGCCAGATGTGGGAATGGGGGGAGGTTGGTGGGTGGTTGGATCCGGCAAATCTAGGATGGGATTAATGGAGAAAATCCCACGGGCCGGAACGTTGCCTTTTCCCTGAGGATTAGGGTCTTGTGTGGAGTCAACATGCTGTAATCCACCGATTAGCTGATATAATCACCTGTAAATACACCTTGGCCCGCACACATCCCAGAATGCCAACCGCTGCCGAGCACATGAGTTTAGACCAACACACTTTCAGGCTCTGAAGACGATGCCACAAAGACACTGACTGGTAGAAACATTCATCTCATGAATACGTTTGAGAGTAAATGTAAATACACAGAAGAACATCTCATCTTGTTTATGTTTCTATAAAACATATTTAGAGTGGTAGACATGCTGTGTGTAACACATGATTCAATGAAAGTCGTCGTGCGTTTGATTAAATTTGATTTTTCCACCTTTTTTTTAAGGGATAGTTCAGTCTGAAGTTAAATTCACCCTCACGTCGTTCCAAACACCACCACCAATGTGCAGCCTCCACCTGGACGATGATGTGACGGCCGCCATATTGCTCCAGAACTCCCACCACACTCCAGCTTAATGGTGGACAGGAGACAGGGTTGAAGGTTGAAGCCAATAATTATATGGATGAAAAGGGGGATATGATGATGGACAGAAGCCAATGGGCAAATTTGGCTGGGATGCCAGGGTTACACTCCAATTCTTCTTACGAAGGACATCCAACCCTACTTAGCTTCAGTGGGCTATCAGGGCCTCAGGGTGATAGCTGACGGCAAATTATTATTATTAGATAGTTTTACCGTTTACGGCACACTATTCTTCTAGTTATTAATTTACCGGCTTTTTTGGAAATCTTGCACTTCTATAGAAAATAGCTTTTGTAGTTATGGATTTAGATCAGATTCATTTTGTTTTCATTACACTTTCTAATGTTTGACTGTCCTGCTGCTGGAAAATGTCGTTTTCTACTACCCTCAATGTCGTTCCTTTAGAACTATTTAAGTAATGAAAATACTTATACTAAATATGTTGTGAAAACTAATACCCTAAAATCTAATGAAACTATACAAGACGAGTCAGTTCCACGGCCATGTGTTCACTGCAGTAAACTCTGAACTCTGACTCAGTAGCTCTCTCTAGCGGTCATAGTGTGGACTTACATATTTTTCTGAATAGTTTATTTTTCTGCGTATAGAAGAACATCGAGTCTAGATGAACTATTACAGGGAACCTTAAATGTAAAAAAATAATAATAATAAAATAAATATAGGGGTTTTAATATAATAAACAACTTGCCCTCCCCCTTGCAGCGTCATCTCTTCTCTGCTGTGTTTACTGGTGCGAGGGCGGGGCAACCTATCACTCAGACGACGATCCACCAATAGTAAATCACAACCATCCAAACAAACAATTCATGGACAAAATTAAGTCCCACCATAATTTTTTTCTTGTTCGAGAATCCATTTTACGACTAATGCAACTTCCATTTCATGCAACTTTAAAAAAATGTGAAGTTCTTCTGCCACTTAAAGGAGTAGTTCACTTTTGAAAAAACTTTTGCTGATAATTTACTCACCCCGATGTCATCCAAGATGTCCATGTCATTCTTTCTTCAGTCGAAAAGAAATTAAGGTTTTTGATGAAAACATTCCAGCATTTTTCTCAATATAATGCACTTCAGTGGGAACCAAACGGTT